GGGATGTTGAACAGCAAAGAGAAGTCGATGGGATAAAATTCTGGGTGGCAAGTCGCAAGTGCCCTTTGGTGTCTCCCACATTGAGTGTCCACTGAGATATAGCTCAGATCCTGTCTTATTATCTCTCCTGTGAATAGAGAATGCTGCATCATGGCTTCTTCCATCTGCGAGATAGGCTGGAATAGGACCGAGTATACTCCGAAGTTGGACACAATCGAAGGGAAGCTTTGTATCACCCTTTGCTAAATCCTTTAGGCTCGACCAGAGAGTATAACTTCTGGCCAGGACTTCGTACACCTCTGCACTGCTTGGACGGACTGGGTCTTCCATCCTAAATGGCAGTCCCTTGGTTGTGACCAGCTGCGGGAGGTTCCACTCTGAATGTGAGGCGTCCTACCAGATCACCTGTTGATGGAAGGGACTAGGATAAATCAAACACAGCCCTATTTGTAGCCTCAAATAATCACCCCACCCATTTCTTTTCTGGATTTTGAAAGGAACCCCCTGCGTATTGCCAGACCGTGTTATCGATTACAGCAGCCGAACCGGAAGCAGTTGCACGTGACAACACCGTTGCCTGCGGGCACAACTCCCCCTGATCCGTTGGGCAGCGATAGGTTGTTTGATGGAAGAGATGAAGCACCAGCCGCCCTCCTTGGAAGCAACGAAGGTCGAATGGCCATGGGAGGAGGAAGGAGAACAGGGAGGGCGAATGTTGACTGGCAGGTTTGAGCTCCAAGGTCGACTCTCGTGCAGCCGCTGCGCTGATCACGTCCTGCATGGTGCCGGTGCGTGTGGCGAAGCGCCCAGGGACGTGGACGTGGAAAAGAGACGCAAGTCGAAGATAGATAAAAAAAATTATGTTCTTATCTAGTAGATTAGACATTGTATGTTTTTTATTTCTCCTTTAATTCTTGTTCATGTTATTGTATCTATGATGTAAAGGTTACTTTTTAACTACTAATCTGAGGATGGCAGCAAGTTGAATAAAGCACATACATACAACTTTGTTGACAGCAATCTTGTCCCTCACTAATCTAGCCGAATCTCCAGGATACATCCAGACCAAAGATGTCTTGTCCGTGAAGTGGAACTGGCTGTTGACCCTTTGCTCTTTCAGGGTCAACTGGATTTACATACAGTACATATAGGACTTTGTTGACTTCAATTCAGCCGCTGTTAGGCGTCCAATGCTGCATGACTCTGACAAATGGTATTAGAATAATGCATATTCACAAGCAGATAGCTTCTTATATTCCCTCGTAGTCAAGCTGTCGACGTTGAAAAAGAAAAAAAGCAAGGTTGCGGTTTCAGCCCTAGTTGGTCCTCCTTGTTAATGGCAAGTTGAGTTGCGACAGCAAACTTTTACTCTTTAGCCAATTATTGCGAATTAGGCATGTATGTGCCTCCTGGAATTTTGCCTGTCATCCAAGATATTGCCAATACTATCATGTCCCGAAGAACTTTTATAGTACTATATGTCCTCTTAACCTGGACGTTGCACAAGCGAATTGGATACTAGGAGCAATATCCCCAAGCTCGCAATCGAATTTTTAGTATTCAGCATGACCCAGGCTGAACAGGCTGAACGCTGACCCAACATGTTGTGCTGGGGAGTTGTTCAGCAGCTGTTTGGAGGAGTGAATTGTGGCTATGACTACCGTGTTCGATGTGATTCAAGGGCAGCATATCGCAATCGTAAGTCATGAGCATCGCGTTCAACTATCACAGAATCTTTCTAATATGCCAAAAGAAAAAAAAGAATGAGCAACCACGTCTAAATGGATTTATAGCCTCGCGTCTTTTGCTGTCTTATAGACAGATGCATCCTGCGGAGGCATCGGGGGCAGGTTCGGAATCTTCAAGTCCTCACCGTCCAACAGTTTTGAAGCGTCAAGGCCAAACAGCCAGTCCTTCCGGACTGAATATCCCCAGAAGATCGGATTGCTTTCGTCGTCCCGCTGCATCAGCTCGTCTCGCTTCTCACGCGCTGGCCCATCATACAGATGCCACCATTCCTGCAGCACGCGCGTGTTCTTCGTGATGTAGTCTGCTCGCGGCGCTCGCTGTTTCTCGTACACGTTCAATGCCTTTACGAGGCTCTCGTCCCCGTACGCTGCGAGGGCTGCTCGCAGGCATGCCGCGTCCTCGATCGCCTGGGCAGCTCCCTGCGCCATGTACGGCATCATCGGATGACACGCATCCCCCAGCAGCGCGACTTTGCCGCTGGGATGCACCCATCGCTGCAGCGGCCGCTCGAGGTCCGCCAGCTTCCATTTCAGATACTCGCCCGTCAGACCGCAGAGCTTCCGCACAGGCGCACACCAGTCCTTCAGTCGCCGCACCAGTTCCGTGTTGTCGGCCTGCTTCTTCCAGTCGCCTTCGCGGACGGGCTCGCCCAGGTCCGTGTTGTGCGTGACGTCGATGATGATGTTGTACAGCTCGCCGCCGCGCAGCGGGTAGCCGACGGCGTGCGCCTCGGGGCCGATCCAGTGCGTGGCCCACGGCTCTGTGACGAGGTCTCTTATCGCTGGATCCTCCAGCAGCGGGCCTGCAGGGACGACAATGCGATAGGCCACGTCACCGGTATCTCGGGGCTCGACGGCAGCGCCGTTGATGGCGGCGCGGGCAGAGGACTTGATGCCTTCGGCGGAAATGACCAGGTCGGCAGTATACCAGACACCCTGCTCCGTCATGACTGCCGGACGGTGGAAATCATACTCGACGACACGGCTGTTGGTCTTGATGGCGATGTTGCTTTTCTTCGTCTGCGCGGCGCGCAGCAGGGCGTCGACGAGATCGGCGCGGTGAAGGAAGTAGTAAGGCGCGCCATACCGCTGCGGCATGTCATCGAACGAGACTGCCAGGAGGATGCGGCTGTGGTCCTTCCAGTCGACGAAGCGGTTGCCGTGGGAGATTTCTTTCTTCAGGCTATCCAAATCGACGCCCCAGGAGCGGAGCAATTTCGAGGAATTGGGCGGGACGCGGATGCCAGCGCCGACCTGAGATGGCTGTCAGTATGGAACATTATTATGGGAGTGACAATTGTCACACCTCTGAAAATTCCTTGACAGCGTCGAGAACCGTCACGCGATGCCCGTCAGTGGCCAGGGCCAGAGCGGTGGCCAATCCACCGATGCCTGCGCCAACGACGACAACGTCGAGAGTTTTCATCGTCCTCCTCGACCAATAAACTTGTCAAGCCAAGCTGAAGTGATTATAGTATGCTTGTCCTCGCTCAAGACAACCATAGATGTAGTGCACAGGTATATTGAAACAAGTATATATGTAGTCGACAAAAGCTCGGAGTAAATCCCGACATCACCCCGTTCCACCAGTCCATACAGAGTAAGGAGAGATCTAGATAACCTAGGCTATTGCTCATCAATTATCGTGCCCACGGGGCGGAAAGTTGCACCCGGGGTTTTGCTACTTCGTAAAATGCGGGGAAAAAAGAGGTGGGTGGGGATGGTAAATGCCGAACGAAAATATGGAGTAAATAGCAGACAAGACGGGACATGTCTATCGGGAATACTCCGTAGTTGGTGGGTTGGTGCTGCTGGATGAGGATTATAGAAGTATACCCTTGGGCATGAGTATATAGTCAGTTCGTATGTTTGTTTAAGAAGTAGCTCTTGGGTATATTTACAGAAGACTAAATCGTTTTTTTTCCCAGGTAATAATCCATTAAAAATATTGCTAATTAACTGCATCTTTAAATATATACATAGGTGGATTCCCTAAGTCGTGAATTTCTAAAAAGGATGCTTTTTATGTAACTATTTTGCGTGACTTGCATCAAGAAACCCAGTCTCATTTCCAATGATATAAATGTTTTTTTTATAATTGAAATTTGTCGTATTTCTTAATATTAGCAGATCAATGGTCATAATCAGACTACAGCAGCTAGATATCCGGTCATGGCGTTTTCTTATTTATTCTGGCGACGATTTCATTTGTTTTTTTTTAATTGTTAATACCTCTATTACTGCAGAATATCCTGTTCAGACAGCCACATGAGCTGTCAAATATCGAGCTGAACGCTTCATGCCTGTCTTCATAGTCTGGACTGGACTACTAGACTCATTTCTCGGGCTCTGGTGGTGTTCAAGAATATATCTAGAGCTGGATAGCCCTTTGGAGTCGATAAACCAGAGGGATGAAGCGGATATACATACAATAGAGGGCAATATTTAAATACTTTAGCTTCCATTCCAAGTTTCTAGCCAAGTTTCTAGGCAAGTCTTGCAATGTTCTTGTGCATAACTCACGTAATCCTGCATATGAGGAAGTTTCCAGGCTTACTGTTCAGGGCCATCTTGTTGCGGTTCTGATCGTCTTGCAAGAGATTCACATATTAGTGGCCTAGTTTATGCCTGAAATATACAGTGGTAAGACTGTGTTCTCCTATCTTGATCATGACACTCATGTGCCGTACATAGAGGGTGACATGTCAATTATGGTACTGTAGCACAATTAGTGAGAAGCCGGGAGAAGCTGAACGACTATCCAAACGATGTTGCTCTCTTTGACATGCAAACCTTCGACAGACTTTCCAAAACACAAAAGGTTGCACATTTGACTTTCAGCAGGACTGAACTGAGGATTTTGTCAGGTGAAGTCTGAAACTCGAGAGACACACCACCACTATGGGTACTAAAGGAAGAGCGTGATAGCATTGGCGTCCAGGGAAGACGTAGTGTACAAGTAAAAGCAGAAATAATAGCCAGACAGTGGCAAGGAACCAAGCCTCTGCCTGAGGAAATTATCCAGGAAGGAACTGCCGGCTGTTGACATCTAGTCTTTTACATACGTTATCAAAAAAGAAAAAGAAAAAAAAAGGACAAAAAAGAAGAAAGAGATATAGAAACGCAAAAAGAGGAATACATATAGCAGTTGAATATAAGCATGTATTTAGCATATTTAGCATATGAAGGAGAGGAAAGGAAAACAAAAAGAAGAGAGAGAGAGAGAGAACCACAGCAATATCAAATCGAGCATTCGAAGAAGAAGAAAATGTCGCAACCTATGTACTGTATACACATACATGCATGCAATTATAATTATCATATCATATTATATCATATCTCTATACTCCCAACATCCATATGTGTTTGACTCATGGTCATTATTCTCGTTTCTTGACTTCCTTTTCTACCCATTTCCCCTTAGGAAATCTAGGGCGCCGCAAAGCTGAACGAATGTCTCTTAAGCAGAGTTTTGTGCAAGTGCTGGCATATATATTGGAGGCTAGCTCTGAAGGTATATTATATGTCAATCTTACAAAATACCTATTGCTTCTTCATTCTTCTTACATTTATCTTTTTTTTAAAAAAATTTTTTGCTTTTGTTCTTGAAGGCTTGTATTAATGCCTTAAATACCTATCGTATAAGTCATAAGTAATAACTATGTCTCTATTGTGTGTGCCTAGCTAGCTACAAGAGGTTTGTTTGTTTTACTCCAAGAAAAATCTGTAGAACGGGAAGAGATTGCATTGAGGGTATTACAACTTTACAGTATACTTCTTCAAGAATAAGGGATCACGAGAATAAGATACCTACATTCTTCTACTGATTTTAGAAATGACGGTTCAAGACAAGTGTCATTGGATAAGGCGTTTTCTAATTAATATAGGAAATAAATAAAAATAAAACATAGTATATTCTATACTATAATACTGTTGTCATATAGTATGTATGGGGCCCGAGAAGTTAAAAAAAGGATCTAGATACGGAAAAAAGTTCGTCTAAGAAGGTAAAGCGTAGTAAAAGACACGAATGAATAGAAATCAACCAAAGCCAGTGCTTCCCCTCTATCAAAATCTGCTACAACAGCAGCAGCAGGTTATGCCGGTGGAAATAGTTGCGATACACCTTGCCGTACACGTACATGGGAATCGTCAGCAGACACCCAGCAAACAAAATCCCGCCCATGGAGTAGAACATCTGCTCGGGCCCGCCCGTCTCGAGCCACGTCGGCATAAAGTACGTGCCGCCAAAGGCGAACATGTTGCGCAAGACGACGAGCGCGATCATGAACTCGGCGGAGAAGGCGCGGTGGGCGTCGAGCAGGTACGAGAAGGTCGCCGTACAGGCGCACACCAGCCCAAAGACGATCATCCCGTAGAAGAAGCTGATCAGCACCCAGCTGACGTTGGCGCCGGACGCGTCAGGCCCCGTGCCCAGCGCTGCGTACCGTCCAAAGGCGAACAGGCCCGGCGCGCCGAACACCAGCACCCCGACGGTGAAGAACAGGCGGAACTCGGGCTCCGCGACGCCGTTGTTGCGCCGCGCCGCGACTTTCAGCACCCAGTCCGACAGGAACAGGCCCAGCAGGTACGCGAACAGCGACGCCACGGCCGGGAAGGCGTAGATGTAGCCGAGTTGTGCCGGGCCGAAGTTGAGCGGTGGTCCGGCGAAGAGCTGCGCCATCATGATGGACACGCCGATCGACCAGCAGTGGACGGTGCCCTGCAGCATGAACGCCCACAGGATGGCCGGGTAGATCATGGCGGCGAACGGACGCAGGAAGATCTTGACGATGCGCTCGTCGGAAAAGCGGCCGTTGTAGGGGCTCAATTCGCGCAGCCAGGTTTTGAACGCCGAGTCCGCGGCGGGGCTGTCGGACGTCGTCAGGACCTGCTTCTCATTCTGGTCTCTGGCCGTCAGATCCTGCGACTGACTGTCGTCTGCCACCGCAGGACGATTGTACGCCGTCTCCGGGCAGAAGAACAGGATCAGCACGACGCCGACAGCGCAGAACGCGGCGATGATCTTGAACTGCATCTGCCAGCCGTATTTCTGCGCGATGTAGCCGCCAATAATGGGCGAGAGGTACGAGAGGCCGAAGAAGGTCATGTTGAAGAAGGCGACGCGCTTGCCGCGTTGGTGGACCTGCAGCCGGTCAGCGGGACGTTTATTTTTTTTGCATTAGAGATACGTCTCATACGAAGAATAAATCACCAATCGACGACGGCGGCAACGTCTCAAATGCGCCGAGCCCCAGACCCTGGAACGTGCGGGCAGTCATGAACTGCACATAGGACATCTTCAGGCAGGCATTCCAGACGACGCCGACGAACATGCTCAGCGTGGCAAAGATGTAGACGGGGCGTTTGCCCCAGACTTTTGCGACGGTCTGGTAGATGAGGGCGGTGCAGGCGGAGGCAATGAACTCGCATCCCGTGAGGAGGGAGACCTGGTTGAAGGTGACGTGGAGTTCCTCGACGAGGACGCCGTTGACGCTGGAGAGGGTGGGGCCGACGAGCGTGCCCATGATGACCATGTAGCAGATGGAGAAGAAGGTAAGGTCTTTTTTCCATTTGGGCCAGTTCTGGGGCTGTCAGTAGAGATGTATAGGACAGTAGTATTTGTAGATATAATTATGGACGTATGCACTCACCAATGGATCTCGAGGCGACGCAGACGGCACTGGAATCAGCCTCAAGCTGTCGCTATCAGAAGAGTCCTCAATTCGAGGGCTTTCGGGCTCAGCAGAGCCCTTGGTCTGGTACAGAATGGCTGTGCCGGGCACATAGTCGACGCCCTTGGGCTCGATGATGCCCAAGCCCATGGCGAATGCTGACAAGCAGAGACGGGAGTAAAACTAAACAACAGAGCTGTCCGAAGGAAGGATAAAGGAAGGAAAAAGTAAAGAAGAAAAGAGAAAACAAGAATGGAGGAACAAAAATAAAAAAAATACTATAGAAATAAAACTTGGATATAATCAGTCCACTAGATAAAAAGAAAAGAAGTTCATGGCAAATGCAAAGAAGAAAGCTACGCTACACCCCTAGCGTGTCAGTACAGATAAAATTGGATACAGCCCAGCCCAGCCCAGCCAGCCAGCCTAGCGAGCTCGGTTGAGTTCCGGAAAACCCTAGGAAACAGCCATGTCCGGCTGAAGGAAGAAACAAGAATTGAATTCAGGTAGGAAATTTTCCGGGCTGTCTGTCGATCCATCCATCCATCCATCCATCCATCCATCCATCCATCGATGTAACAATGCATGGGGGCCAGAAGCGAATTGAATTGAAATCTTGTACGGAGCACTGTAAGTACTCCATGCAAGGTATGATCGACCTTGTGCAAGCAATGCAAGGCCTCGGCGGATCCTCAATTCCCATTCGCCAGCCAGCGCTTTTGACTTTTGGAATGCGGAGAATCGGGCGGCACGCCAAGTGGGGCGTGGCGCTGGGTGTGTGGGGCTCGCGCCTCGCTCGCTGAGTCGCTGCTTCGGCTGCGGCGTTTTTCTTTCCGCCACCGGGCGAACTTTAATTCGATGTCGAGAAAGAATTAATCGACTGCAGTATTAACATATTATGGTCCAGCTTTTGGGTTGCAGGAAGAATACATCCATCGTCGTCCCATGGGACGATATATCCACAATGTGCTCGCTTAACCAGGTTGATGGAGCATGGATGCTCAGCGCATGTAGAACCTATGCGCTGGTCCCACGTGAGGCCTCTCGATTCGGTGCCCCCGCCCCAATAATAATCTGCAGCGAGTGCAGCTGTGTTGGTGACCCACACACGCTGCAGATCGATCCTTGTATTTGGGAGAGACGTGATTCGTGATCAGGTGCAGCTGAGCTTGTGTCCACGTCGACAGTGTACAGATGGCAGACTGACGAGCGAATATGGTCTAGTCTGGATTGGGACTGCAGAATAGAAGAGAGATTTCTTACGCGTGTAAAAAAAGAAAGAAAGAAAGAAAGAAACAGAAAAACTGATTCCAGGGAGGAAAGACCATCTATATTCAACCGTAATTCATACGCACATGTACAGTACTTTCTATACTCCGTAGATCAACTCCTAACGCCAACAACATATGTATATGCATAAGACTCATGACCCGTCCACTACATGTATACAGCCCATACCAGTTCCCTCCACAGACAATGCTTTTTGTATAGCGCAGACAATGCTTTTATATAGAGTCATCCATCATTACTGTGCCACCTTGTCTGATTGTTGGCACTCACGGCCATCCCATGCGTCGCCAGCGGGCGCATCTCGCAATCGTCGACGAACCCCTCGCCGCTGCCCGTGCTGCTCGGCTGCCGGCCCGTCTCTGGATCGTCCGTCTTGCGCACGTCGACGCTCACGTCCGTCGTGACGTTGATCTGGCCCTTGACGTACATCTCCTCGGGGGGAGCGGCAGCACGTCCGGTCGGGGAGCGACTCCGGCGTCGTCCTGACGCTGTCACCCACGACGTCCCCGGCCGGGAGTGATGGTAGGTCCCCTGGCTGCGTGCATGAGTGCCAGCGCCTCGCGAGCCGCTGAGGTAGCCGCTTGGGTATTCGCCCCGGCGGAAGCGGACCAGCACGACGCGCATCGAGGGCGCGTTGCACACGATGCAGGTGCTGAAGATCTCGACGGTGGCCCAGACGATGGCGCTGTGGGCGGCGGGGTCGGCGATGGTGAGGATGAGGCGGACGCTGCGGTTGTCAGGACAGTTATTCTCAAGAAAATCTATCTATTTGAGGGGGTAAAGGAACGCACATGATGACGGCAACAGTGAAGAAGCCAAGCCCGAAAAGCACGTAGAGCCCGATCTTGTCGCGTCGACGCATTTTGGCCATCCAGATGACGGACATGGGGATGATGATGAGAGAGATATCGACTAGAATTGTTAGCAGTCATCTATATAGGTGGAGAATGACCGACGTACTGATAATTCCAAACGCACTGGCAACATAGACGTGAACCAACGCTTCCGCGCACTCTTTGCCGGGATCCGGGTACATCCTACAGAATCAGCACGACACATCTTCTCCGTTATGAGCCCCTTTCAGGGAGAAACGTACTGCCACATCCTCCCAATCGGCCGACAGGACAGCAGCCTCGCCAACACGACACCCAGATAGGTCAATCCCAGCACCGCCAATCCGCCCGGAAGCAGATAGCGATATCCGGCGACGTTGGAGGTCAGAGGGCGGTAGAGCAGCAGCAGCGACGCGCGGAAACACCAGACGATGGCGTAGTAGGTCAGACCGCCGACGAGGAACCATTTTGTGCCGAGGATGTGCTGCTCCTTCTCCTCGGAAGTCAGGCTTTCGCGGACGCTGGGAGGCATGTAGTTGTTGCCGTACATGTCGGTGATGGCCATGCCGCACATTTGGAAACCGAGGAGGATCTAATGCGTCAGTATGCAAAATCAAAATCCCACCCGCATTCGAAATGTGCTTACAATCACGAAGATGTTGACGAATTCAGCCGGGGAATAGTCCCGCAGCCATAGCAGGCGCAGGAACAGTCGCAGCAGGCATATCACCGTCGAGAGGCCCACGAAGAGCTGAGCAGTCAGCAAGATACAGCAGAACAGCAGAATAGCAGAACTAGGTGTGGCAACATACAAAGGCCAGAACGACCGAGGCTGGGACCATGGTGACGTGGGAGTATTCCTTTCCGCTACCTCACATAGCAGGGCGATTCACAATGTCAGAGTCGAAGCGGCATTGAAGCGTCAATCTGAAGAATCTTCAGATGAAGTTCACAGCAGAAGAAACTCTGCTAGGCCAGAGAACAGATATACTAGTATCAGCATGTCAGGATGAATCCACAAAGCTAGTTGAGACAGACCAGTCATACACAACAAACTGAGAGGATTATGTCGCAGTGCCCAGAACTAAGATCGATCGATCGGCCATCATCGAGCATCATCGCCCAAAATTAAAAACAGCCGCATTCGGAAAAGTGGTACCGAGCAGTACAAACACCCTCTCAGGAAAAGTCTGTTTTATTTGTCATTTGTCGATCGTACAGGATTGGCTTCCGAGGACAGGGCACTGAATCAATTGTTACATCGGGCAGCGGGATCCAGCTCGCTATCATCGGATAAAGTTTTAGCTGCAAGGGGCTTGCTTGTCTGTATCTCGTGCCATGATACCAATCTAATCTAATAATGTTCTAATGTATTTGTGTGCACAGGTTTTCAACCGAGGTACGGTACTGTATGTACCTAACAGTCCTAAGTTCCTAACTATTGAGGCATTAAACAGCCAAGAAAGCGTGGGGGCCATCAGTCCACCAGCAGTTGACGATAAATAATACGTGACTGTAGATGTGGTAAAGGATGAGTACAATTTTATTTTTGACAATACAATCTCGTAGGTAGTTGATATAATGAAATGAAGCAATATTAATCAATTAACATAGATCGATTAATTCATATTTTCTGTCATAGGCTACATAATTTCCTCGTCGTACTCCGTACAGTACATACAGCCCTCAAAAATAGCGCTTTCCACGAGATGTGATCGCCGGGGGCAAGAGAAAAGTGAAAATCAAGAAAAGAAAATCTACCAACCACGACTTCGCCCTCTCTGCTCAGTGAATCATCGTCGGGGGATCTGCGCCAAGCCAACATTAATGCGAAATGTTAAAGTTTAGGCAGTTTGATGGCGTCTGTCGATCATTTCGTTCCAAATAGGTAGAATAGCTAGCTGCACAGGGCCGGGCTATATTAGTGTGATCCTCGCTGATGATGATCCAGTCTGATCCACGGTTCTTGGTTTCTGCAGCTGCTAGCTTTTAGCAAGCTATATTTCTTTTCGGCAAAGCAGACTGCGCACCTAGGCAGGGCTACTGGGCTAGGGCTGCCCCGCGTTCCATGGCGTGCGTCTATTTCTAATTCGCCTAAAAATAGGGCAATAAAGTACTCCAGTTCTGTTTTGGATGTGTTATGTCCTCCGTGCTTCCTCCGGAATAGGAATTCCTCTCTCCATCGCGTGCCGTGGGAAGGAAAAGTTTAGTTATTCAGACGTGGAGATAACTATAATGATTTATAATAATCAACCAAGTCTGATTGTATTCATATGATCGAACAAAAACTCTATGTATCTATCGAGAGCATAGTTATGCACTGCACACGTAAGAGTTATTTATATACGCCTCTGTAGAACCTTCTTAGCGGATTCTAGCCAGTCGATCATCACTCCCTGTATAGTAGTTTCATACTCAACCAGATAGCGATGTTATTCCGTATATGCTAATTCTGTATTACCTGGCAAAACCCCACTGCTTCATCCACCCCCTCATCCAGCCCGTCCTCACCGGCCCCAAGGCCCGCAGCGTCGGGCTCGCCGCCGTCGCCTGCGCCGTCGCATACTGCTGCCGGTCGCCGCGCGTGAGGTTCTCGTAGAACTCGATAATCTTGAGCGCCGGGTTGCCGGCGTCGGCTGCTGGGCCAGCCCGCACCGCGGCGATCCACGAGGGCAGGTCGCGCAGGGTGATCTCCGAGGCGATCGTCCCCGACAGACCCTCCCACACCACCGGCAGCAGGGCGGTCGACCAGCTGGTCTCGGCCGGGTTGGTGAGGTTGTACACCGCCGCCGAGGCCCGCTTCTCGCGTGGCGACAACAGCAGATCGACCGCGATCACCCGCGCCATCACGTCGACTGGCACCCATTCCACCGCGTCCATCGTGCCCAGCGTCGTCGGCAGCATGCGCAGCGTCGCCGAGCTCCGCACCAGGCTGGGCAGCCACTCCTGCTCGTTCCACTTGCCTGCCGCCGGCAGATCGCCGTCCGCGTCGGGCCAGGACGACGACAGAGAGTTGTTGCGCAGCCCAATCGGCCCTGCGATCTGCCCGACGCGGAGGATGCTGGCGGGGATCTGGCCCTCGGACGCAGCTGCAGCAGCGTCCAGCAGCCGCTCTGACAGGTACTTGGACTCGCCGTAGCCCATGGCCTCCGGCGCGGAGTGGTCGTGCAGGATCTCCTCCGGCGCGGTCGTGCTGCCTCTCCAGCCGGCGACGGACGAGATGCTGGACACGTAAAAGATGGACGCGCGGTGGGCAGACGCCGCGCTCAGCTCGACCAGCCGGCGCACGCCGCCGATGTGCCGGTCGAACGACTCGACTGACAGATTGAAGTTGACCGGCCAGGCGTTGTGAATGACGTGCGTGACCGTCGTGAGCAAGCGCTCGTAGTCCGTCGCCGACGCCAGGCCCAGCTGCGGCGCAGACAGGTCGTCACTCTGCAGGAACTCGACGCGCGAGGCGATGCCTTCCTCCAGCTGGGACGTCCGCAGGCCCCGGGCCTCGCAGACGGCCAGCTGCCGGTCTGCGCCGCCGGAGGATCGGTTCAGACAGATGACTTTGCCCACGCGCGGGTTGCCCAGCAGCGCGTCCAGCAGGTACGAGCCCAGCGAACCGGTGGACCCGGTCAGGACCACCGTCCAGGTCTCTGGTTCTGGCCCGACGGCCGGCAGGGTGTCCGGCGTTGGGAGGTCCTTGGTCCAGCGGTCGAGGATGCGCTGCAGCGTCGCCGCGCGAGTATCCTGAGAGACAATAGAGGCGTCGGGCGAGGCGATGGCAAAAATTGCAGCTCCCAGCAGCCGCACGGTGGGATTGCGATAGATGAGTCGCGGGCTGACGGCCCTGTCGTCGCAGGCAACGCCCTGGTTGCGCAGCAGCGCCTTGATGGCCTGCACCATCTGCACCACCTGCAGCGAGTCGACGCCCAGCGCAAAGATGTCAGCGTCGTCATCCGGCGCTGGCTTGCCTGCGACCTTGGCCACCAGCCGCCGTGCGTATTCCTGCAGCGAGTCCAGCGAGTGCACGTCCGCCGGGGGGATATCGGCGGCCACGCCCTGTGCGGCCGCGGCGTACATGGCGGCGATCTCGTCGGCGTACTCCTTGACGACGACTTTGCGCTTGATGGTGTTCTTGGGCGTTCTCTGGAACGGCTTCTCCGGGGACGCGAAGATGATGTGCGATTTGGAGATCTGCCCGTATGCCGGACTGGTCTTGTTCGCCTGCTCGACGACCGGCCAGATCTCGTCGATGAGCTTTCTGCGGCCCTCCTCGGTCGTGGGCACATCAGCGCCCCGGAGCTCGAGCAGCAGGCCCGGCTGGAATCGTCCTTCGCCGACGACCAGCGCCCCGGTGACGCGCGGGTCGTTCTTGGTGATGAGGCCCTCGATCGAGACCGGGTTCAGTTTCTCGCCGTTGGACAGCACCAGGACGTCATCGATGCGGCCGCGGTGCCGCCACAGGTACGGCTTCGTCGGATGCCGCGAGAACAGGTCCTTGAGGGAGTGCTCCTGGAGGTCTGGGAAGTTCTCGAACACGGGCTGCAGGTGCGGCAGCGGCGGGTCCTTCATGCGCACGATGAACAGCTCGTGCAGGTCCTCGCTGTCGCCGATGGGCCGCAGCTCGGCGCCGGTCCACGGGTGGAAGTGGAAATACTGCCAGTCCTCCTCCGGGTTCTCGAGCTGCACCAGGGGCAGCAGCTCCGTCTCGGTCTGGCCCATCCAGTGGAAGCCGTTGGGGTTGCGGCGGTGCAGCAGATCGCCGCTGGCCTTGGACAGCGGCGCGGAGCCAAAGACGATGTATTTCATGCGGGCCAGCGTGTCGAGGAACTCGGGCACATCGCACATGTCCTCGACCAGGGACGGCGGCAGCACGCAGCCGTCGCAGTTCCCGTGGATGATACCGGCGTTGACGTCGTCGGCATTCAGTACTTTCTCCGGCGGAGGGAAGACAATAATCACGCCGAGGAAAATGCCTTTGAGAAGCGAGACTTGCACACCACCGGCCTGACATGTCGTTAGTGGGACGTCCGGACCCGTTCAAGGCTGACAACGCACATGGAAGAGATTCATTGCCAGGAAGCATCGCGACTCGGCGGGCAGGTTGGTGATGATGCCTCTGCCGTCGATCTTGGGGAAGAAGCGTAGCAGGTCCTCATGGGCACAGTAGCCGTTTGTTAAAAAGATTGGTTTTGGTAGGCCTGGAAAGTCAGTCGTAAGCCGCAGACGAAAAAAAAAAGGAGGTCGTAAAAAGAACACACCAGTAGTCCCAGACGTATGTAGAATCAGAAAAGGGTCGTTCTTCGCTTCGTCAAACGTCTTTTCATACGGATAATGCGGCGCGGGCGTCTCGTCGAGAAATTCCTGGTACTCGGGGACCTGAAGCGTGAGCAATTCGCCTGAGGTGCCCTCTGCGTGCGGCCATCCGTCTTTGAGGCTCTGAGCGAGGGCCGCTGTCGTCGTGGCGTGGAGGAACTTGGAACAGCCGGCGGCCTTGAGGACGGCGTAGTGGGCTTCGTTGCTGTTGCGGGGTGAGGGGAAGATCATCTGCAGCAGTCGCGTCAGTCAGCATGACAGTAATCGAACAGGTGTATTTTCGACAACCTGATATCCCGCCTTCATGGCCGCCAGGGCAAAGACGGTGTATCTGATATCCGACGGGCCCGCATACGCCAGCGGCTCAAAGGACGAGCTCTTCCCGCCCAGGCGGTCCTCCAACCACCAGGCGGCGCGATTGATGGCATTGGCGTATTGCGCGTACGTCAGGTCGACATATCCGGCTGTCAGATCGTCCGGGTCGCGGGGGATGGCAGCCCAGACACGACGGGGATCGGAAGCGGCGATCTCGTCGACGACCTGGGGCAGCAGACGACGGCCATAGGGGGGCGTCTGAGTCATTAGAAAGACGACAGTGAGAGATGATCACAGAGAATGCATGTATGGTCTGTTTTTTTTCCTGCAGGAAATACCTGCATTGCAGCACCAGACCAGGGTAGATTGATGAGTATATATCTGGTCCGGACGAATGCCCCACTGCGAGCCACCAGCGGTCTAAGCGTGGGCTGCGTTGCAAATAAAATTCGCCGGCTGCGGCATGCAGAGTCGTAGTGCCCCTCTTATCATCATCTCGTTGCTGGCTGGCGCGAGACCGAAAATCAGGCAAAGAATCAGGGCGAAAGGAAGAGAAGAAAGACCCAGGATAGCCGGTCGTAACCGCCGTCAGGAAGACGATCATGCATGATAAAGTTGGCATCTGCTGCCACAGAACTTGGCAGGCTGTCTGAAGCTATTATTATTAAATAAGAAAGTTATCAATGCACATAGATACCTGTGAGGGGCCAAAAGGGAAAAAAAAATAACTCCTACTATTACCCCACATACAAGTGATGCAATCCAGTATATACTGCATACATAAGGCAATTGAGTGTTTATATAGAGAAATCGATACTCTGCCGACAGAGATGTATTCCAGCAGAGTGGTGTATCGATCGAAAAGGGAAACTAAAAGAAAAAAAAGTCGGTGGAGGGGCCGAAATAAAAAGCTTGGATTGCCGCACAGCTCCCGGCGGCCCGTGCATTAAGCGAGTTGCTACGCTGAGCCAAAACGCTGGAATATGCCAGTCTTCATTCAGTGTCTGTCAATAGCTTCATCTTTTTCTTCACTGAGTTGATCATGTGATTTGACTAGACAGGAATATAAAAAGGGAGGTATTTTTTATTCCGAGTTCAGGACAGCATTGCTTGTATTTACTATTTACAGCTTGACAAAGATAATATTTTGTTTAAAGCTAGGTATAAGTGATTAATATCTTATAGGTTTCAAAAGGAGAAAGAAAAGAACGAAGGAACGAAGGGAAAATCACTGCTTGACTATATAGTTAGACTAAATATAATTGCACCGTCGTAAATAAAAAAAGATTATCTTTTTAGTATAGTATCAACAAAACCAGTATTATGCCCAGTCTATCTTGTAGTAGAATCCATGCAGATACAAAAGCAAGGAATCATTACAGGAATGAGCAATAATTCAACTAAAGACAGAATACAAATCTTGCAGACTATATCCAATCTAAAAACAAAAAAAATAAAATAAATTATCGCCATCTATCTATTCTGTACAAAACGTCTATCTTAACTATTCCCTTAGGCTGCTAGCCTGCTGCTCTCATACGATTCCCCTAGTTCTTATTGATATATGTCTCATGACAGCACATAATTCAGAAAGGCAACTTTTTTTTTTTAGTTTAAAACACTCATCAGTAAAAATAGCTGGATCTAGAAGACTTCGTTCTGTCCTAGTGTATCTGCAGAACTCCAGGCAAGTGATCATACGTTCCAGCTAGAATCATGTAAGACAGGCCCCAAATCAGGACTTCACTCAAATCCAGATCTATTACTCTTTCAGTTAAGCTGTAAGATGTATCAGACATTCAATCAGCGGAGATCTCCGTGCCAACTCTACCTGCGCCTCCGTTCCCACCCCGTCCGAAACTTCTTCGGCTGGATGCGAGGGAAAACATGCGCTTCAGTGCTAAAGACAACCTGATTGATGGGGAGGAAATCCGTCGGCGAGAACAGCAGATACAAATACTTTAACGTCTCCGCCTGTTTTATCAGTCAGTTTATGACATGTGTTTTATTTTCCAGGGGTAGGGGCCGGGCCTACCAGCCAAAACTCTCCATGTTATCGCGCCTCGTCGGAGGCACCCCGTTAACGTCGTCGAGAGACGTATATCCCTCGCCGTCGTCCAGGATAGTATGTTTCTGAAACGCCTGGAAGATCTCCCACCCCCATTGTCGATAGATGGGGTCGTTGGTCACCCGCCACATCAGGAACTGGCTTTCCACCGTCTCTGGGCGCAGCAGGTTATGTGCGTCCAGCGGCTTGACGATGTAGTCTTTCTTCCAGCTCGCTGGGGAGTTTCTGCTAGCGGGAAGACCCGACGCAGACGCTCCTGGCGCAGGCTGCAGCGCGGCGTCGTCCGCCTCGAACCAGGCGATTTCCGGTGCCAGCCGCTTGCAGTCACTTGGACATGCCCCAGCACGTCTTCATCAGCTCTCTCGCGAGCTGCATCTGCTGCTCCTGTTCAGCGCCCCAGCCGGGTGTCTATCGTGCCTCAGCTTCGGTCAGCCCGTCTGTCGCTCCGAAGGCGATCGAGCCTGGAAGAAAGCAAACGAGATGGTCCATCTTGGGAGATAACCTGCCGCCAATGCCGTCGGGCAGTTCCGCCACGAACGTCAGTTGCGAGTGTTTCGTCGTTGTGATCAGATGCTTCTGGATTCCGGCGAGTGCTTCAGCCCACATCTCTCGGTAGACGGGCTCTTGGCCGGACGTCTGCAGATACTGCTTGATCAGGTACTCTACAGAGGTCAGCATATAACTGACTATTAACTGACGTATAGAAAACATTTTGCATGGACGCACCGTAATATGAATCGCCACGACTCCCCAGACGGATCTCTCGCGTCGTGAATCGGCCTGCCTGCGAGTCGACGAAGATCGGCAGAAGGCCGCCCTCCATGCCGTTGTCGTCGAGGATCTGCATGACCTTTTCTGCTTTGCGCCAGTACTCCTCCTTACCCGTCAGATGGTCGAGGTACTTCATCTCCATCTGCACGGTGCTGGCTTCGGCAGTCGACGACGCGCCGCCGTCGGCATGCGACGGGATACCCTGCCTCGTCCGCAGATTGACGCTCGCGTAGGGGATTCCCGAGGCCGACTCGTACGCGCCCAGCAGTCGGTCGGCGAGGTCGACGGCCTTGGCCAGATAGACGTGGTCCCGGCGCGACGAGACGTCGGGCAGCACCTGGGACGAGAGGTAGTGCGCCGACAGAAACCCGCCCAGCATGCGGATGGTCATCTCGAACGTGTTGACGTCCTGGTCCTGGTCGTAGGTCAGCCGGCGATGGATCCATTTGCGTGCCTCGGCCAGCCGCGTCGTCAGGTTCATGATCATCAGCGTGTCGAGGCTGTCGACGATCATCCATCCGAGGCCGGACGGGCTCATCTGCGAGCCTGTCTTGGTCAATAGATGGAAGCGATCTTGCCCTGCAACCATTACTGAGCCTGAGCATGTTTTTGTGAGAATCAATTCACGAACCCCATGCGTATTTGGCGTAGGAATCCCAACTGGTGATAAAGGATTCCTTCACCTGCGGTCGTCCCAATCGATGGTTCTCGTGTAATGGCCCGGAGAATCCCTGATCCAGAGAATCAATCCCAGCACTACAGCAGCAGCACCGGCCACAAATGCTTTGATCGTGAAGGATGGCGACGAGAAGCGAGACGCCCGTCGTGCTGTGCGAGGCCTCTTGCGCTGGGAGCCTGCCCTCGCTGCCCGGTCAGAAGACATTTTCTGCTAATTATTCTAGAAATATCTTCCAGCAACTCACTGAAGACAGCAAGAAAGGTCCTTCAATTGAAGGGTAACACGCCAAGTTGGGCTTGCGGCGCAGCACACCGCGCTAGTTGGGCGGTCACACTGGATCGAAGGACAGCATAACTCAAGAGGTTAGTCGAGGAACATATAGGCTTGACTTGGCTGGAAAGGCCCCTGGTGCGATTGATAAACAATAGCCGCCAGACAATATCTCCTCATATTGTTATCATTGTTTCTTCTTGCCTGGACCTAGCTGGCAGGCTGCGACGCATTCCTCCCTCGATGTCCGTCTACCCAGCAGAGACCACCTCCGGCGTGGTCACGTCCTGGATACCGCTGACAACCGTCTGGACTGCATCGGCCGGCTGCTCCGACTCCTTTCGTCTCGACGGGCCCAGCCTGGTAGCCTTCGATCCTGGCTATGGCCTCGACATCGACCACAGAGTCATCTGCCAGCCTCCGGCCGTGACGACATGGTGGGAGCAGGGGCTGCTGGGAGGCGGCGATCAATCAGGCCATACGGCCGTCAACATCCTGCCTCTGACCTGTCCTGAGGGGTTTTCGACCGTGGTTACGTCTACCAGGGACCATTCCAGCACGCTGGCGATGTGCTGTCCGTCGTAAGTACAGTACGACTCTGAAATGCCATCCATTGCCAGTGCTGACCTACCGATGAAATAGAGGCTATTACCTCGCCAATGGACAGACTGGCCAAGTTGAAGGGGACTGCTTGTCCACGGTGCTACCCGGGATGACATTGACGTATGCTTCTGCTCCGGCAACGGAGTCCACAGCATGGACGATCGTGACGACGACGTTGACGTCGTCTTCGACCGTGGGAGCAATTGCGGTCGTGGGGTGGAATGTCGCGAGTCCAACGACAACGACATCGAGTGCAACTTCACTAGCATCAACCGGCTCTGCTACCAGCTCAACTGTCTTTACCACATCGTCTGCTATCCACTCCGCTGCCGTACAAACATCTTCTTCTTCTTCTGTCCGTCCCTCAGACAATCTCTCGACAGGCGACAAGGCAGGAATCGGCGTGGGCGTTTCCCTAGGGATCATCGAGCTGATCGCATTACTATGGACCGTCCTTTTGCTTCGACGAAAACGGGCAGAACCAACCACCACTAACAATAACAATAACAATAATCAAGGGACCATGGACACCTTCAAAGGCCTTCTTCCTCCCTACTCGGAAGTGCAATATCATCCTGCACCGCCCCTGGAACTCCCCGGGCAATGGGATCCGCCGGAATTGGCTGACGGTCAGCAGAGGTCGCCGGTAGAGCTGGAGTAGATTCGATACGATAGCATGGCGTGTGGTATGGTATGGTGTTATGAGCATGCTGGCGTTGAGGACTAAGCATTTACGAGGCGTGTCATGGTCCGTTTCGGGAGTAGATGTGGGATTTAATCAAGTATCTAGACTAGTATTTATTGTCATATACTCAGTTTACTGTCCGCTGATATTATGGAAGTAGGATTTATTATACAAACAGATCAGAACAGTGCTATTGTGAGTGATTCTATGAAAGCTAGTAATACATATGCAAATGTACATACAATACTATGCTATGTCATTCTTTAGATCCTTTCTTATCACTTTTAGAGGGAGATATCGTCTCTCTTTTCCAGTAGACGATTGCCTTGGGTAAGGCCTTAAAGCCTTTCTATCTGCAGTCTTACTCTCGATACCGGTTTACGCAGGAATTTATACGTAGATAGATCTTCGGTGATGGATGAATATTTGTATGACATCCTGCTAGGGTGAAGTTCAGGAGGTAGACACTACACCCCTGTCTAGTTTCAAAGAGAAAAAAAGCAGAAAGAAAAAAAAAACAAAAAACGAAGAAAGGAAGAAAGTGGGGGAGAAAAAAGAAAAGGAAAATAATGTGAATATTAGAAAACTCTTTCCAACTCTTAACTACATACGTCACAATTTGATTAGTCTCTTGTCTTCTGCCAAAAGAACAACCATTATCATTTCCTCGATAATATTATCATTTTTTTGATCAATGCAATCAACACAGTTAATAATGCAGGAGTAGGACTGCCCGATTTTTGCATCGTATGTGCGTATCCAGTCCCTACCGGATAATACTCTACCAGACACCTAATTATATGTGAGCGGATCTAATACAATCATGCTTGGATACTGTATTGAGTATTCTGACTTTGCCGTTGAGATGGAATTAGCAAGCTAACTACAGTAGTCCACAGTATTTACAGAGTACGGAGTAGATATGATAAACTGCATAAGCATAATCATGCCTTATCTCGTCACTACACTGATTATCTTTCCTTTCTCCCATCCTACTGAGCAGTAAGCCCCCATCCACCGGCATCACGACCCCAGTAACCCAGCTGGAGTCCTCACAAGCCAAAAACACCGCCGCGCGGGCGATATCCCGCGGTTCTCCAAACCTGCTTAATGGGATCGTGTGGGCCAGCGTGGCTTTGTTGGATTCGAAGACACCTTCGAAGGCTCTGTCGAGCATGGACGTTTGCGTGACTATGCATGTCGTCAGATACAAGAAAGCATTATCATACATTTCTGGGAAAAACAGGCACATACACCCCGGACAGATGACGTTGCAGTGAACACGATAGGGAGCAGCGTCTAGGGCGACGGTCCTTGTCAACGAAGCGACGGCCCCTTTCGTAGCTGTGTAAATCGCTAACGAGCGAGCACGTCCTCGGATGCCTCGTCGATCGGGTGCGCGTCGCCGGACTCGACGCAGATCCCAGCGTCGTTGACCCAGCTGCAAGGTCAGTTTCTATAGGAATTGGGATGAGAAGTGTAGAACCATCGTTCATTACAAATCCACCCGGCCATACTCCTCCACTGCTCGCTGGACCAGCGCCTCGACCTGCCTCGCGTCGCCCACGTCGACCTGCACGAAGATAGCCTTTCCGTTCTGCTGGTTGATCAGCTCGTGGGTTGGCGTCTTGTCTGGCGCGAGTCCGGCGGCCTTCAGATCGGCACAGACTAGAAAAGCGCCTTCTTGGTGGAATTACAGACAGATGCCGCGGCCGATGCCTCGCGAGGATCCGGTGACAATGGCGACGCGGCCGGACAGTCGTTGCGAGGGAGTGGCAGGTGCTGACATGCTGATGAAGATGTTTCTGTAATATACCAGAAGATAGCTGCCATACATATACCACTACAACTGCGACTTACTCTGCAGTGACAAGAGGGATGATGCCCACGTCCGAGTCAGTTACCCCCGCTGCTGTCTATCCATTGCAGGGATCTTGACGATGGACGCGACCTAACATGCAGTTCCTGCTCCGTAGAGCACACTGCAGGACGCGATGTGACTAGCGACATGGCGATCTCTGCTGGTCTGCTTGCGGCACAGCAGCTGCATAACCCTAGCCGCATTGGGCAGTAGCCCTAACCAGCAGTCAGTTATCGAGTCATGTCGCACAAACTGTGCTCTGATAAGTCTGACTCCCTGTCATGAAAAGCGCTATCTAATGGTTCGCACAGAAATACAGGATGAGAAACGTCCATTGGCAGTCATGCAAATCCGCGTTCCAGTCCAGTTGGTCGGCTTATCCTGCGAACCCAGAATCCCCCAAGCTGCTCTTAGCTTCCATTAGCGCTTTTAGTGGCAGCTTCATGGCGAACCGCAGTTAGCTAGGTAGCTAGATAGCTAGATAGCTAGCTGCTTGCTTGCACAAGAATCGTGCTGCCAGGCCGGCCATAAATACCTGCACGCTGAATTCTCTTCATCCACAACGCTCGAGTCAACCAACATGGCACCGCCCGACGCTCACACCCTCACCCAGGAAGATGCCGACAAGCTGCGCGCGGAGGCCCTCGCCTCCAAGTTCGACGAACTACCGACCGGCTACTATCGCAGCGCCCGCGTCGTCGGCAGCTTCGTCGGCATCGGCGTGACGCTGGTCGGCACGTACCTGGCCTTCGAGGCGTCGGCGGCCGCGGTGACGGGCATCAACGCGGACATCGGCCCCAGCGAGAACTCGAGTCTGTTCTCGACCGTCTGGAACGTCGGCCAGGCGATCAGCATGCTGGTGTTCGGGCGCCTGTCGGATTGCTTTGGCCGGCGAAACTTCCTGCTCAGAGCCAACCTGCTGGGTATCGTCGGCGCCATTGTCGCCTGCACGGCGCAGACGATGAACACCCTGATCGGGGGACAGGTCCTGCTCGGTCTGGCGTCCGGTCCGCCGACGGCCTATGCCCTGCTGACCGGCGAGCTCATGAGCAACAAGACCAAGTTCCTCGGCACGTTGTGCGTGGTCATGCCCAACATCGTGTCCACCGGCTTCGGGGCGTACATTGGCCAGAGACTAAATGTGTATGCCAATTGGCGCTGGATCTTCTACATCTATATAATCACCGTCGGTACGTGAGTCGCCATAAGACCAAAAAGAAAAATAATGCAGTTCTGAGTCAGCCAGTCGTCTCGACGATCATCCTGTTCATCTTCTACCACCCTCCCTCATTCATCCAGCTTCATGGCAAAAAGACCCGCAAGCGCGATGAGATCAAGCAGATCGACTTCATCGGCCTGTTTCTGCTCACCGCCGGGCTGGCGCTCTTCCTGCTAGGCGTGTCCTGGGGCGGCTCGCCTGCCCCGTGGAACTCGCCCAAGATCCTGGGGCTGCTGATTTCCCTCGCGGCAACCTGTGTCCTTTTCGTGCTGTACGAGTGCTTCGGCGATGTCTCGCGGCCAATCATCCACATGCGCCTGTTCCGCGACCTGCGCGGCTTCGCGTGTCTGACCGTCATCGAGTCCGTCATGGGCGTGATGAACATCGCGCTCTTCATCATGTACCCGCAGCAGATCACGTATATCTTCGGGTCGACGATCAGCGGCTGGGAGCAGACGTCGTGGATGTCGTCGACGGCCGCATTCGGCATCTGGACGGGCATTCTGCTGCTGGGCAGCGTGTTTCAAATCGTGCGGCAACAGCGGTCGTTGCATCAGCGCGGACAATCTTCGGGTCGATCTTCACTGCCGCCTTCGTCGCCGTCTACACGAACAAAGTCCCCGGAGAACTGCAGTCGAAGCTCGTCCCTGCGGCACTGTCAGCCGGACTTCCGCAGTCATCTATCTCAGCCCTTCTCCAGGCCGTCGCGACAGGCAGTCCGCAGGCAATCGAGGCCGTGCCGGGGATGACACACGACATGCTCCCTGTCGTGACGGACGCCGTGGCCAACAGCTACGCGGCGGCGTACTCGTACGTGTACTACTTCGCCGTCGCGCTGGGCTGCGTGTCGATCATCGCGGCTGCCTGTTCGCGCGATTTTGATCGCTATCTCACCGACCATGTGCCGTATCAGATCTATCGTAAGACGGACACGGAGGTTGATCCGCTGGAGGGGATGGTTGATAGCCAGACTACGTCTGCTCAAGAGCCTGAGAAGAGTGGCGATGAGAATGGTGCGGAGGTGAAGGCTTAAATTTCTCAACTCTCAATCACGTACCCTCTGAGGAAATATCTTGCAAGATCGAATACAAAGTTAGTTGCATGCGTCCATGAATCGACTATAATTTATTACATATACTTATGAAATACATAAAGTACAGTACATAATTTGAATACAATTGTTGATCGTTTCTCTCCTGCGATAGTTAGCAGGAACCCCTTGTACGTAAAGACAGCGAGACGGACACCTCTTTACCCCATCCATGATCATGATCCATGATCCATGTATCGGGACGTGCCGTCCCACCCTAGCTGCATGCCCTAGATTTAACCCCTGTCCAGACTGCAGAGACATCTGCATCTTACCTGTCACTATCACTATGTCCTACTCCGTATTGTCAAGCCTACACCATTGTCTCTCCTCTCCGTGTAGTCACATACATGCAGTATTTAGTATATGAGCGTGTTTAAGGATTGGACGTCGAGACGAGACATCCGCGTCGGTTGATGGGCACGATATGTAGGCAAATCATAATAATTCTAATGTCGACTAACCCAGCACATGCGATGGTGGATGGATGGGTCGATGTCTTGACTTGATGCTTTAAGAACGGCATTGGCAGCGATGGGAATCCGGTTTCTTCTTTCTCTGTTTCTTTATATTTCCTAAGAGCCTGAACCGTTTTCCTTCCTATGGTCCAAGTAAACAACACTCCTAGTGTATGAGAAGAAATGTTCCCTTTGTCAACAAACATGGGCGTCTTCGACAATACCGACCCAACCGATCTCTCAACAAGACCAATCAACGAGCCTCGACCCATCAAAGTGATAGTCTTTGGCGCAGGCATGTCCGGCATTCTCGCGGGGATTCTGTTTCCGCGATCGATTCGGAATCTCGAGCTGGTGATTTACGAGAAGGTAGGAATGCTCTAGAGGGATTTAATAATATGGTTACTGACGAACAATGTTAAATGAAATTAGAATGCCGACCTTGGCGGGACGTGGTTTGAGAATATGTATGTATAACTCTCATAACTCCTAGAGAAAAAAAAGCAACAAAAGGAAGCTTTTTTTGGGCTTATTGATATTCTGCAGCTACCCCGGAATCGCATGCGACATCCCCTCACACACCTACCAATTCTCCTTCGAGAACAACACCCAATGGAGCAGCTACTATGCCAGCGGCGCCGAGATCCAGGCCTACTTAAAACAGGTAGCCGCGAAATACGATGCCTACCGGTGCATGAAGTTCCGACATCGGGTTCTCAAGGCGGAGTGGCAGGATGATGAGGGGAAGTGGTGTGTTGATGTGCTGAATGAAGATACTGGAGGGGTATGTCCTTTCAATAAACGCATGTAAATAGATATAATTGTGACTGACAATGGCTATATCAGCAATTCATCGACACTGCAGACATCGTCTGCTCCGCAACCGGCATCTTGAACCACTGGCGCTGGCCCAACATTCCCAACCTGCACAGTTTCCAAGGCAAGCTCGTCCACTCGGCCGCATACAATCCCACGTATGACCTGTCTGGCAAACGCGTGGCCCTGATCGGTGGGGGGTCGAGTGGGATCCAGATCCTGCCCCGGATACAACCGCTCGCAAAAAGGGTTGACCACTACATGAAGGGCCGCAATTGGATTCCGCCGGTGGGTTTTGGTGCGGAGGGTATGGCTGAGCAGGGGGGTTCTGGTATAACCCGTCGTTTTTCTTCTGGAGTTAACCCCTGTCTTTGAAAGTCCGTCAGGTCGCAACTGTTTACTGATATTGACCAGTAACGACGCCACCTGAATACCTCGACAAATTCAAGAATGACCCGAAAGCATACCTCGAGTTCCGACGCCGCATCGAAGACGTGCTGAACAAGCCCATGGAGGCGCTCTACCGGAACACCGACGCGGAAAAGATGGCATTTGAAGCCTGTCGAGAACACATGCGCGCCAAACTGGCCAAGAAGCCGGAGATTTTTGAAGCCCTCGTGCCGGATTTTGCGGTTGGATGCAGAAGGCTCACACCTGGGCCGGGGGTATGCTCATGGCTGTTATCTGTCATATATTCTGCTGTACTTGACTGATTCGTCTCTGGCTTAGTATCTGGAAGCACTAGTCGAGAAAAACGTCGCGTTCATCCCGACTCGGATCAGGGAAGTCGTCCACGATGGCATCGTGACTGAAGACGGAAAGAAGCGCGAGGTGGACATGATCATCTGCGCTACAGGATATGACGAGTAGCCATCTCTCTCAATATCTCTCTCTATATACAGCTCCAGATACTAACGACTCCAGCGTCCACAAGCAGCATTTCCCCGTCATCGGCAAGAACGGTATCAATCTCCAAGACCTCTGGGACGACTTTCCTCAGGCATACCTGTCGTTAGCGCCAGCTCACATGCCGAATTACTTCTGCTTCCTGGGACCGAATGGCGGGGCCGCGCAGGGCTCGAATGTCCCGTTCCTGGAGAGCGCAGTTCGCTATGTGATCAAAGCTATTGAGAAGATTCAGCGGGAGTTTATCAAGAGTATGGTTCCGAAGTAAGATTCCCTTTGCAGCGTGTGATTCTGTTCTGTCCACTGACAGGAGCGTGCAGGCCGCACCTGGTAACCGCCTTCCGGCAGTACATAGACCAATATTTCGCCCCGACAGTTTTTGGCGCGACGGTGAGAACACACTATCCAACTAGAAGAAAAGCCTTTGAACAGTATGTATTGACTTTATATAGTGCAACGCATGGTGGAAGCACAAACGCGCCCCCGACGGCCGTATACTTGCCGTCTGGCCCGGCAGCCAGCTCCACGGCTCCAGCGTCATGGCCAACCCCCGCTGGGAAGACTACGAGTACGAGCTGCGGGACGAGCTGAAAGGGAATCCGCTTGCGTGGTTCGGCAATGGTTTTGTCAAGGAGCAGCTGATGGGGGCGCTTACGACGGGGTATTTGGATGAGGCGTATGTGCCGGTTGAGAATCCGCTTGATGAGAAGGGGAAGGAGAAGCGAAAGGAGGTTAATGGGCAGTAAATCGTTTCTTGTGCAGTGTAGTAATTTTGATTGTGATAGTCTTTTATAGTTTGCCGAACTATCTGTCTGCTCTTGCAAGGATTAGTGTTCCTGACCCACGCTATGTATCACCTTCAGTCACCATGGAATAGGTCCATAATTTCAAGCAAGCCTCAGGGTCTAGAAACTGCATATCATTACATTTTTAAGAGGCACTCTCACAAATGCCGTCTGAGATGGTCATGCTCGATAGAGTTCTCGTCACGATTAAATTACTTTCTTTTGGGAAACACACTGTCTGACCGAGTCAACGACAGATAGGTCAGTCATACCCGGATTTCCTGTATTTCAGTCATAACCGCTTCAACGAGCAATGCATGACGATAATAAGCATAACACGCAGTCAATATCTTGGCGGATCGGTGCTCAGGACAATCGTGCTGTCAGTCACAAAGAATGAAATCATCACAAAAAAACTAGTCAGCTCGAATTACCAGAACAGTCATATACACACAAGAAGCTACGGCTGGTTCCGCTCTGGTTGCTTCTTACCTAGTTGCACTCTATTTTCTTGGTCGACTTCTTTCACCACTCCATCTTCGATATACTTGATTTGTTTTCCATCCCGGAAACTCTGACGATGGAGCTTCTGAATTTGTACACCCTGCTCATCAGCATAGCTTTTGCCTTCATGTTGGTGCTGATATCAATCGCAAGAGACCTCCACCAAACTAACTAATCTATTCCTTCAGAGTTTCTGCAGCAACTCCCTACAGATACCCCCTCCTCCTTCTCGCCGATCCTTCAACCTGGGCATCCGTTCTGTTAACAATACAACTCCTGAAACCCTCATCCGTGTCCTGAACGTCGTCCACGTCTCTACCGGAGTCATGTCCTTCGAGCCTGACACTTTTAACGACCTGCCTATTGGGGCAGCACTCCTCCTCGTGGGACAACCGGAAGGGAGCATGTTCGACGTCTTCAGCACCCTCACTAACGACCCGTTCAAGGCTGGGGTAAAGCTGAATAATAATGGCTCCACGTCTGTATATTCTTATAGCGTCTACATGCCTATGTAGAATACGCTCTATGCGTGCCCTGTCAATATCTCTAGAGATTCGAATTGTCGGTGTGACAAGAGGTGGTTGCTTCGTATAAATACGGCCCCTAGAAATGTATCGTCTTCCATACAGACTGCACCAACGACAGGGCGAGCTCTTGGTGCGAGTACGGGTATAGGCACGGGCATGGCTCGCAGTACAGCCACAGCTATAGTTAGGAGGACAGGCACTGGTATAGCTAGACGGAGAGCTGCAGCTGAGAGGCACTGGTACAGTTATTAGCGGCCCTTGGCGATCGACTTGTATTTCTTTTCCTTTGTATAGAGGAGCGCGAATTCAATCCTAATTCATACCAGCCTAACTGGTCTCAAGGATAGTGTATGATAAATAAAATGAAAGCCTTAGGCCTCACTGACAATTGTGACCTAGATTATTGCTAACAAGAAAAATTAATAGTTTCGCTAGACTCGTCTTTTTTTAAATATTTCACTAGCACCTTGCCAGGGGTAGCTGTTCTCAATACGGTAATTCGGTTAGCCACTCAATCCTACCTCTCAAAGGCCTCAATCTCAGCCTTGGCCATCTCAGGAAAAAACTCAAACAGTCAAACTGGTAGGCTTTTCGACAAAGTAATAGCCCTCAGGGTTCCCCCCTGACCAGCTATAGCCAAGAATTTGCTCTCCAGGAATAGAGTTGCCATCGAGGTCCATAAACGGCGAGGACATTCTACTTGAAGCCAGAGGTGAGGGAGAATGATGGCAATTGAATTTAGAACATAGTCAGTCTGAATTAAAGTACATGTTCTAGAAGATCCTCTGTTGCATGGGCTCACGCAGAGTAAATGATATTTGAATATTAGTTAATATTTCTGATTTCGATATTGGAGATACGGATAGGTCGATTTCATATAATGCTTTAAAAAAAATTCAAAATGGAATTCTCGTAACAAGAGGTCTCCCTTGATATGGATTCTCACGTGATCGAAAGTTGTTTTGCTTACTCTCACCTCTTAAATAGAATTGACCAAAATGCACCTTCTGTCATCATCACCACTCGTGCTGCTGCAGCTACAGGACCAACAACGGTAGTCGGCCAGTGCCACTGGACAGTCAATTGACACCTGACTCACGCAAGGTAGATGACTGTACAGACCCAATGTTGCTCCACACACCTGCCCTCTCTCTCTTGGCGCTGTCCTACATGGCAAATGCCCAAAGGTGTATTATGTATCTAACAGGGTGAGCAATGATGAAAACCTGAGCTTTACCGTTCTTGCATTGAACAACAATCCAGTCAACATAATGTCGTTCCTGAGCCTTCGCTCGTGTCGGACGTAAAACATGTCTCTCTCGCCTTCATGCGTCCTTCGACATTCACTGCACCCAATGTCTCTGAATGGCCGCTTTTCACCACAGTCGAGTCTGTCCGCCCCAAGTTTGCGAACGGCACTGCCATCCTGGTCGCAATTGGGGGATGGGGTGATACGCAGGGCTTCTCCGAGGCAGCAGCGACGGAGAGCAGCCGAAAGCTGTTTGCGCGAAACGTCAAAGCGATGGTGGACCATACTGGGGCAGATGGTAAGGCCGACAACTCTGACACTTCTGAGTCAATTGCTGATTAGCCGTTCACTTCAGGCGTTGACATAGACTGGGAATACCCCGGGTAGGTAAATTTCTTTCCATGTCATCAGGCAGCAAACTTGCTGACCATGTACTAGTGGAAATGGAGAGGATTATAAACAAGTCCCCAATTCTGAGAAAGCCTGGGAAATCGAAGCCTATACCAAGTTACTCGCAGAAATTCGGTCCGCACTCGGCCCTGACAAGTTGATATCGGCTGCTGTGCCAGGTCTTCGGCGGGATATGCTCGCCTTCACCAAAGAGACGATCCCAGAAATCAGTTCCTCGGTGGATTTCTTCAATATCATGACATACGATTTGATGAATCGGAGGGAGAATGTCACGAAACATCACACAGGCATCCAGCTATCATTGGACGCGGTAAACGCGTACTTGGAGAACGGAGTTCCGCCAGAAAATGCCAATCTGGGGTTTGCATTCTACGTGAAATGGTTCAAAACCGACCCCGAAGGGGGATGCGATCAGAACCCAATTGGATGCAAAACGGTCTTGATGGAAGATCCATCGACAGGCGCTGACCTGGGACAATCAGGTTCTTTTTCCTGGCACGATCCAGTTCCCTCGGAGCTTTCCACCTCTTTTGAGAGGGCCTTATCTGGGGGAGAATACGATAGCGAAGGAGGCGGGCACTACTTCTGGGACTCGGAGGAGAATATTTTTTGGACTTGGGATACACCGGAGGCCATTCTAAAGAAGTTTCCGGCTATCATGGAGACAAAGAATCTGGGCGGTGTGTTTGCATGGGGACTGGGCGAGGATGCTCCTGACTGGGCTCATTTGAAAGCGCTGACGGCCGGTTTTCGCGAATATTCACAAATAACTGGGGATAAGCAAGTTGGGGCATCCTCACAGCCCGCAAGTACGCGAGAAAAAGATGAATTATGACTATCTGTGGGTGTAGCCTTGAAGTGGGTTATCGAGACGATTGCAAGAATTTTATGACCATCGAAGTGAAGCAAATGGCATGGGAACATCATAAATCCTACCAGTATTCCTTCGATTACCGTTTCTGGAATATATTGGTGACATTTTCTCGGGCCGGCCCGTAGAAGCCAAACCCTAATATCCTCCCGTTAGGGTTACCAACATAGCTACGTTGCTATCGGATGTGACATTCGTGGTCCATGACTCGTAAGAACAGATGATGTAGGCAACAATTTTGACTACAGGAAAGCTAGACCTCTGTGGACATGCTTAAAAAAAAGGCTATGATCAGAGACAGTCGTACAGTACAATCACGATAGAGAGAATAGGCTGGTTATAATCAACCTACGAACCTTGGAAGATGCCGTCTTCTTTGCCTCAGGACGCATTCTCCACATGAGACGGTCTTCGCCTTCCCAGAGTAGAAGTTCTAGTGGCTGGCACTAATTAATCATTGGAATGTTGTCCTCCCGGGAAGTTTCTCTATACGCCACTTATCTTATTTCCCTTGGCTGGAGCTGTGGAAGCGGTGTCACTTTAAGGATAGTCCACTGTGCATGTTCAGAAGGAGTAAGTGTTGAAAGTCAGAAGAAGTAGGTGTTGAAAGAGACATCTCATTAACTCCAGTAATATGGTCCCGGAGTCTGTCAGATGCATTTGTTCGTGTAGCCATATCGCTGCATTCTTCGTATCACTGGTTCCTTCTCTGGACCGGACGCTTCGGCCATGTACTCCGTATCACCTGTGAGAGTTTCAAGTTCAGAGGACCCAAATGCCGAGGTTACACCAATGCCCTATCTGTGCAATGGATAACGAATGCTTGGATGTGTACGGAGCATATCCATATGTGTGGTTTTGTGGCAGAGGGCGTTTTCTTTTCTGTTGTCTGGCGTGGTCATTTAGTTGATTCAGACCCAAGTCAGCTCATTCAGCTCTTGTTGGCCCTTTTAAACCTGGAGTCTCAAGGATAGGATGCGCTGAATGCCCACGATAAGATTGGATCGGTCGTCTACCTAGATTAATATGGTAATGCTGTCGGAGTATGTATAAGTTATGCATTTAACTATGCAGTTAGTTACGCATGTTATGCATTCAGTTATGTACTCCGTACTTGGTTATGTATTTAGTTATGCATTTGTTTATTTGTTTATTTATTCTGCAAAACATTTGATATCCCAAAATCATCTGCCAACGCCAAAAATAAAAACGATTAATTCCACTCGAAACTCGAACTCCTAGTGGACAAATCTTCAAGTCAAAGAACACATACCCCAAAGGTATGAACGAATTATGAGGCTGATTTTAGCCTGTCGATCACTTACGTGTCTTTACCTTCTTTGTCTAATGCCCACCCCGGACCTTGGGGGCCGACACGTCACTGACATTTCTTTGTTGCACTGGAATTAGCGTTAAATGTTGGGTTACACGCACGACCAAAAGAATGGACGTGTAGATTATCTCCATGTAAAAAGATGTGTCCTCGCCTTCTAGAACCTGGGGAATTTGTTTCCTCTCGTTCATCTTGAGGCGTCAAGACTGCCTACCCCGACACCAGCAATATGATAGCTCTACTTACAGACTTCTCGACGTCCCCGTATCTTCTGCCATGCGTCCTGGCGACGCTGGCCATCGTGCTGGTTGCAACCCTGTACAATGACATCTCAGACGAGCTCCCCTACCGGCGGTTCCCCTTGGTGGGAAAGGGTCGATGGGAAATAACGAATCGAAAGGCTAAAAATCGCTTTCTCACCTCCGCCAGGGAGCTCATCTCCCAGGGCTTTAGTCAGGTATGATAGATCATAGCTTAGTGGTAGAAAGGAAAAAAAAACTAATATGTTTCTTGCAGGGTGTTCGCGTGTTCCAGCTCAGAACTCCCCTTGGCCCCCTCTTGGTGCTCCATCCTCAGTACGTCAACGAACTGAAGAGCCATACTCATGTCAGCTTCACAAAGGCGATGCAAAAGGTACCCGTCATGGCTTTCGGGAATTCCGTTTTCTAACTCTTTCAGTTGTTCTTGTATGGCAAGTATCGTGGTCTGGCGAGCTTTGGACAAGGCGACCAGCAAGACATCTTCCAGACACTGGTCCAGGGCAAGCTCACTCAGTCGCTTGGTATGTAGATAGATACCCAACGACTGAAAGAGGGACGCATTTCTGATCCCTGCCAGGTCAAGTCACTCTCCCACTGTCCAAGGAGACGGCAGCGCTTCTCCGGGAAACGTTTCCTTATTCCGAAGGTATGCTCCCCGGCCTGAGGTTAATATAGTTCTGTGCTTATTTGTGTTCAGAATGGAAACCGTACGTCTTTGCCCAGACCGCTCCGTATATGGTTGCCCGTCTCTCGTCCTTGGTCTTCCTGGGCGACAAGATCTGCCGCGATAAGGAATGGCTGGACGTGTCGGTCAACTATGCCCTCGACGCCTTCAGCGCTGTTCGCGCCCTCCGGCTCTGGCCGTCGATCCTGCGTCCCTTTGTGCAATGGTTTCTCCCGGAAACCCGCAGGGCGCAGAAGCATCTGACCGTCGCCCGCAGGATTATCCAGCGAGAGATCGAGCAGAGAAGGCGAGAGGAGGCTCTCGGACACAAACGCTCCTCTTCAGACGCGCTCGACTGGGCCCGCGAGGTTGCCGCCGGGCGTCCTTTCGATGAAACGCTCGGCCAGATCGGTCTGTCGGTGGCAGCCATCCATACCACGTCGCAGCTGCTCACAAACATAATCTATGACCTCGCTGCGTATCCGGAATATGTCGCCCCGTTGAGGGAGGAGATCAAAACCGTGCTGCAGCAAGAGAACGGCTGGAAGGCCAGCGCGCTGACCAAGATGAAACTGCTCGACAGTGTGATGAAAGAGACGCAACGATTGAACCCGGCGGGTATAAGTAAGAATCATTCAATCTCCCAAAAATGAAATCGTTCAGTCTAACAGAGTAATGCATACAGCCCCCCTCAACCGTCTCGTAATGAAGGACATCACCCTCTCCGACGGGACGGTCTTGCCCAAAGGCGCCTCGGTGGCCATCTCCTCACATCCCGTCATGACGGACGCCTCGATCTACGAAGACCCGGAGAGGTATGACGGGCGTCGGTTCTGGCGCAAACGCCAGGAACCCGGGAACGAGCATCGGTACCAATTCGTGACGACCAGTCCGGAGCATCTCGGCTTTGGCCACGGACAGCACGCGTGCCCCGGGCGGTTCTTTGCCGCCAACGAGATCAAGATCGTGCTTGCGCACCTGCTCATGAAGTACGACTGGACGTTTGCCGACAAGGATCGCGGACGGCCCAAGACGTTGACAATCGGGACGGAGAACATCGTCGATCCGACGGTTGTGTTGCTCTTCAAGTCCCGGAAGCCGGAGATTGACTTGTTTGAGTAGTAGCATGGGTCGAGTTTTGAATATAAAACGAGACTCGTCATTTCAGCATATTGAAGCGTTAAGCGGGGACTTTATATTGCTGATATAGTGGTTGTGGTTCGGGTTACGTGTGCAGGGATGTACTGCACATTCCTACTATATATCGAACAACATACGACGGCATTTGATTTATTTCTTCACCGAGATATAGTATACACGATTTGACGTCGGACGTGATCACTCTGGTTTCGCTTTCTACATGGTGTTACTTGGATGAAAAATTATTTGAATTGTTGTTTGAACAATGTCTCATTATCACATATGTTGCAAGGTATCTATATTGCATCAGACTACACCACACCTCAGCAGACAAATTGGATACTTATTTCAGATAGCGTATATCCTTTTTCAACTAGCCTCTGTTCGGAGCCTTGGGTAGATTGCTGAAATATCTATTAGTCCTGAATGCAGTGCTTGTCCGTTTCGGTGCAAAGAGGAAAGGATGTCTGAATGTTGACTAGACAGGAAGTCCTAGTAGGACATGAAGAATTAAAATGATTAGGAAGGAACAGGAAGATAAGAAAGCAGGCTTATTTTAAACAAAAAGAAAATCCTAGGAATGATAAATTTCTATCCATCTCCTTCGTCTCGACCGGTGAGATCATATCCACTACCTAAGACTCCTTGACAATTAATTAGGACGTCGCGGTTGAGGACTGATCTGAACATCCTCTTTTTTATTTGAGGCATTACTGCCTTTTTTTTTGTTTTCATCGAGAACCATCTTACTACAAAAAGTACTCTAAATCTATTACAAATCCCTCGTGTTTGGTACTAAGACAACTATACCACTATTTTTTTTATACAAAAGATCATAACCGAAGAAAAAAAAGGAAGGGAGAGGGAGAGGGGAGGGGGGCTCAGGCTTCGAAGTAAGAGTCACCTAAGCCAAAAAAAGAAAATGAAAATGAAAAATGGAAAAAAGAGAGAACACAAAAAAAGGATATAGAAAAATGCTGTATGTAGCCAAACTAATTAATGTTTTTAGTACTGTGTATACAAACTGAGCGCCACTTTCGGATCGGTGGAACTTATACCAACTTCCTACATTACATTCATTTTTGAGGACTCATATTTGAATTTATTTTTTTTGTTTAATATGGATTTTACTGGCAATATATGAATCCTCGTAGATTGTTGGTAATTTGATGGGCGAATTATCTGTGGTATTGATAGGCTGAACTCTAGCTTTCAGCTTTTATCCTCGAGCCTTCCTTGCCGTTAGCGAAGCATCTCTTGCAGTTGAGAGATGGATATAGTACGAAGCTAACAAGCCTTTTTTTCCATACAAAGCAATGCATATATCGTGATTGGCTCTCTTGGTTTATGAGCCCTGTCTAGGCTTAAGTATCATCCGCGCATGATCTCCCCCTAATAATTCCAATTCTCTTCTTTCTTCCCTATTGAGTCTTCTTACAGCGACGCTAGTTATTAGTCTAGAATAGATTGACTAGCTGCGATGAGGAATTGCCGGGCTGTCTAATCAAGCAAGCAAGCAGACCGGCAGGCAGCAAGCAGGAGCAGCGTACCGAGGCAACTAATTACCATGCTGAACGAAAGAAAGGACTGATCTAGCTAGGTTCCGGGAGATCCGGGAATGAAATGAAGCGACCAGTTATGTGAGACAGAGAGTGTGTGGAATGATACGGATTTTGTTTTGGGGGATTGAATTTGTAGTCTGCTTAGGTATTGTATCATGATTTTGATCTTCTCTAACAATCCTCTTCTGGTCTGTCAGTCTAGTCAGTCAATCAGTCAAAAAGTATTGCCTAATTGTTTGCGTGACAGAGCCAACTAAGAATACTACAGAATAAGCTCTAGTGAACTTGGAGGCATATTACAGAGTATTCCCTGTAACATCTTTGTCCAATGCCTGCGCCACGGATCCCTTAGTAATAAATACTAATCTTAATGCGGATAAATCCTTATCCTGACATACAGTAGTAGTCTGTCTACTCTGCACGACGTACAGGGATGCTAACCGACACAGGCCCTAAATTAGTGGACAGGCATCATGGCCAGGTCTAGACGGGGGTCTTGTTCAGGACTAGGTTTGTAGATGCAGGGTTCCCTGGTAAAGTATTACTCCGCATATACCCTCGATAAGAGCTGCAAGTAATGGTATACAGGAAATTGAAGACCATAGTAACCTGTCCAGACTCCATGGTAGACTTGGTACAGAGAATTGCATGTTTTACAAAAAGTGCGCAGCTAATAATACTAATTCATTTCCATGCAGTACGGCAGCAATTCTGGGATATAAGCCTAGTCTTTGATTTCCAGCACCCAGAGTAGTGTTAGTGCTCACGGAATACGAGACAAGGTGGAAGCTCACTGGTGAATACCCGACAGATGGAATGTGATTGACACTGCTTTCTCTATAACGAACCTCCTCCTGTATATGGCCATCTCCATCTCCATCCTCTGTTCCTCTAGACGAGGGGTTCTTTGATAGTCGAAATTCATGTCTGCATCGTCTGTGCTGGCATATAGGTATGTAGGCAGGTATATGAGTAGAAGATTCAGCAAACAGCAGGTGCTGTTGGCACTTAAATATCGAGGAGAGCTACAGAGCACAACTGTCGGCTACAAATTTCTTATCGGTACTCCGTCCTTCGTATACTCTGTACATTACTCCATACGTACAAAGTGTGTATACTATGTTTATCACATTCCTGGATAGGCCAGACTAAATTGTCCACTTTCCCTTTATGTACTCCGTACGGCATTCTCCATTAGGTATCTGCTCTATAATACTCCGTACTAGACTGCTCCATAGGGTTACCGGAGTTATGTTTCCACCCCGGATTCGACTACTAATAAGAATATGCCAGATTGGAAGTTGAACAGTGTCGTCGTAGTGGATCTGACAAACCTGCCTCGGAGTCCGGAGGATTGCCCTTCCGTTGCTGATCAGTAATCGTCTGACGTGTAACTAGATCCTTGGTAGATTATTAACCCAAGGAACGGGATACACTAGTATTCCGTACGGAGTATTAGTACTAAGTATTATCACGGCACAATCCAAATCCATCGTGCTCAATTAGGGTTTACGGAGGTGGCATTCCGGCACGCTCAGACCTCGACCGGCTCGACGTCACCCCGTTAGTGTGTTTAGCACGGTGCGCTTTACCAAAGGCATTCTAGTCGAGGTACTCTGGGGTCTGGTTTCTCTCTGTGACAGGTGCAGGGTTTCTGGTACGTAAACTCCAGATGGGATGGGGCTGCAGCTAATTATATAGTTCTAGTTCTAGCCTTCGCTAAACTTAAGGCCAGCTGTCATGCAACGTCGGAGGTGGAGAGCTTGCTGGAAGCGAGTGCACTTACTCCATATATTTAACCAGCTTTGATCATGGGATAATATTATCTGAATTATTCGAAAAAGATTTGGGCAAGGATAACAGGTAGACAATAACTACAACTACACATACGTTTGCACCTCGTCTACTCCGTACACATCCTCCATAGGCATGCTCCACACGGAATTCCCGTCTCCGTGCTCCTCCAGACGGACGGGCCAGACTAGTGGGTACATCGTCTGTGCAGACTCTGCAGAGTACGGAGTTTTTCTGCTTGGTGCCGTAACGCTTGGTTCCCTCGGTATTGGTGTAGCTACCTAGCTAGATTAGTGTGTACGCCAGCTGAGTCTACGGAGTATGATAATAGCTTACGCTATACCTAATCTTATAACGTATTTCCCGGCTGTTTCGATCACCCGGTTGCTCCGATCACTAGAATACCCATACAAAATGCGTTTTTTTGTACGCTCATATCTCAACAAGCTTTAAAGATATTAAAGAGATAATTTATATACTATACTTATAAAGTATTTACAGCATACAGCATTAATCAGAAGTAGTCTACTCTATTATTTACTGGAATAACATAAAATACAGTGTAATTTTTATGTAAAATTAAAAAAATAAGGTATCTAAAAAGCAATATATATAATATTAACCTTATATTTCTCTTACAAGTAGTTATACCTATATATAATCTGATTTTAAAATTAAAGGCCAGGATATAATATAGACATTGTGGTATGAGCGTACAAAAGAACGCATTTTGTATGGGTATTCTAGTGATCGGAGCAACCGGGTGATCGAAACAGCCGGGAAATACGTTAATGACTACAGTGCTTGACAGGGTACCAGACGAAGATGCTGTTTGGTGCTCACCGCCAGGTAGGTACTGTATTGACGTTGATACATTCATACCTACATGGGAATACTAAATAAAACAACAACAAGAAGAAGATATCAAATTCCAAGCTTGAACTGCCAAAAAAAAAGACTTTGTGTCAGTTTTCAACTTAGGTAGCAGATCCATACTCGGTACACGCAGTATTAACATTAATATGAACCAAGTTAATAATAATGACCCCTGTCAATTAATTTACTTTTTTTTTCCCTTGCCAATTAAATCCGGCAGTTATCCAGACGTCATACTCAGTAATGTCATTAATTACGATATTAATTACCATAATAATATTAGAGGAGCGAGAATCCTTTTAAACTAGCTAAGTACGGACAATCCTTGTTGTAATAAAAGGACAGTCTAATTACATGCTTCAATGATTGACTTTCCATACGTGATGGGTGGAGGATTGGCCACGTATGTCGTACATGTATGTACTGTGCAGTATATAAATTATGACCATTGATGTCGTGTGCAGCGACATCATGTCATGCATGAGCTCGACCTGAAAGTCATTAATATATTATATTATACCTATTATGGATTTACATATAGGCTTGACGAATCAGATAGCACCTAGCTTAAGTGTATACTGCACCCTGTATAATAATCCAGTTAAGCTAGATATATATATTTCCACTCAAACAGAGATATGAAGTGCCATGACAACCACTTTCAACCAGCTAATATTGCGTCTTTTCTGATTGAATATCCATTTATGGAGTATAGACAGTATAATTTCTGATCATAGACCATGCGTCACATGTAGACACGAGGGTAGAAGTTTAAGGATGATGTATCACATGCAAGGTTTCTTTTTTCTTTTTCTTTTTTTTTCTTGCTGGCATGCTTGTGACAACGCCGGCATTATGCATATTCTCCGGTAGGTTACTTCGGAGTATTTCTAGGCGAATCTCCCAACGGTCGTACGGACTGGTTCTCTGCTTCTCTTTGAATGGATCTAGTAAAATATGCTTTTATTCTCATTACTATGTACTCGTATTTGTGCATCGGATCATGTCTATCTGCCTGCAGGTTTTAGCTTTACATACATACTCCACGCCCTCTGTTCTCTGCAAGAAAGTTGAGTTCTTGCTGGTGGCGCGAATCATACAATAACCCTCCGCACACAAGCTGCTGCTCAGGCCAACTCACACTCAATCAAACTCTCAACGCCCTTCCCGGCCGTGTAGATGTTGACCACCTTCAGCCCAGCAGACTCAACCAGCTTGCGCCACTGCCGCTCCGTGCGCTCCTGCGACGCGAAGATGCTCATCATGATGATGTCTAGCGATGTCGTCTGCCAGTCGGCGTCCGTGTCTGGGATCACGTTCTCGAAGATCAGGATCTTGCTGTAGCCGGGCGTCATGGCCTTGGCTAAGTTGGTGAGGATCACCTGGCATGTCTCGTCGGGCCAGTCGTGGAGGACTGAGTGCATGTAGTATGCGCGGGCTCCTGTAGCAAAGGTTAGTCTCTAGTCTAGTCTAGTCTAGTCTAGTCACGAGGGAAAAGTGTTTGCTCACCCTTGACAGGCTGCTCCGTGAAAAAGTTGTGCACCATCGGATTGATGGACGGGTGGAGGTTCTTCTTCGCGTTCTCAATCACCTCCGGCAGGTCCTGCAGCACCAGCTGGCCCTTCGCCTCGGGATGCTTACGGCGGAACTCCTCCAGGTCGTGTCCTGTGCTGCCGCCGACATCGACCAGCAGAGCCGTGCCCTCCTCGTGCCCGTTCACGAGCCGCTCCTCAACCGGATAGAAGCCCTTGTCCGTCCAGCTGGGCCGGCCCTGGCGGTAGGCAGACATGTGGTTCATGAACCGCATCGGGTAGATCGGGTTCGTCTTCAGGTAGTCGAAGAAGGGGAGGTCGGTGTTGAAACCCAGCTGCAGGGCTGTGTTGGTGTTTTCAGTCGGTGCGTGGTACCCATTCTTCCGCAACCATTCGGGGAAGAGGGTGATGGCGTTCGTGATACAGTCGGTCCTGGGTCGTGTCAGAAACAATCACCTGCATCTACCCAAAGACAGTGACACTTTACATGCAAGGGAACCCGTCCCCGTATTTCTGGATCGTCAACGTCTTTGCAAAGTTGGTGGCGGCGTAGACGTCTGGTCCTCTTTCGTAGATGACGCCCATGGCTGCCAGATGCTTCAGGATCCGGCCTGGTATGGCATCAGCACTGTCTCTCAAATCAACAGCATATCGTTGGAAACTCACTCAGGAAGACTGGCTCCGCGCCAGTCGCCTCAGCCAGCTCAGCCGCCGACTTGGGCTTCTCATCTTTGGCCAACACCTTGAAGACACCCAGATCGATGGCGATCTCAATTGCAGCAGTGATGGTGCTCTGAAAGAAAGAACTGAGCAACAACACTCAGTCATCATCAACTGATCGATGCAGACTCACCTGAGACCAGCAGTACCGAATCATCGCTTCACGGGGGGTCTCGAGGGCATAGACCAAGTTACGAGCCGACTCCAGCAGCTTCAACCGCGCCTGCGGGTCGTTCTGGGCAAAAGCCTTGCCATGCTGGGCAACCTCCTCGAGCAGACGAGGCACCTCGTGCGCCGCGTTCGCCGTCACCGCAATGCTTTCGTCCAGGACGGGAGCAGCGGGCGTCCCGTTTGTCGCCGCTCCGTTAGTCTGGGCCATGGTCTAGCTTAGCTGTCTAAGGGAATATGAGATGCAGAAGGATTAAATTAGGTGGTGGTAGTTGGTCAGGGAGGCCGGGGGGGTGGTGGCCAGGAACAGTTCTGAAGAGAAGTGGATTTTGAGAGAGAAGGAAGGATTCCTGCTGCATAAATAAATTATTTCCTCTTCGGACGACAGAACCGCCCTCAGGGGGACTTGATAACCAGATTCAGGGGGCGGCGGTGTGGAACTCTCGTTGGAACGAGAGCTGATGTGCGTTTAGAGGGTTTTCTTTTTTCCATTACTAGGGATGTCCATGGACAGTTCAACAGATGTTATGCAGATATGGTCTGATAGGACCCATCTGCAGACCCCGACTCGGTTCGTATTTTTGGGTCCTCTTAGCACGAGTCAGGCTTCAAACACTGCTACTCCGTACGGGGTCAGATTATCTGTTCGACAAGGACCACGGTTCTCTTCGTCCTTTAAGTACTCCGTACACACTCTCTTCTCGTCCATCATCCTTGTCCTATATTAGTGAGTCAGACCTCGGCTCTCAAACCTCCCACCGAGTCTATTCCGTGCTATGAGACAGCGGTCTACGTTAGATGAATCCCTGATGGAGCAAGACGAACGACGGCGGATGTTGATTTGGGGAATCCCTGCAGTGACGAGCGAACGGTTGGCGCCATGAACTCTTGTCTGTCGATCGAATGGTCGGCCGGGGTGGCATAGCTGCGTTGGAGATGCATGAAGAATAATAGTGGACGCGTATTACTGAAGAGTAATGTGTTTCACACAGACTTCCACCGAGTGGGGACATTGAGGTAGTTCAGACAAGGCGATTGGCGCACTGTCCTGTCACTGCCTGGACTTTATCTGCCGGATGCCCAAACCAGCATCGACAAGAACTTTAATCCCATCAAGGATATTAGCTTGCAGGTGGCTCCGCTAGGATGCATAGTGGGTGACTGGCTTGTTAGCCCGTCGGGCACAGAAATGTGCAGACTGCATTGCACAGAGTACTGTGTACAGAGCTCCAACGGTGCTATTCAAGTCAGCTTCTGGGCCTTTAATCGTCGTTCACCGTGTACGGCGTACTGTGCCTCGTGCGCAAGGCCTACTGAAGCGACTTCCTCCGAACCGACGGCGAGGCAGTAATACCGTATAGGCCGTCTTGGCCCCTGTATAGGCTCAATCACTCCAGGCACTCCGTAATCATGTCAGAGCGTTGGTGCTGGAGCATACGGCCGAATCGAGACAAGAGCGGGCGAAGCTTATATCTTGACAGCGGAAGCCCGCGCGGCCCCCACTGCGGGCTGCCAATCTGCGGTTCCGATTGGCCGAAGAATTCGGCAGCGGAGACGGCGTTCCTTGGCGTCGGGCCTGGCGGAGCTTGTTGTATAACGGCCTCCATCGAGACGCTGATAGTCTTCTCCGTACCAGCTGCAGAGTGCTCCGTATTCCGCAGCCCTGAAGAAATGCTAGTGAATATGCCTCAGCGGGTGGTAACCCCTGGTCGACCTGGCAGTTCGTCGTTTCTGATGTCTGCCCTGGTAGGGCCCGATTGGCACAACGGGCCTGTCAGCCGTTAATCTTCGCCCGTTCGCGCTGCTACCAAGGCGTCGGGGCGCAACGATGGCCCTGGTTTGAGAACAGCCCGCTGGAGCGCAGCCCTGTCCGTGTCAATCATGCTTGACAGCTCGCTTAACTAGATAGATGTAGATGGTCGGATGGTTTACTCCGTACGCAGTATATGGCATCCAGTATAATGTTGGACGTACAAGTGCATACGTCCCATGGTCATCGACAGACGAGAACGTCCTCTTAAGCTATATTTCTCATCCAAGTGCTGAGCACGCTGTCCTTCATCTTTTTCCCTCTCTTTCAACCATCACCGTCAAAGGTTCAACACCATGGCGGACGCAGCTGCTGGCAAAAACCCACATGACAACCAGGGGCCAACCATCCTGGCGACCATGTGGACGTTGACTATGATCACGACCCTCATAGTCATCGCCAGAATCTTCATTCGAACCTATATAGTGAAGGCCCTAGGTCCAGATGACTGGCTGATTATGGTGGCGATGGTGAGATCGAATGAATCTTCTCTCTGAAACAGACGCTTCAATGTTGTTCAACTCAGCTGATGCGAGATCGTGATGGATTCAGGTTCTGGGTTTGATCTATCTCGGCATTACCACAGCCAACGTGATTGTGGGCTATGGCAGGCACGCGTTCACCCTGAGTCTCCATAACCTGGAGACGGCTATCCTGCTCAACACCGTGGGATTTCTTTTTGGCATTCTCTCCTTCTCGATTCCCAAGATCGCCGTAGCCTGCCTGTTGGTCCGGATCCTGAATCCCAGCCGCCTGCACAAGATCTTCGTGTTTTTCCTCGTCGGCTTCGTCACCCTGGTTGCCGTCATCTGTATCATCATTCTCTTCACCATGTGTGACCCTCCCGAGTCGATGTGGTACGTGACAATTCCCGGCAAGTGCAAGGACGTGAAGATTCTCATCGACTATGCCATCTTCACGGGAGGTGAGTGTCGAGTCATCCTGGAAATCGCGTGTCTAATATTAACCAACGAGCATCATGCAGCTCTGTCTGCCTTTGTCGATCTCTACCTGGCCATCTACCCGGTGACTGTGTTGTGGAAGCTTAACATGTCGACGAGGAAGAAGCTTGCCTTGAGCGCTGCTCTGGGTCTTGGTGCATGGTAAGTCCGTCCGCCTGAGTTGGTTGGGAGATGGGGAGATACTGACAATGGCATGATTCTCTCACAGTGCCACTGCCATGGCCATCATCAAGTGCACCCAGCTGCCGGGTCTTGCCGACAAGGATGATTATACCTGTCAGTATCTTCCGATTCACCAGATCGGTCAGAAGCTAACTGCGTCTTAGATGGGACTTGGGCGTTGGTCATTTGGACGAAGTAAGCATCCCTCTTCGTTTTGTGATTGCTCACATCATGGCTGTGTCACTCACTGACTGTGTCATCCTGCAGTATCGAAGCAGACGTCGTCGTCATCGCCTCGTGCATTCCCACCCTGCAGCCGCTGCTCGAGTTCCTGCTGGGAAAGAGGAAGATCGGGTCGAGCGCCAACAGCCGCTACTTCAACCGCCTCGACAAGGGCAGCCAGCCGATGGGCTCGCACTCGATCGAGATGCGCAGCAAGAAGTCCAGCGCCAACAAGCACAACAGCGTGTCCATCACCAACGTCGAGAGCGAGGAGAGCATCCTGCCGGGGGACGAGCATGCGCAGGTGCACAACAATCTGGGCGAGATCCGCCGGACGGACGAGATGCATGTCCAGTACGAGTCGCGCGACGAGGTTTCTGCCAATGGCGCGGCGGGTGGTTGGTGAGCGAGCAGCAGGTAGATCGTCAGCAGGCCGATTACCATCGAAATATCTTGTATTTGTCGTTCCTTCACTTGTGATAAAGCAAATACGCAGCTTCAGAAGGCTGCAATCGTGGTTTTTCTTCTGTTTAAGACTTGTGGATATTACTGGATCCACTGAAATCTTTTTTGTATAATTACTTCGCGATATAGAGAATTATATGACTTCTCATTCTTTAGCACTCTATTGTTGGATCAATCCATTGCCAGAGCGAGCCCTTGCTCTAACACATAGATCGTGATTATGCATACCGTATCACAATTCAAATGCTGATATAGCCTCGCTCAATGACCCGTTATAATTGTTTATCAACCCTTGATAATTCCAAGGACAGCCAACTCCTTTGAACGCCGCCACGTCTGGTGCTGCACGAGTAGCAGGGCAGAAGCAGCAGAAGTGTCCACATTAGCTACTCCCTCATATTTGTATTCTCTGAACGTCTGGATGTTATCTCCGATGATTCCATTGGTACCGCGGTTGGCGTAGCATACGGTCAGGAGCCGCTGATTGTGGCGATGAGGGACAAGGGGCAGCATTCGGGGTCGCGATAAGCAGTTCCGGCTCATGATGGAGATAATTTCGAGATTGTCGTGGATGGCTATCGCTAGCGTCGAATATTGCGATGCAGGCGACCTTGACAGCCACAATGTTAGCAGTGTTGTTTATTTGCTTCAAGTATTGAGAGAAATTGTGTTATATAAACGTACTCCAGTTGCAAAAACCGTAGCAAAGCCCCTCTTAACGCGTTCAGAACGCAGTCAGGCCCAGGACGAGCTCAACGAACTTGGCAATGGCCGAATGATATACGCTGCTCCCATCCTCAGTGCGCTGCCTCATAGCGACAGATCTCGCTTTTCAGACACGTTGGCTATCGTCTGAGCGCGACTGATGAGGCTGGTCAAGTTCCATAACTCGGTAGAAGAGCAGCCCGGTAGGCACCAGACGGGACTTCCGCCATTGTTGCAGGCAAACTGGACTAGGAGAGAGGGTCCATGCCGAGTTCGATTCTCCAAGCTGGTCACGAGAAGCAGAATGAGCAGATGAGCGCTGCGAGGAAGATTGGCAGAGGGCAACACTGCTGGAACGGCCAGCGACAGCCATTCCCAAAGAGGCAGGACGAAATGGCAGGTGGAATGGCAGTTCCGCAACGCTGCTCAACCAGGAATACAGAGTCTTTATTATAAGCTTGCTGGTGAGCATGGATCGAAGTGTAGTTATTCATCCTAGAAAAGGTCTGTCATGATGATAAAATAGGATTTTATCCACCTAATATATTCATCTCATACAGCCATCGGGTCATACAAACCGACGTACTTTTTTCTGACAAAGCGTAAGAAAGCGGACATTCAAGGCAGTGCTGGAGAGATCGTTCCAGCAATTTTGACAGTGTCATTGAAGAAATACCCAGGTCTACACTGAGGCAGGACACTACAGCGTTCTCAACCTATTCTACCCCGAGAACTGCCTAAATAGCAGATCATGATACAACGCGTCATGTCCTTTCAGGGCCGTATATGACAACGGGATCAAAATCAATTTCTTGTCAAATTCGGAGCTGTTTCCTACAATATAAATGCGCAATATGCAATCCACAGGTACAGTGCAATATGATGTTAGAACTTTGTGGTCGTGTCTGTACCTTTTCATAAAAAGAGGCAAACCATTGCTTCTTGTCCATGATGCGCAGACCACATTGAGGCTAAACTTTCATTTTCAGAAATTACCTTTGTGGAGAGGAGGACTGACCAGATATAAAACAAGCGATTAGTTTAAGAGAAGGCATTGATATCTTCTTAATCTAGATGCTTTATTATCAATTGGAGCAATTCATTGGGTGAGTCAGGCAGCAGCAATATTAGAATGGCAGCAGACAGAAATGGGCACTAGAGTAACAAAGTACACTAGTAGTAGTTGATCGATGAGGCTGAAATGAGTTGGTTAGGGCGAATAATGTAATTCAATTCCAATTCCAAGGCCTTTGTAGAAAATTTCTTCATTTATTCATCATTACTTCAGATTGCCAGGTCAGGCGAAGATAACCCTGGCTATTTTTGTGTTCAGGACAGTATCTCCCAAGAAAAGGTATTGAGAAAATATTCCTGAGTTTTAAGTCTAGATATCTGTTGCTCTCTATCTTTATTCTTCTTGACTTCTTCATCCTCCTTGGTCCTATTAATCCTGCAAGCATTGTATTCCCCTGATAGATATTGGGAAATGCTTTACTAGGTTACTCTTCAATCGACTCAGCCGCTTTTCATGGTCTCTGGATATCATTGTCCCACCTGTCTCTATTGCTTGATAACCCAGAGAGTTTATGGTTAAAATGTAACTATTCAATTTCGTTAACTTGACAGGTAAAAGAGAAAGAAATGTGAGAAACTCCACAGTTGTAGAAATGAGGGGCTTTGGATCCCAGATCAGATTGTGACAGTCTGGCTCATCGTTTACCACACCCCACCTGAGGCAGTGCCTGGAGAGTTTTTCCAGAACTCCATTAAAACCAGTGACCTTTGATATATTCATCAAGCGGAAAAGAAAATACATCCTCGTAAGCAACCGTGAAACTTCTCCAGATTTCATCGCGATCTGTTGCATTCCTCTCCAGAAGCCACCAAGGGAAACATTGATTCATGGGAACTTACACAATGCATCCCCCAGCGGTCTACATGCTCTCATAAAGTCGGAGCTAATGCAAAGTTTCCCAGCTGACTTCACCTGCTGGTAGGTGCAACCGTCATCCGACTGCTATGTCATGTTTGAGGACCATATAGTATGGCAGATATGGGATATTTATCACAAAAAGTTACTTCACAGTTGGAACCTATAAAACTTTAGTTTTGAAAAGAGAAAGTCTTTATAATATTTTTTTTCAAACTAAAGCCTGTACATGCTGGCAAAGCGCATGCCTGTCTTGCAGATTGGGGTTAGCCCAGATGATGCTTTTATCAAACTGCACGCTTCCTACCTAGGTAGACTAGACAACTTCTCAAAAGCTTAACATTATTATCATCATCAAATTTCTACTTTACTGACCGTTTCTAGAGAAATGACCTTTAAATGGGAAAAAAATATATATCGACTTAAGTTGTTCTTCCCAACGTTTTTTTTGTTTCCTCGACAAATGCCAAATTCATTGCACTGTACAACCATGATCTACCTATCTATATTGTCCACGATAAAAATCATTAGATTGACATTTCTGGAAATATAAGACTTTTTTTTATCTCTATCTAATTACTAAACGCTAAGCCTCAAGGAACTGACAAAAGGAACTGTCAATTGACAAAGTTGATGTATAGCGACTAAAAGGAGATACCATTGACTATCGAGGCAGCTTGATGGAGGATCCACGACGGATGCTCCAAATATGTACTGTATAGTACATGATATGGATGATCCTTACACGTGATGACCATGGATCAACCATGCGATCCGAGGATGGACAATCCATACTCCCCATCTGTCAAGGTACAACCTTTTACCGCGACAGTTGACAAAGGGGAAAAAAAAACTGCCATGGCGGCGACGCAGTGGTACTGTATATTCTCTATATCCCCTCTAGAAGTTTATATTTCTCTCTCTCTGAGCAAAAAAAAAAGTATTTCATAACCTCAACTACATATCACAACCAACAACGATACATTCTGAAGGGAAAAAAAAAGTAAAGATAGATAATGACGACGATCTAAATTAAAATTTCGAATTTATCATTTTTTTCCCCGGGTATATACTGTACTGTACCTACATACATACGTACGTAGAAACAACACAACTCGATCTAGTCAAATTCCACCTGTACTAGTACTATACTACATAAATATATATCTCTAGTCTTTAGTAGTCCATCAATGTAAACAAATCCATAATATAATATAATTGAGGTTATCCCAGGTTGTGCGCACCAAATGCTGGCTTTTTTTTTTGTTATTTCTTCTCGATAGAGTCAGAATTAATGTTTCTACATATTTCCAATAATCAGAGAATAACGCTTCTTAGAATGGAAAGAAGGAAAAAAAATAAAAAGGGTATTTATTACTGACTGGCTGTTAGATAAATAACCATCATATCTCTACCATTTCTTTTTGTCGTATTTCTATTGTATTCCTATATAAATACTATATACTATTACTATACATTAAGTATTCATCATGGTAAAAAAAATACTCAATTAACTAACCATTTCCAATCAATCAATCCCCCTCCACTCTCACTGTCCAGGCCGGCTGAGTGCTCATACTACCTACCTTGTCGTGGTACTGACGCTGTATCTCTGGGCTCTGGGTAGATGAACAATCCCTTTCGCAGGTCCCATGGGGAAGTCCATGGTTTATCACGTGTACGGATTGTCCATCATGTATGTACATAGATAGAGGATCCTTTTTCCCTTCGATCCTCGTCGTCAAGCATTTCTCATAGTGAATGAATGGATCTGCTGTTAGGCTCCAAAATACCTTGTATGTACTGTACAGTACATATCTACCTAAAGTAATGCATATACCAATGCTAATGCTAATCATATAGCTGAGCTCTTAGCCCTCAGGTCTGAGTAAAAGAAACAGGTCTTCAATATCAACTGACCCCAACTGACCCAACAAGCGAGATATATATACTCAATCTATTAATATATAACATTACCATTAACATTAACATAATTAATGCTCGCTTGTACAGTATAGTATGGTATACATGTACTGTGCTGTAATGTACATACATACCTAAGTGAGCAATGCAGTAATTAGTATGGGTGTAGAATCAATTCGACCTAACCTCCTTTCTTTCCTCCTTAGTGAGTGTCAGCTCAGCTCAGCTCATGCCCATTCCATGCCCATACTGAGAGTAAAGTCCCATCCAGTCCAGTCCAGTCCAGTCGGTATCAATATCAATATCGATATAAAATACACAACAAGTCCATGTGGAGGTATTTTCATAACTTGCTTTACCTACCTACTTACATACCTTAGCTACCTACCTAGGTTAGGTAGTCAAGGTTTACGAACTCGTATCTATGTACCTAAGGTATATACCCTATCAACCGGTTGATCGATAAACCGCGAACTCGATAAATTGATAAATTGCTGAAATTCATGAAATCGATCCGAACGAACGAACGAACATATCAATCAATCAATCAATTTATTTCTCGAGAAGGTCAATCCCATTCAATTCCCTATCTATCTAGTCTAGTCTAGTCTAGTCTGGTGAATTGTCACTACCTAGGAATCGTCAGTACTGACAGATAGCTACAAATTGCAGAGTGCAAATTGCAGACTGCAGTTAGAATGAACTGTACTAAACAATCACAAGTCCGAAACAAAGCGCATACATACATAGTCTATTTAGGTGCCAATTTATATTGCAGAATTCTATACCCATGCTGTTACTGTCACTTGTTTAAAACTAATAGGAACCTCATAAATGTCTGATAAATAGATACGTAGATAGATATCTAAATAAACTGTCGATCAAGATAAATCATATGAAATAATATAGACAAAACTCTAAGAACGCGTGAACGAAACCAAAATTATAAAAAGCTAGCTGCTACTGATGATAACAGCTGACAATGTTATAAATAAGATAATATGAAAAAAAAACTGACAAGTTATGCCCTGATCTAGGTCTTAGATCATCGCGCACAGCGCACAATGCAGGAAGGTAAAAAAAAATTAAAAGAAATGAAAAGAAAAACGCCCCCAACACAAAACTCCATAAAATTCAATCAAATCGTATTCAGCGTTTGGACGGAATGGCTTTTTTGGTTGGATCACTCGTTATAATGGTACACCTGTGATAGAAATTCGACGTTAGTAGGAGGTACATCGTCTGCGGGAGATGATTTGAAATATATCGTCTGAAGAGGCGACCTACAAAATAATTCGGCAACCCCCAACATGTATACCCCAAACGCCGCGCCATCTTCGCAAAACCCTCCGTCTCAACCAGATGATAAAACGGGAAAGCCGGGAACATGGCGCCGTCCCGGTGCACCTCCGCTTTCACCATCAGAGCCGTGCCTCCCACCCCGTCCAGCTGCACCTCGCGGTGCGGATCGCCGCCCTCGACCGCCATGTACGCCATCAGCGACCGGTACGTGGCCATTTCAGCATAGCCCTCTAGCAGAATCTCGTCCGGCCCCATCTGGGATGCCATCTGCAGCGCCGTCTCGCTGTCCCGCCACGAATTGTAGTCGTACGGACGCACGTCCATCTGCTTCTTCTCCGTGTTGTAGTATCGCTGGTAGCAATTCGGCACAATCACCGCCTTGTCATGTTTGGCCAGATCCTGGATCAGCGTGCGGGGCGTCTCCACGATGTCCGCGTCCAGCCACAGCACCCACGAGGTGGCCGGCCCCAGAGTCGTGAACAGCAGACTGTTGCGCGCCCGGCTCATCGACTCGCGCCGGACCTTCTGGTTCTCCATCTTGTGCCGCTCCTTCTCGTCCTGCGACACGAGCGGCGGGTCAAAGTCCTGCCGCAGAATCGTCACGCTCGCAAACCGGTCATCGATCGGGCCCGACTGCGTCTTGGCGACAGCGGCCTGCAGCGCCGCCGTGGCGGCATTCCCTTCCTTGTTCTTGGGCAGGATGAAGCCCAGCGAGATGAGCTCATGCGGATAGTCCAGCTTGACCAGATTGTCCCAGTATTCCTGGTAGAAACGCGCCATGGGCGTCAGGATGAGCACGCGCTCGCCATTCGCGGCCGGGTTGTCCGTCGCCTTGAGCTCGTTCAGGTTGTAGTGCACGACAGGTGGTGGCGCCTGCTGCCCATTCGCCCTGGATGGCTGCTTTTTCAAGAACGGTTTCGTCGGAGGGGAGAGAGGATGGTCGGCAGCATCCTCCTGTCTTTGCTGGGCCGAGACCGACGTCGAAGCCGAGGGCGTAAGCAGGAAGAAGAGGAAGCCGAAGGCGAGGAGAGCGGCCAGGAGGAGGGTGATGGGACTGGTCCGTCGCAGGGAGCGTGCAACGGCCATCGTGGCCGAAAATCCGGAGGTGAGGGTGCACGAAGAGACAAAAAGTTCGAGGGTGGAGGATACTCGTGGTGAGCGGCGGTTCTTGGGTTAGCTGGCAACAACAGGAATTGGCCGCCGTACAATTACATAGCGGAGGGGCGATAAACAGGAATGCAGAAGACCGTCGCAAGAGAAAAGGAAAGGGAAATGGAAAAGGGAAGGGGAAGGGAAAGGGAACAAGAGGATTGAGCAGGTCGCAGCGAGGGGAACGGTCGAGATCGCAGGACAGAGTTATGAACGTGGAGGTCAAGATCTGCGTAGCCGTTCTCAGGATCGCATTCCGGCCAATCCAGATAACCGGCGGCCAGCACTGACAACACGCCCAACCTGCTGTATATCCACACAGCTCTATTTCATAGATATGCCTGAAAATAAAAGAGATATCTGATATATCTATAATCATTATTATTATTATCACGAATACCTTCGCTGGATTGCTGCTGTGGTGGACTGTTCAGGAAATGTGGCTGATCCGATTCGGTGTGGCTGAGCGTTGCCGGATGCGGATCGTCGAAAGAGGATAAATGGACGCACGCAGTAGGATAAGGATATAGAGGCAGTGAGAATGTAATTCTCTATGAGTATGGAAATATAATTCATTAATGATATAATGCAAAACACCGGAAACGGTCGTAGTTCATTTACATACATCTATAAACATGGGTATGAAGATGAAATACGTGACTGCTCTCGTGTCTTCTGTGACAGCCAATCTATGGCAACCATCGCATCACGCCCTCAAACGCAACCAGCGCCATCGCATTTGCCGGGAATGCCCTCAAGAAACAGGGCAGGAATCCTCGCCAGTACGCTCGCCACCCTCCCTCGCGTCCAACAGCAATCGCAGCATCCTTCCACCGCCGGAATCGCCTCTCGCCATCGCCCAGAGCGCCTCCCAGCGGATCGGTCATGATCCGCTGCTTGACCACGTCCGACGGGTATGAGGTCAGCCAGAAGATCTGCGCCGAGATGCCTCCGGCCCAGAAGTTGATGGCAGGAGTCGACATGTTGGTCCGCTCTCTCATCAGGCGGGACAAGATATCGTACGAGCCCCACCAGAAGAAGAAGAAGGACCGGAAGACGAGCGTGGCGCACAGTCCGTGGAAAAGCCCGGGGATGCCGTGGGTGCGCAGCTGTCGTGTCACTGGTTAGCCCGCATCTCGCGAAACTGTGGTTATCAACAGCAATCGCATCGCGCTTACAATCTTCCTCGTGCAGTCAATTGGCCCGCTGTACAGTCGTTGTTTCTTGTCCGCGGCGTACTGAATCTGTAGCCGCGCCTTGATATGCTCCACCGGAGCGGCGATGAAGCTTACGGTCGATCCGGCCATGATGCCAGCGATACCGTGTCCCAAACTCGGAAGAGTGTTGAGGTCCTTCGGCCCTCGAGAAAAGGAAATCGCATCGCGGATGCGGGGCTTCGAAAAGACATGTTCAAGGAGCAGTCGCCGATAGAGGGTGAGGGAACCCAGCATGCTGCAAAAGAAGCGGACCGGTCAGCCGACTAGACTAGACGCAATATACTTGGACAAGTGTAAATCTTACACAGAATCCATCACCATCCACCCGACCAGCGGGGGCGTAGCTCCCTTGTATAACCCCGACACACCCTCTTTGCGCACCGTCTGTAGCACGCAATCTAGCGGTCCCTTGAAGTGGGAATCCTTGGTTGTTTGGAGACGAACTTTGACCGTGTCGAACCTGCAACCCCGCTCCATACAATCAGCCATCGGTCAACGGATATCATGCCGGGTCGTCTGATCGTCCATTATAACTTCGCGATGGATGACCACGAGGCGGAAGCGACAAGAGAAGAATCCAATGGGGAGGGGACAAAAAACGTACGGATGGCCCACTATAATGATCGCACAGAAGTTAATCATCTTTCCCATCCAGTGTAGATTGAAGAAGAGAAAAAAAAACCCACCACTCAATTTCGCAATCCCCGAAAACACACCCGCCACAAACCCCTTGTAATCTCGTTTCTGTTTGGACTTTGTTGATGATGGCGTTGAATGGCTGCTGGCATCGGCACCACTGCTGCTGCTCCCTTCGCGGAGAGTGCGAGTCGTCGGAGGTTGTTCTATGCTCGTCGAGGCGGCCATTATTATTGCGAGGGAGGGAGATATTATTGCGATTTCTCCATCGATGAAATAATACAAGAGGATGGGAGAGGGAGAAAAAAAATAATCGATCTTTTTGTGACGTTTAGTATTCTGATCTGCTTTTTATGTGCTATCTCCGATATCGATCTGCTGCAATGATCTGTCAATTGACGTCGGGAAGAGAACAAAATCCCCTGAGAAAGAGAAAGAAAGAGAAGGGGAAACAGCAGATAGAATAGGTCAAAGACAACAAGAAGAATTGCACAGAGTGATAGCGAAGTGTTGCACCACCAGGTCAGATTATTGATCTCCGACTGCGGCCGCGGCGGGCCGGGGAGGGAGGGTCCAGCTCCGTGACGACGACAAATCCGATCCACCGTCTGGGCGGAGCTAAGGCCCCGACAGTCCCCCGCGCTTACTCCGTGCTGACCGGATGCCGCTTTAACTATATCATTTGTTTTCGTTTTACTGACAATTCTCAACAGGCCTACGGTAAATCCTATTTATCCTGATCAAGGCCATCTATGCCGCTCAATGATTAATTCTCGATTTCTTAACCCAGTTGTACTGTTCAGGCCAGCCTGCAGAAACACAAAGTTCCATTCTGACAATGTATGACCAGCTCCATAACCGACACGTGCAGTTCAATGCCACGTAATTTTACTCCAACAAGATTCGAAAGACAATTAACCAGATATGCTATGTCTCAATGACAATGGGGTATAAGATAAATAACATCATAGGGACCTGAAGAGAACCAACATCGGAGAAAAAGGAAATTCTGGAAAGGGAGCCGATATCACCTTTCCGATGGTAGGTGGTCAATATGCATTAATAGAATACGGACCGCTTTCGCCGACGTATGCAATTTTGTCATCGGTGTGAATCCGAAGACAAACTTGCTCGAGACAGCGAGAGCGCAATCACTTATGTTGCTTGTAACCAGACCGCAACATGGCCATCACCGGCAAGCTCCTCAGGTTTGCACAGCAAGACCTCAGAGATTTGTGGATCTCAAGTGGAAATAGATCTCCCTCCAGCCACGCAGATTATCCATGCCAGAGAGCGAAAGCAGCACCGACATCACCGGCCCTTGGATTCCATGGACTGGGACGATACCAGTTGCTCGTGATCCCGTTCCGCTGGTCTCTCGTCTTGGTGATGCTGCGAGGAATTGTCGTCTTTGTTGGCCGATCCAGCAGCCATGTAGCCCTCTGCTTCCTCGAGAGTCAACGGGGTGACGGGACCCGGACTTCTGAGCGGATCGAGTCGCGGCGCTGAAGGCTTGGAGAAGCTGGTGGGGGAGGAACTGCGCGGAGAAGTCACACTGGAGGCTATCAGCTCGCGATACTGCCGTAGTGCATCTCGCGAGGACCCGGACGACACCCGATAACCATGGGATCTCTGCGGTGAGGACGAGTTGTTGGATGAACTGTTTGGCGACTGGTAGACGGCCGGATGGAAACGGGGCAGGTTTCCCAGGTACAAAGGGCTCGGCTTGGGCGAGTGCTTTGGCGAGAGGGGACGTCCCGACTGAGAAGACATGGTCAGGGATGGTCCATGCGAGCTCTGCATTGTCTTCGTGGAGGTGGAACGGGAGGACGAAGAGGAGGAGGAGGAGGAGGAGGAGGAGGAGGAGGATTGCGCGGCCCGACTCTTTTCTTTCTCGCCGGTTTCTCGCTCCGGGACGGGGCTGCGAGGATTGCTGTTCCTGTGGAAAGAAATGACACTGATCGAAACGGCCCGTCAACGGAGTCAGAGGAAAGGCGTCGAGGCAGCGATTGGAATTGGCTCGAGGAATTGGAATGGGCTGGGTGCCCGAGGCCGACACGTAGGAGGACTCGAAGGCGGTCGGGGAAGCAGGAGGAGTATCGAGCGACGAAGGAGGCAGACGAGGCGAAGGAATAGGAGAAGTCGACGTTAATTTACGCAAGGACGAAGTGGACAGCACGGGTGTGGGGGGACCGTGTTTCCTGATCAGGCTTGCCAGATGGTCTCTGGCGCGGAGCTCGTCAGGACGGTCAGGTTGGGGTTGACGGGACCGGCGCGGAGGTGGAGACACCGAAGACACGGGATCTGCTGATCATTAATATATAATGCTGGCGCAATTTATTGAATAAATTAACAGATAAAGAGTTGAAGAAAGAGAGGGGCAAATGCAAGACAAAACTAAAAAAAAATCCCCGGTACGCCAGTCGATGAGAGGAAGCCAAAGGAGTCGGATTAGCACATGCAACGAGCCGAACAAAGGACCAACCAAGCCCGCCAAACCGCAGCTCAAAACAGCAGCCGGACGGGAAGATTAACTCTCGATGAACTGATCCATGGATGTTTGGCTCGCGAGCAACAACAGCCAATTGGGGCAGGTCCAGGCAAGGATGGAACGTGACCATCCAACCTTCGCGTTCAGAAACGGAAGGAGGGAGCGAGGAAGCGAAAGGGCACTTACAGGTGCGGGGAGCAGAGATGGAGCTGCAGGACGACGGATAGTAAGAAGAAGAGGAATGCGAGGAAGTGTAGGATGCAGGCGAGGTTGTCATCAGGGCTGCGATGATGATATTGTGCTGCTGCTCTCCGCTGCCGGTGGTAATGCGGTATGGCTGCTGTACGAAAATAACAGCGGAAACGGATCAGAACGGCAGTACAGCCAATGGGCGGGCGTGCTGCTGCAGAGTGGGCCTGTACCGCGCCGTCAGCGACCCGCAAAGCCACGCAGCCGTACGACAACCGTAACAAAACAGACCAGAACAGCGGCATGTCGTCATAGCTGGGCCCGCTGGCCGCCCGGATTGGCCAGCGCTGGTATTGTTGTGACGGCGGTACGAGTCCCGTACCGCTAGGCCTGCAGTGGACGCGATCCCCCGGCCGGACTCCGGCCAAGGGACAAGCCCACAACACCACAATACCACGGATGCACAACATAAGGGCAAATGAAGGGGAAAAAGAAGAAATAACCGCAAGCACCTACTTACTGCACGCAAGTTGCCGTTACTGATCAGAGAACAGGAGAGCGATATACTTGATCTGGGATCCTCGAACCAGTCAGCACCCGCATGAGCACGTTTTCTCAACCAAGCAAGCGACAGCGTGGTCAAGGGGAGGGAGCCATAATGGGAAAGCCTGCAGGTGAGCTTCTGCTCTCATTGATCGGGCAGTTTTCTCCGCCGCGACCATGCGTCACCCCTCATGCCACGAATGCAGTCATCGAGCCACGAATCCTGCCTCTCCCACCAAGCTGGGTCTCCCCGCGCTGCCCGGAACCTAGTTAGTGCCCGCCCGGTCCGGCAGAAACGGTACTAGTGCGTGCTAGCCACGACAGGAGGGAGCAGGAGACCAAGATGTGACTGCAAAACTGATGTGGCCATCGGGTGACGCAGTGATTGCAGTGGGAAACGTCTCTTCCAGTGCCCATCGAAGCCGATCTGCCTCTGCTGGGCGACTGAGAGAGACGGGAAAGGGCTGGTACGGATGCGAGATCAAGAAGGAAAAGAGTGCACCAACCACAATCGAGCGATCGATTCGTTCGAGTCCCGAGGGAACACTGATGGACGGACGGTTGTCTGGTGAAGATCGAGTGGAAACTCTATACGGAGGACTCGGTGCTGCAAAAGCCCGTGTGTTAGAACGAAGCCAGACCACGGATTCTGGTAGATATTTAAGTCACTACTGGGAGACTGCTGCTCTCAACATACCCCAGTCTAGCCGCAGCGACACTGACAAGCCTCCCCAGCCTGATCTGCCCTCCTGGGAATCTTGCAGCTGGATAGACTTGCGCTAGCCAATCTCACCTCCACTGGCGAATCTCACCTCACTAGCTGATCCCAGCTGTTGGTGTATGCTCGGATCGCTCGGGTTGCTTGGTTGCTGTGCACCAGCATCAATGGTGTGGGAGTTGGAGAGGGGTGATAATTGCGATGATGATCAGCCTTTTTTTTTATGATGCCTTTTATGATGAAAGGACTACTGGACGAATCGAACTTTGAACGGTAAAGCACTCATGGATGGTGGCCGGTTCTATATAGCCGCCTGACATGTGCACTTTAAATTATTAATTTCCTGCTCACGTCAGGTCCAAATATGTCCCGAAGGACTGGCTGTGGAGACCTCTGACGAATGCGATGGCCCTGCTGCATCTTTGAAACGCCAGCAAGCCAACCGCTGGCGTTTCTGTCCTTGCATCGGGCACTCTGCACCGGCAGAACTGCACCACGCAGTCATTCTACAACGGTGAGGCATGTACTGGGCAGTCTCCATCGGGATCCTCGATCTGAAACGAGAGCCCCTGATAAGCAGCCGTTTTGAGGATCATGAGGTTAATAACGCATCGCGGTCCGGAGACTTGGTTCAGGACCCGCATAGCGGGCGGCTGCAGCGCTCAGGCGGGCCGGGCCTGAATGCTATCTGCCTCATTTCAATTTCTACTTTGGCGGAGTACGGAATACTTTTTTTTCGCATCCCTTGCGCCAACGCGTGGTTTCAACGTGATCACCATGCACCCAGTCTCTTCTTGGCCGACATAACCTCTGTCTCCATGTGTTCGTGGTGAAGCTAGACATGTTCTACCTCTCCTTGCATGATGCCATGCAGAGCTGTCAGGTACGACGAAAGGATTGGATGGCGGCGAGACTGATCTGCAGGGCCTCGAAGCGAAGCTCTCTCTCTCTCTCGTGGTCGACGCAGCTCTAGTCATGTGGCAGCATTCCAGGATGCAGCAGCATCAGCGATGACTCTTTCCAGCGGCGCAGCGGAGGCCATGCTGACAGGAACTACGGAGCATGTGCCAGTAACTCCTTTTCCGTTATCCAAGAACCCTCGCCCCCTCCTTTTTTTTCTCGAAATTCGACTGCCTGCTAGCCTTGTGCAGCTCCCTGGAGCTTGTCTACGCCAATGAGGACCTTAGACACCACCGCAGGGAATTTCCAATTTACTGATTGCCATCGTGCTAGCTGCTTATGGCATCGCAACTGACAGGCATGGCCAGGATCATGCGCTGCCATTCCACACGTAGTCTATTCCTCGAATTACGGAGTAAATTGATCGCCATGATTTTTTACCGCTTAGCCACCATGCCCTCCGGTTCATGAGTTCAGCTGTCGGCAACCGCCCAATAGCCTTAGGCGACCTAGTTGGACCAACCATGGACCCCAAAGCGAACAAGCTGTGTGTGAAGGGCGCGTCGACATGCCATATCCTGCCAAGCGTCCGAGCACGCCCATTCCAATTCTTGTCCGACTCAGGTTTGTCGGCAGTGCGCTTCGTGTTGCTGGATTCGACAGGCGTCGATGATGAATTCTTGTGGAATGGATGGCGGGTGACAGGGTGTATGGCCGCCCTGCCTAAAGCAAGGGGTAAACATGAAGACTACGCATAGGGAAGGAGATCTACCTCACCAAGTCGGCAAGTCCTGCTGTCCTGAGCTGATCTTTTCGCTTGCCTATTAGAAATCTACCCTGCTGTTGAAATGGTGAGCGATAAGTTTACCTTGCGGCTCAGCGTAATCTTGTGCACGGCTCAACGCGATCCGACTTAGCTTTGATTTGCGCGATGTCCTCTACAATCCCGAGCCGAGAAGTTTGCAGTTTGCAGGTCCTCGCCTAGCTTGCGGGACACAATGATTCTCTTTGCAGATGGCAAGTGAAGCAATGAAGCCGTTGCCCAGCTCCATCCGTGAGAAGGAAGAATCCTGCGTCAAGCCACGTGTGGTTGAGCCATGTGGTATGTCAGAGAGTTGACGTCGGACGACTCTTTTTTGCCTGCTTCCGTTTCTCCCCTACGCAGGCTAGAAACTTCGAGGGAGACACCCAGTCAGTCCCTTGCATCGGCCGTTGCGTTGCGTTTCGTTGCCGCTGTTCCGACCCGCGTTGACGTCTGTATATGCGGCTCCAGAAATAGTACATACATGTACTGTAGTTCGGCGAATTACTTCAAGGCCCGCAGGCCGCAGCCTGCAAGCCTGCCTGTTTCTAACCGGTCGGATAGTGATTCCCTGAAGTCGACAAGGCGCATTGTTTCAAAAACGCTCGGGGCATCATCTGTCATCTGCCCATGTGATCTGTCATCTTGCTCCGCTCTGCTGTAGCCTGCAGGGTGGAGGAATCCCACGAACTAGTTAGCTAGCTAGGTAGGTAGGTAGCTACCGTACAGTACAGTACAGTACAGTACAGTACATGTAGGTTGTGCTCCGCAACTGGCATGCATAACGCAGCTACGGAGTACGTTTTTCTCTTCTCTTCCTTTCTTTCTAGAAGGAACACCGTAAATCACACGAATACCCCCAAATTGGGGGGGCGTGTTGGGGGCGCGAGTTATATATTAGTAGTAGATAGTATAGTAGAGAACAGATATAGTATAAATAGACAGATAGTAATTAGCTTATAAAGCAGTAAAGAACACTAGAAAGAGAAGAATAATATATATATGTTACTATAGGATTAAAGGCTTAAAATAAACCACATCTAGCAGAAGAGAGAGGATAGTTAAGAGGGTAGATAAGTAAGTAGAAAGGGACAATAATATAATAGATTTTGACTTAAACAAACTATAATCTAATAGGAGAGGATGGTTAAGAGGGTAGTTAAGTAAATCTTAATATAAACCTCTACTAGGTAGAAGACATAGATATAATTTGTTCCTATAATAATATAATAGTACCTAAGAAAATTAATTAGGATTTAAATAAGATATAGCCAAATAGCAACACATATATAGTAATAGGGATTATAGATAGGGATAAGTAAAGGGGATAGAGCAGAAGGCAGAGACTAAGGTTAAGTAGGTAGAGGAGATATAGGAAAGATACTAAGGCAGAGCCTAAGTAAGATAGAGTAATATAGATTATTATAAATCTAAGCTAACCCTCAGAGGATAAAAAATAAGATGTTACGAACCAACAGAACGGAGCGCTGTCCAACACAGCAGCACAGGATGAAACACTACCCCGCAAGATTGGCAGGATTAGGCATACAAGGTCACGTGACTTAGGAAGGTCCATTGATAAGATAAGCAGAGGAGTCCAACAAGGACCGTGGAAGGGAAGTCCAGTATGGACCATGAAAAGAAGGTCCAACAGGGACCGATAAAAGGAAGGGAATGGAGGACCAAAAAGAAGTTATAAAAGGGAGCTCAATCTCATGTATCTAGTTTCTCCTTACTCGCGCTCAATTCACTCCGTTATTCTGCTGTTACTAAGATACTTACTTTGGGGGTCAGTAAGACTTCTTACTGCTAGTGGTATACTTCGGTATAGCTCTAGTAGGCGTTGCCTCTGACCTAGTCGTTGTCATCTGTCCACCTGAAGAACCCTTATTGTGTCCCTGCGAGACCCCTTTGCTTGTGAGAGGTCGTTCGAGAAAGAGCCCTTCGCCAGGTAGGCCGCTGTCTCGAGGAAGAGACCCGGATCAGTTAGATCGTCGCGTGCTCGTGAACGACATAGAGTCAGGAAGACTCCTTGATCCTTCCCTAACCACCATTGTTAAGTATCGACGACTACGGTTGGACCCAGCGCGTAACATAAGACTCTAATACTAAGAATCTCAAAACTATATAAATAGCTACTATAGAATCCTGGAGCTCCTACTTATATAAGTAGTTACTATAGAATACTATAGCTTCCTGCAAGTAGTGAGCAAAACAGACCAATCAGCACACAAATAAATGCAAGTCAGTGTATTTTCCCTAGCAAACATACATTATTTAGATACATCTGTTGACGATCATTATTATCGCCTATGTAGAGTACTTAAATCAGAAAAAGGCGTGGCAGGAACAGCATAATATAATGCCTTTCTCTCTCTCTCTCTCTTTTCTATCTATCACCCTAGTCTTGTTGTCATGTCTCTTATAATCGAGATTAAAATCCATAATAATTGAATTCTACTACATTCCAACCAACCAACCAGTGAAGATAGACAGATAGTCATTATCTAATAGGCCTTGATATCTGACATTATATTGCAATTCGTTCGGTTCCCCCCCCCCCCCCTTCCTTCTCTAATTATCTATCTATCAAGTGATATCTACTTTCTTACGTTGTAGAGACAAGAAAAGTAAAGTAAAGACATGAGAAAGAGTTTGTGTTTGTATCTATTTGTTCTTATGACTATATCGTTCTATACCCTTTTTTGTTTTTGTCCCCGCGCTGGTATGGTAGTATCATCAAACACTCCGAGCAATAATGTTGAATCGCTCGTGGATGAATCCTCGCATGTCAATTGCTCATGACCAGGAGATCCTGCGTTGAAACGTTAGCAGCGTTCGTTTAATATCAATCTTCTTTGTACAGACATACCCCAGCATGATCCCCGCGCCAACAGCCATGGCCACAAACTGCACCAGCGTCTTCTTGACCTCAGCAGTCTTATCTTTGCCGGTTTCCAGCAACTCGGGGATGACCGCCACGGTGCCGACGTAAAGGAATGTCCCCGCCGTGAAGGGGAGAAGCATGTCCCCCCAGCTCAGACCTGTACCCAGCAAGCCCGCTGAATATTGCGCAGAAGCGCCGGAGTCGCTTCCACTGCCGCCGAATTCCTGCACGGCGATCCCGATAAATGTTCCCAGAAACGCTCCGATCGCGGTGACGAATTGCGCCCCCATGGCCTTGCGCTTCGAAAATCCTGACTGCACCAGAAGCGCAAAGTCGCCCACTTCGTGCGGGATCTCGTGGAAGAAAACTGCGACGGTCGTCGTGGCGCCGATCGTCGGAGATGCGTAGAAAGAAGAGGACAGCGCCAACCCGTCCGTAATGTTGTGAGTGAAATCAGCGATGAGGTTGAGGTATCCGCCGAGCTTTACGCTCGGGTTGATTTCCTTCTCGTCGTTGTCCTTGGGCTTATCTGCGCCGGACTTGGTCTTGCGCTGCTTCAGTTCCCCATCACCCTTGGTGTCGGCGCCCGTGGCGGCGACGGCGGCGGCGGTAGCCTCGCTCTCGTGAGCATGCGCATGGCCATGGCTATGGTCATGTCCTCCATCGCCTCCGGTCGCAATCCGCAGCGTCTTGTCCATGGCGACAAAGGTGAGGAAGCCCGCCATGATACCCAGACCCAGGAGGAGGTTCTTGTTCGGGTCGACGAGCACGAAACGAGCACGTTCGGGCGAGTCCTCTCCGAGGAAGATCTCCGGTAGTAAGTGGAACAGGGTGTCTCCGAGCAGTCCTCCGACGGCGAACGCGACCATCACCGACAGCGATGACGGGTCAATGTTGGGCGGGCACAGTGCCAGAAGGAAATCTGCAGATCAGCAAACTGCTCAAACAGCAGAATTAAGACAACATACTTGGAGGACCGGATATGTATATAGTCGCCAGAATCGCATTGACGGCCGGGCTACCAGGGAAGAGAACGGCGAAAATGCGCGACGCGAGACTTGTGGTCGGCGGCTTCGTCACGAGCTTGTGCTCGTTCAACGCTTGGACAAGAGGGCATTCCTAGAGAAATATAGAACATCAGAATTAGTCTACTTAGTGAATTGGTCAATTACATCAATTGACGCCTTGTTACCTGCAACTGTTCCTCAATCTGCGGGGCGGAGAGACCGGCGACGGAGATGTCGCTGTGAGTGTCGCCAGAAACGATATCTGCGGCGGCAAGCAGAGACAAGGCCAAGAGCCCCGCGACAAACGCCAGGGACAGCCTGCGCAGGGAAGCAAACGTTCCTGAAGCCATTGCAAGCAGTCCTCCCTGTCAGGCGCAGAGGACAATACTCCGTAATGGCCACAACAACAGCAGCGGGGATGACGCGTCGGAGTTGTCAGCCGTATGGCGATCGGATTCGCCAATGACAGCGGCCGAGGGGCAGCAAACACGCCAAGAGCGATGCAAACAGCCCTCCGCCTGACTCGATAAGAGATAATCAATTTTTTCGTAGCCGCAGAGCGATTCGTATTTACTATTGTGCATTATTTTATAACTATCCCCTCTTAGAGACTGCCCCGGCGATCAGTCACCATGGGTCGCCCACAGCAGAAGAAGAAGAATCGGACAAAAGTGCCCAAAATCAAGAAAAAGCGCAAGCTGCTGCGCTATGGGAACAAGAAGATCAATGTGTTGGGCAATCCTCTGATTGCACAGAACTGGTAATTTACCGCATTCTTTTCTTTTTCTAAGTTTCATGCTGATTTCTTGCGACTAGGGACAAGAATTTGACGTTGCTGCAAAACTACCGTCGTCTCGGTCTCACAGCCCGATTGAACGCTCCGGCCGGAGGTGTCGAGAAGCCCAAGGGTGTCGACCCAGCCACCGCAGCGCAGCAAACGTCCGATCCTCTGCACATCAACAGCAGCGCGAAAGCAAACCTGCAACTCGACCCGCAAGAAGTCCGCGTGGAGCGCGACCCCGAGACGGGCAAGATCTTGCGGGTCATCCGCGACGATGAGGAGGAAGAGGAAAACGAGATCGAGATCGCGGGGCGCAAGCGCAAGCGCTCCAACCCGCTGGGCGATCCTCTGACCGAGATTGAGGAGGGAGGCGGTGCTTCGAGCAGGCAGACCAAGACAACCTCCTCCGAGCCGTCGGATTTCGTGAAGGAGCTGGAGCAGCGCGTCGCGCAGGAAGAGGAGGCGGTCAAGAAGCGACGACCGCGGCAGCAGAGCAAGCGCGAGGAAGAGTGGATCCAGAGGCTGATCGAGAAGCATGGGGATAATATCCAGGCCATGGTGTGGGATAGGAAGTTGAACCCGTATCAGCAGAGCGAGGGCGATTTGCGGAGAAGAATCCGGATCTACAAGGAGAGGCATCCTGCTTGAGTTTGTATTTTTGTTGTTGCATGACTGTCGCGGCGAACTGGCGTTGCAGGGCTGGGTTTATAAAAGTTGCATGTTTTTTTCTGCTATATCATAGATATTACAGAGGATTTTCCTTTAGTCATGTTCTACGCTTTTCACTTGAATATAGGGTATATCTGGCATCAGGTTGTCCAGTCTGAACCAAGTCACGAGGCCAATTTCACAGACACTATCATCCTAGGTCTGAAATTCACGTCAACTTACATGTGTAAACAGCGCGTCTAGACTGGCGCCTGTCGCGTCCACAGTCGCGTATATATTTCTTGCACCTCATTAAATGCTTTTACCGTCTTGCTACCTGCTTCCACAGCTTCTCATACTCTGGGCTCTGATCCATAGCATAATATACCTACCATTATCACTATCTTCTCATCACTAATATTATCATCACAATGATGAAGCCCCTCATTCTCCTTGCCCTATGGACCATCTCACTGCTCCAGCTTGTTTCTGGACAGATTTCCTAGTATGTCAATTCCTAACTAACATCCCTGGCAAGCCTAATCTCATCTCACGATTTTTTTTTTCTAGTGACCCTCTCTCTAACAACCTGATCTGCAAGCCTGGACAAAACTACTGCAGTGGACACTCTCTGCAGACCAACATTCTTATGTCATGCGCTGCGGTGGATGTTCTAAAGATCTACTCATGTGATGTCCAGTGAGTTTTCTTGACCTGTTGTCTTCTGTCTATTGGTAATAGGACTGTACTGACAGGAGTTTGTTTCAGGCTGTCCCATGTTCTTCCTTCTGGATACAAGACCTCGGCGCTGTGTAAGTCATGACCCGCATAAACTGCATGATGTGATATAACCTTAGTCTGTGTGGATGGCTAGACAAGGACACGACATGTGGAAAGTTACCTAACCTGCTGACTTTTTTTTTATATATCTAGGCTACCAATCCTCTCCCTCGGCAGGCGACGCAGTATGCACCTTCAACGGAACTGCATACGAACTAGACGGGACAGCCTTCTTTCTTCCTCAGTCATTACTGTCTACTCTCAAAGATAGCTCAGCAGGGGGCGATGCACAAGAACCTACCAAATCTAGCAAATCCAGCAGCTCTGTTGAGACTATCTATGTTCCTGTTCCCATTCCAGTGCCGGCAGTTGATACGGATGACTTTCCGGCGGAGACATCTCCTTTAACTGAATCAGCAATTATTACTGGCAAGGTATATCCCACTATAACGACTGAAAGTAATGTGAGTAGCCCTGAGCAAAAAAGTACTGTTTCTGTCACTCTCACATCTACTGTTGTCATCTCCCTTGTGAGACCTCCTCTTCTCCTCCTCTTACTACTACCACTATGTATACCCTACAAGACAAGTTCACTAACGCACAAATCAAGACTGATACTGAATCTCCTTCACCATTACCATTGTCGTCGCCATTTTTATCTTGCTCTCTTTCCTTGCAGCCTGAGCCTCTACCAAGCGCTCCACTGGGAACTGACTTTTTCACCTACCCAACAACCACTCCCATAACTACGCTTACAACCACGGCTACAACCAGCAGCAGCAGCAGCATTTTCCCATCATGGAGTAGTAGAGCTACCATCATCACTACTACCACTACTACTACTGTTGTTACCAGTACAAAACTGCTTCCTCATACACCTACATCTATAACCACAGGAGCTACGAGTACAGCTAAAGCTAAAGCTAGCAGCAACAAAGCCACCACCATGCATATGCATCATCATCTTCATTGGCTTTTTGGTCTGGATCCTGCAGCTGCAGATATTTTCCTCGTTGGGGCTGGGTGGTGTATGGCTGTTTTCCTTTTCGCTGCAGGGTTTGCTTAACATCATGATCCAGTTATTTTTTCACCCGATTTTCCTTTTCCTTTTCTTTTTCTTTTTTTTTTTTGTAGATTGATTGATTGATTGATTGTTCTTGGAAGTCCAAACAAACGCTTCAGATTGACGATCGACTTTGACTGACTTATTGACTGGGTGGGTAACTGACTGACTGGAACCAGATTGGGAAATGAGGAAGGTATGTAGGTGTACTGTAGATAGATTACTTTCAGGTCTGGTTTTTCTTTTCTTTTTCTTTTTTTCTTCTTTTCTCTTCTCTTTATACAAACTTCTCTTTATTTTCTTGAATGAGATGAATCAACGTGTGAATGAGTATTCAATGAGTGAAAAGTGAAAAAAAAGTTGCAGAAGCAGGAACAGGAGAATGTTTAAACTTCCTTTTCTCTTCTTTTCTTCCTTTTCTTGAGAAAAACCCCCTTTTCATGCATTCATGCATGTATGTATGTACAATTCCTCTTCTCCCTAATCTTATTTATTCCTATTCTTTCTGATCTTCCTGTAAACCTGGTAGCATATACACACAAAAACAAAAGCAAAAAAAAAATCTTACTATCGAGACAGGTGGGAAGTGTTCTTTATCATTCTTACTGTGTTAAGATTACTGTGTTTTTTAAGTCTTATTATTGTTAATATTTCTTATTATCGTTGCTTTACTTTACATTGCTACTCCTTTACACTACTTATGTATGATTATGATTATGGATAGTAGATTGCAGGTTGTTGCTATTCTTATTGCTATTGCTATTTCTATTTTTATTATTAGTTAGTAGTACTTATTTCCGTACGGAGTACATAGCTTAGTTTGTACTTATGCTTAGGAGTGAATATATTTATTTTCTAAAATAAGAACACAGTATAGTTGTTAGGGTAATGCTACGCATTCATTAGGTCATATAAATACACTGCCTCAATCCCTCTCGCTATCGGTGCTGGCCTCCCTCTCTGGCGGCATACTTACGCGATGCACCATCCGCACCCATCGTCGGCGTCGCCACTCGCCCATTCCCTGCGTCTGCGCGCCTCCGGTACTCTCCTCCCAGTCACGCCCTTGGCTGTTGCGATTCCCCTTAGTCTTGCCTTTTCCCTTCTGGTCTGCTGCCGCCTTGCTTCGCGACTCTCTCAGGTTCAGGTCGCCGTAGGCCATCTGACGGAACTCGTCGTCGTCGAGCCCAGCCTGAGAAGTAGACGACGGAGGTAGATCCCACACCCATCCGCCAACCTCCTCGTTCATAGCGGCGCTACCGCCTTCGTCATCGCTGCTGCCGGGAGGCACCTCGAACCCGACGCCCGTGATCATGCGCTCCATCACCCATTCCCGGCATTCCAGGTCCAGTTCCCACTTCTTCCCTTTCCACGCCCAGCCCGGCGGCGGCTGGACGTCTTCAAAGAACCGGCATCCTCGGGGGCGATCGCCCGCAATGCGCGATGGCGATAGCGGATCGTATGGTGTCGGCGAGAACAGCACAGTCTCCCACGCGGAAGAAGTCGCGTAGGGGGAAAGAGATCGATACTGTAGCTCAAAGATCTCCACTTCGCGCTCTTCTGGGTACGCATCTAGAGATATATTCGCAAGAGACCCCAGAAATGAACCAACCGATGAGAGAGAAGCAGGCACTGCGGGCTTCGCTTTGCTGGGGGATTTTGGGCTTGTCGGGTCAGCTTTCTTGGGCTCCTGTCCCATTACTTGACTCAGGAATTCCTGAACGGCCGGGTGGCCCGCAATAACGGCGGCATTGCCACCGATCAGGAAGATAAACCGCCAGGGAAGAAGATGTGAGGTCAGAAACAAGGCGGCCGTGATGATGAAAAGAAACAAAAACAATGTCGAGGAAAGAGTCTCATCTGAGAAATTCGTCGGCGGCGACAGCAGGGCCACCAGGGCATCGTGCAGATTCGCAAAGTCGGCCATGGAATTCTGAAGGTCTCGCATATTGCGAAGGAAATCCTTGGACGTCTCGCTGGCTGGTTTGATGGTCGGCGCAGGGGCCAGCGCGGGCCCGTTATAAGAATAGTAAGGAGTAGTCCCGGAGGTGGAATTCGAGGGTGGCGGGGGATGGCGTGCCAGGAAGGCTGGCACCATGATGAACAGCAGGATCGTGGCCAGTGGGACGACCGGCAGCAGGGAAGGATCCAGACAGACAAAAGAATAGACAGCTAGGAATGAGAGAGTCTGGGTTGGGTATCTCCAGGAAAAGAGGCGGATCAGCCGGTTCTGAAAGACGAAAGCGATGCCAATGCTAAACATCGATCAGCTTGCTCTTCGAAGATCTTCTCAGCCAACTTACCGTGCATTGAACCGCCGGAAATTGTTGGCCATCACCGGAAGACTGAAGGGCGGCCGGCTGGCACGCTTCGATTGCCTGTCAGCTGGCTCCTCTTGCTCATCGTTTTCATCCTCATCTTTCGGAATGACCTGCTGGAGCAGTCTGCAGACGAATTAGCCCAGGCGTTCCAACAAGGCGGAAAATACCATACTTTGCAAAGAGCCGGTCTTGAAAAGACAGGATGGATCTTCTTCTGGAGCCATCACTGCCATCGTAGGAGCCATCTGTGTGTTCATTCGCAGGCAGCTTCTCTTTCGTGCTATCTGATGGGGAAGACGGCTCGTCCTGGGCATTGTTATCGGCGGGGATGGAGGTCAGCGGGATGGAGTCGTCGCGGTTGGCGAAGGCATCCACCGTGTACTCATCCATGGCGACGCATCCGATCAATTCCCACAATCAATGCGAATCAACCGGCATTTCGTTTTGTGAGCTAGTCATGTCGACAGCGACGTCGCTGACGGAGTGCAGCCAGCCACGCGTCCGTCTATCATGTGCCTGGCGCCGAGGATGTGGAGAGCCGCGGATGGTGGAGTTGGCGCAGCACTACGTCAAGCGGCAATCCGCGACGATTTACGGCCTGAACTTGTCTTTCCCGGAGAACCCTCGAATAGACCGGTGCACCAGGAAATGATGAACTGGCCGCGAGAATGAGGACCGAAGACAGACTCGACTCATACTGGGAGGAGTCACGTTGCGGGTTGAGCTTGCCAGGGCTGCCTGGGGCTAGTCCGCATTCGCTCTAGTGGCAGCCACTGCCGTGATGCCTTAGGCACTGTCAGCCAAACAGGCAAACAGACAAACAAACAAACAGCGCAAACAGCACAAACAGGATTCTGACCTGTCCAGCATGGATTGAATCTGATGTCTCAACCCACGGTACTTGGCGAAAGCATATACCAGTGCATATCACTAGATGATCGCTAACTCCGTAGCATAAATGTTTGATGGAGAGCAATTCCAGAGCTTGGGGATAGCTCCTGTCAACTCCTGCAGGTAAAAGTTGACGTAAGAGAGACCTGAAGACACGGGAAGGATGACATGAAGCTTGCTCCAGGAGGACATGATTGGACATGTACCACTTCTCGAAAAGCTCCCATCTTAAGGACTGCGATTGCATCCAATGACAGCCAGGCTGTGGTATATTATACTTGCCAAGAGCTAGCTGTCTACCGCCGTGGGTGTTGACTACGGAGTACATACGGAGTAGATTAAACTGGTAAAAAATAAAATTACGTAGTAGCTGAACGGGTACGTAGATCTAGGAGAGAATATGCACGCCTGTAGCAGGAAATGATTTGTCGATGGCATGACGTGCATGACCTCTACCAGACTGCAGTCGACATGATAGGGCCCTGTGTGGGAGCAGGCAATTCTAGACTCGTCTTTGTGCAACCAATGGGATGCCCACTGGATTGCGCCCGCAGAGAGCCTAGCAGAGGCTCCTTCAGGCACCGCAACTGGATGTGTAGAAGCAGTAGAAGCAGCAGCAGCGTCGAAGCGGAGTAGTAGTAAAGCAGAGCTGCGGCACGGGCATCGCGGTTTGCAGGGTTTGCAGCGCGCGATCCAGGGGCTGCCTGGCTGGCAGACGAGAGCCGCCGCGATAAGTACTCCGCCCGGACGAAGCCCGTCAACAAATCTGTCGACTCCCCAATCTCTATTCCGGCTGCTGTTGCTGCCAGCCCTCCTCCAGGGACACCAATCTCGTCCAGAGTGGTCTTCCTTGTCCGCCTCTCGCCTGTTGCTGGCGTTTCGAAACACTGGTCCTGCCCTGCGTGCTGGGTTTGCGACGCCTCCTGTCGCGCTGCTCCCCTAGCTGCTGCTAGCCTGGCGCTGGGTTTCCCGAACGACCACCCCAAGCAGCAAGCGGCTCCATCCTGCACACATTGACCTCCTCGTCACGACTGCCTTCGATCCCCGGGCCTCGTCGAAGCTGTCCCCTCGTGACGTGTATCGCTTGTCCGCTTCCTGTCCGGGTGACGATCGCCCTCCCCCGTTTTTTCTCATCACCGACAGTCCTGGACGACGGACGCCCTTTGCTCCTCCCCGCAATGGACAGGTAGCCACGGTGGAGGTCGCGACATTGTTGACCGAGTCTCTTGCCAGAGACAGCCTGTTTGCTACGCACGTTGATGCCATTTGGCCCATTGGTGCTTGAGTACTCGCACCCGGGAGAAGGGAGGCCGGTCCCGTGACATTCGAGATTATGACCGCCAGGGTGACCTCGCAGCCGACGGTTGGCCCTACACAGACGAGAATGGCCCATTCACGAACATCCAATTCCTCTCGCAATGACGATTCCAGCTCAGGAGGTAAATTCTCACTTGATTCTGGAGAAAGTATCGTGTGGGGATCTCGCTAACTGTTCTCGATCTCCCAACAGAGATTTCCGGCCGTCGAAGGTTACAGAAAGCGCCGTCCAGTGTCGGAAGTGCTGACAGCCAGGCCTCGAGGGCTCCGTCGATCCCTCGAAGCGTGACAGAACCGCGTGTCGGTATGACGGGACGGCGAAGACAGTCCATTCGCGACCAGAAGGCCCCGGGCCCTGGAATCTCTGAAGCCTCTGCAAAGCGGTATCTGCCATGTCTTCTATCCGCAGATCTGATGCCTGTACTGTCAATGATGCTGACGTGCTACTTTTTTAATTCTCCTCAGTAACCGATCGTCGGGATCTTTGCACTCCGGAAGTTCTTCCATTGACACCACCAACGATTCGACGCGGAACCATTCCATCAGCAGCAGCAATTCTCGCCTCAGCCTAGGAACCTCGAATGCCGGTAACTCGACCAAGTACGATGTCAACCAGACTCCTCCCGACGGCCCTGACTTTTTGGCACCGATTAACTTTGACGACTTCCACAACAGCATCATGGAGGAGCCGAGTCTGAACCGCTTCCCCATGCCGGGTCACGGTGGTGCGGGTTACGACAGCAATGAGACAAAGGATCCCTCCTGGTCCAAGAATGAGGGAAATCCTACTGTCAGAGCAGCCAGGTCGGGTTCCATTCGCCGCCAAAGCGACGTAGGCCGTGTCGCCGGCCAGGCGTCGTCGACTTCTTCTACCTCGATGCCGCCGCCGGCTGCGCCTGCGTCTCGAACACGTCGCCAGAGTCAAGTTTCCGCGCCATCATCGGCGTCTGCGGCATCTCGCCCTCCGAGGAAATCCATCGGTCCGGGCACGATGGCCTTGGACAGTAATACTACTACTACTACTACTACTACTACTACCACCGAGACCACGGCAAGGAGACGGCCGAGCCTCTCGGTGAGAAAGACGAGCACGGACAATGGCAGAACAGATCAGGGGAACGGCGCCCTTCGCCTCCGTTCGCAAAATCTGGAACCGAACAACGCCGATGGGGGGAAGCTGCCTGTTAGTTCCCGCTCTCTCAAAGCGAAGTCGCTTCAACCGCCGTCCAGGGAGCCGCAGGAGAATCTTTTGGCACCCTCTTGTGGATCGGAGCATTCGAGATCGTCGTCGACGAATGCCTTGCGAGCGCCCGCCAAAAATGCAACCTCGACGCCGTCGTCTTCGGCCAAGCGAATGTCCATGGTGCCTCATGCCACCGGTCTGGGCGCGCGAACGATCAGCCCGACGGATGCGCGAAGGATGAAACGCATGTCCATGAAGCCTCAGGCGCCGCCCATGCCGAATACGCCTCCCACCCAGGCACAGCTCGATCCGGGGACGTCGCGGCCCCGGTCGTCGGCTCAGTCGCCCTCCATGATTCCGCGGAAGAGTGTCACGCCGTCCTCCTCGAGGACCACGCCGGATCCCAATCGCAAATCCTACAGCTCGGGCATTTCAGTGTCATCCAACACGAGCTATAACTCGACCCGGAACTCCAGTGGTTCGTTGCAACCGAGACTTTCCCAGACATTCTCTTCTTCCCGACTGCCAACCCCGAAACCACGGCTGGAGAATATCACCGGGGTTACGGAGGAAGAAGTCCCTCCAGTGCCTGCTATACCCAAGGCCTTCGAATCTCCCAAGACGGACGGTGACTTGTTAGCACCGCAGCAGACCGCTCGTAAATCGAGCCTGCCGTTGGACGTCGGAAGACTGAGTGTGGACTCGCGGCGCGATTCCGACTCCAGTGGGCCGTCGGCGACTGCCAACTCTGCCCAAGAGGACTCGGCGCCTGCAGCATCCCATCTCAGAGGATCGAAAACTCCCGATGCCAAGGGCAGGCAGGCTGCCGGTCTGGGCAAGAAAAACCTTCAGCCGTTGAAACTGCCGCCATTGAACCTGCTGCCTCTAAGCACGCCCATGGCTGCGAAGATCGATGCCTTGAAGGACGCGAATGCTAACGATGAGACCGGATCTTCTACACCACCACTTCGCCAGATGGCGCCGAAGACGCCCAGTACGCCGCTGACTGCCTCCAAGGCTTCCTTTTTCACGAATAACGGCGACGATCATGAGACGCAACCGATTCCCTTTCCCCGCAGCAACACGTCTCATTTCTTGGTTAGCAACAATTCCTCGAGCCATCGAGCCCCGAGCAGCTCGAGTGCGATTGTGCCGTTGGAAATTCCAACGACCAATCGAAACATTTCGCCTTATATATCCTTGTCTCTGCCCAAGACGAGTGACGATTATAGTTTCATGCGGCACAAGACTAGCGGAGAGTATTCCCGCGGCTCACTACAGCTTGGGAAGTTGACCGGCCCTCGGCCTCAGACGCAGTCTTCTGCGTTGTCTTCGAATACCGAAGTGGGCAGTCGGATGTCCAGCCCGCCTGATCTGGAGAAGAGTGGCTCTTCCCTCAGGAATGAACTCAACGCAGCGACGCTCAAACACAGCAGCTCCAAACCATCGCTGTCGTCAGATACCGAGAGCAGCTCCGCCAAGTACGACAATATGCCACCCCCTCGGCTTCCGGCGTCTGCGACGTGGAACAATGGTCTTTCGTCTGCAGCACCACGCACCAGTCCAACCTTGAAACCGGCCTATCTCCAAGCCCGGCGCAAGTCTTCCATATCCAGCTTCACCAACGGCGCACGACAGCCCAGTGTGAGCAGCGAGCAGAGTCTGGCACCAACTCAGAGTTCGTCCACCGACTCTGGCGATACGGACACGACCCACACTCGGCCCACTTCCTCCATCTTCTCCCCTGTTCATAAGATTATCAGCTCGGCCAAGTCCAATGTGGCCGCTAAACCGCGTCCGATGGATCCCGACGTGGATCCGGATGAGTGGGCTGCCGATGAGGAGATGAGAAGGCTCGGTAGCAAACGAAAGGATTTCGAGGCTGCTGCACGGGAATTGGACGAGTTGCGCCGCAGGGCCAGTCCGAAGGAGCGTGTCAGCCCCGCACAAGCATTGAAGATGGCCAATCTCAACATCTTTGAGCGGGGCGAGATCATTGACTTCAAAGACATTTACTTCTGCGGTACTCAGAAGGCCAAGAAGGTTGTTGGAGATCTCAAGGCTCAAAACCTGAACTTTGGATACGACGATGAGCGAGGTGATTACCAGATTGTGATTGGCGATCACCTGGCCTACCGATATGAGGTCGTCGATGTGTTGGGCAAAGGAAGCTTTGGTCAGGTCGTCCGATGTGTTGATCACAAGACGGGATCTCTGGTGGCCGTCAAAATCATCCGCAACAAGAAGAGATTCCACCAGCAGGCTTTGGTCGAGGTCAACATCCTCCAGAAGCTGAAGGAATGGGTAAGTTGGCCATGGTCTTTGTGGATTAGGTACGAGACTAACACAGAGCCCTCAGGATCCCCAACGGCGGCACAACGTAGTCAAGTTTACCCAGAGTTTCTATTTCCGAGGACATCTCTGCATCGCGACCGAACTGCTTGGCATGAACCTGTACGAATTTATCAAGGCGCATGACTTCAAGGGCTTCTCGTTGAAGCTCATCCGTCATTTCACCAAACAGCTCCTGAACACCCTTGTCCTTCTGTATAGTAAGAAGGTCATCCACTGCGATTTGAAGCCCGAAAACATCCTTCTTGTCCACCCGATGCGCTCGGAGATCAGGGTGATCGACTTTGGATCGAGCTGCTTCGAGCATGAGAAGGTCTACACATACATTCAGAGTCGATTCTACCGATCTCCCGAGGTGATCCTGGGCATGTCGTATGGGATGCCGATCGACATGTGGAGTCTGGGCTGTATCTTGGCCGAGCTGTATACGGGATATCCAATCTTCCCCGGCGAGAACGAGCAGGAGCAACTCGCCTGTATCATGGAGGTCTTTGGTCCTCCGGAGAAGCACCTGATCGAGAAGAGTACCCGACGGAAGCTGTTCTTCGACTCCACGGGCAAGCCGCGGGTGACCGTGTCTTCGAAGGGCCGCCGACGCCGGCCTAGCTCGAAAGATCTCCGGCAGGTCCTCAAATGCGATGATGAGGCATTCATCGACTTCGTCGCTCGCTGCCTTCGGTGGGACCCGGCGCGTCGAATGAACCCCAACGATGCATTGAACCATGAATTCATCACCGGGGTCAAGCCCCCGAATCGGCCACGGTCCAGCGCTAATCCTAGTACCCCGATGAAACGGTTGCAACAGGGGACCGGTCCTTCAGTGCCGCGGCCGCTCCCTGACCCTCCCGGCACGAGTAATAACAATAATAATAACAACAAGAACGGCGCTGTCAAGAACCGAGATGCCTCAGGTGGCTCTCCCGTGAAAGCGTCGGCGCCTCGGCGCCATTCGACCGTGAACGGCTTGCAGCCCGCGGCTGGTAAGCGGGTATCCAACAGCGGCTCTTATTCGAATTCCGGGTTGCCGAGAGTCGCCGGGAGGAGCGTGAGCGGAAAGCCCGACCTCGCGGCGGCCGCGGCAGCGACGAGCTTGGTAAGTGAGATGGCCGTGGTGTCGTCCGATCTTGTGCTGACTCGAGGATAGAAGACGAGATAGGATGTTGGTGTATAAATCTTACTTTATTGTTATATTATTTTAATAGTCGATCTTTTTCGTTTCTTTTTCTTCTTCTCTACAATCGTTACGCCGCATAGACGGGGTGGGAATGCTGGTGTTTTTCTTTGCATGTTGAGTGAAAATGCATTGAATCAAGCCGAACATGGTTGAAGGGGAAGTCGTCATCATATACCCCTCGCTGACCACTTGCATGTGTGCCTTGAGGATGAATGATTTTTTCTTTTCCTGCTTGTGTTTTGCATTGACGTTATGACTGACTTGGGGGTTGTCTGGATCTGCGTCTTGTACTGTATCTTTGTGTGTGATGTATTTTGGCCCCCGCGTGTGTTGTTTGTATGTATGTACTGTACGTGTTGCTGACACAGTGTAATAACGGTCCCAGCGGGATGCGCATTGCTTCGTTTGAGCAGGTGGTTTTTGGAAAGGACAGGATGGCTCGCTCGTTTCCTGTGCTGGGAGCTGTGGAGGATTCGCAGGATTTAGTGACCATATAAATAAATATACATAGTGAGATCATCTAATGAGATAGCACAGCATCAAGAGGACGAATTCGCTCATACTAAGTTTTTCTAGTCGAGTAGGAGGATAGGAGTAGACTTTATTATTCAGCTATCTACCGTTCTTTATCTTTATTTTGTTTTTTTCTTTTCTTTTTTTTTTTGTATTTTTGACTGATTAGTATTTTGTAACCTTGAATACCTGCAATCTACTGGCTTGTAAATATCCTTGTTCATAGTTTAGGCTAACTGCCCCTGCCGAGGCTGGGCGATCCGTTCGGGATACCTGGCCTCTCCACCAGCGTCTCCACATCGAACTTCGAACTTATCGCTGCTGCTATTCTTATTCTCTCTCTCGTTCGTGTCACTTTTCAGTCGCTCTTTTCAATTGCTGCTTTCGTCCGTTCCACCAGTTTACTTTTTTCTTCGCAATTGATTTATGCCTCCTTCATGACGACCGGCGCGCAGTGATCGTGATAGCTAGCTGTCGCAATGAACGGGTATGCAGCCCACGGCCTCGACGAGGATGCCTTTGGGGAGAAGAGGAGTATTGCGGCGGGGTTGAAGACGTTTGATGCGTTTCGTACGATTACTCTCCGTATCCATGCGATTGAGCATCGCTAACACTGGTGTTATTTTCCAGCCAAGACAAAACCCAGCTACACCTCGCCCAGCCGGCGCGGCGGACAATGGACAGTCGCCCTGCTCGTCATCTGCACGATGCTGACCATCTCCGAACTGCGGGCGTGGTTCCGCGGCACCGAGACGCAGCACTTCAGTGTCGAGAAGGGCGTGTCGCACGAGTTGCAGATGAATCTGGACATGGTGGTGCGCATGCCCTGTGACGACGTGCGCGTCAACGTCCAGGACGCCGCGGGCGACCGCATCCTGGCCGGCGAGATGCTGCACCGCGAGCCCACCAGCTGGCAGCTGTGGATGGACAAGGTCAACCGCGAGATCGCCGCGGGAGTCCACGAGTACCAGACGCTCAACGAGGAGGATACCCGGAGGCTGCTGGCCCAGGAGGAGGACGTGCATGTGCGCCACGTCCTGGGCGAGGTGCGCCGCAATCCGCGCAGGAAGTTCCCCAAGGGGCCGGCCCTGCGAAGAGGCGACGTTGTCGACTCGTGTCGTATCTATGGCAGTCTGGAGGGGAACAAGGTGCAGGGTGACTTTCACGTCACGGCAAGAGGACACGGATACCAGGATATGGGGGCTCATCTGGATCATAAGAGTCAGTCACCTAAAAAAAAAGCACCATCTTGAACTAGTCTACTGACAACTGACTTGATTTATTTAGCATTCAACTTCTCGCACATGATCACCGAACTCTCCTTCGGACCACACTACCCATCCCTCATGAACCCACTGGACAAAACCATCGCGACAACAGACACGCACTACTACAAATACCAGTACTTCCTCAACATCGTGCCAACCATCTACTCCAAAGGCACTAACCCAGCAATCATCATGTCCGACAAATACACAACAACAAACGCCCTCCGCCTAACGAAAAACCCAAAAACACAATCTTCACAAACCAGTACTCCGCCACGAGCCAATCGCACGCCATCCCTGAGAATCCCTACAATGTCCCCGGGATCTTCTTCAAGTATAATATCGAGCCCATCCTGCTGCTCGTCAGCGAGGAAAGGGGCAGTTTTTTGGCCCTGCTGGTGCGTCTTGTTAATGTTGTCTCCGGCGTGCTTGTCACGGGTGGCTGGCTGTTTCAGTTGAGTGGGTGGGCGGGTGAAGTGCTGAGTCGAAGACGAGGGAGGAGGGCGAGGAAGTCTGAGGGGGTGTTGAATGGGAGGGAGGGGTTGGAGGATGAGTAGATCAATAAATAAAATAAATGAAATAAATGAGGGAAGTGAAATGTTAAATGCGAGCATCCTGTTGGCATTGTGTTATATTTTTGCTTTCTGGTCTGGTCTGGTCTGGTGTGCAAGTTCTGTATGTCTCTATGCACATCATGTATACGGAGTCAGAGGTGTCTTTTGGGCATGTCATTCGGTTTATTAATTAGTGTTTATCGAGTTAACATGCATCATCGTCGATAGAATTAGCCTGCCATAACAAATACGCCGAGTAAACCAATCCATTATACCTATTACCATCATCCCAATCCCAACAAAACAATACGACAATACGAAATACTCCGTACTATTAGTACACAACAAGCAAAGTCAAACCTCAAAAATCTCACCCATCCCTACACCTGCCCCCTCCGCACCAGCCCGGCTGTCCACCAGATCCAGCCGCCAGCCCTTCCACTCGCGCAGTTTCCGCTTCACCTCGCGCACCCATTCGACCCGCTTGCGCGCCTCCTCCTCGGCCTGTGCACGCGCAAACGCCTCCTCGTCGAAGTCGTCGTCGTCGCCGTTCTCCTCTGAGAGTAGCTCGAGGCTGCCTCGTGTCGCGGGCGGGTGTTGCGATGGGCGACGGTCCCTGTTACCTGACCCTGTGAAGGCGGCCAGGCCGCTTGAGAGGACTGTCGCGAAGGATGAGTGTTGCTGCTGCTGCTGCTGTTGCTGGGCTCGACCGCCAGCCGCACTGCGCCGTCGCGAGTGGCTTGGAGCGCCCCCGATCAAGTCTACCTCGTCGAAGGTGTTGCCAGGGCTGGTCGCCGACTCGCGCGGTTCGCCGACCTCTTCGCCCTCCAGTTCTTTCCTCTTCTCTTTCCACACGCCCCGACGCAGGTCGAAGATCTCCCCCTCCAGCTCGCGGATCCGCCGCTCCAGACGCGCGCGCTCTTCCTCTTCCAGCTCCGCGAGTTCCGCGTCGTCGCCGCCCACGGCCTCGTTGAGTTTCCGGGCTCGATCCCGCTCCTCCTTGAGCCGGAGGTTCTCGTTCTCGACGCTGGTCAGCTTCTTCTTCAGAACGACGACCTCCTTCTCCAGCTTCTCGTGTTCGCGTAGCCGCGCCTGGTGTCGACTCTCCGACTCCTTGTGCAGGTTGCCCAGGGCCTGGAGCTTCTTGTCCAGCGTGTCGATCTTCTTCTCGGCCGCGGATTTGGCCTCCTGCAGTTCCTCGATTTCCCTCCGCAGGTTTTTGATCAGCGTCTCGGTAGACGTCTTGTCCACCCCTTCTTTGATCGCCTTCTCCGCCGCGCGCGACAGCGACTGCTTCGCGTCCGCGAGCTCGCGTTGCGTCTTTTCCAGATTGCTCTCGCTCTGCGCAAGCTTTTCCTCGAGAGCGCTTATCCGGTTCTGATACCCAGCGCTCGAATTCGCGTGGGACTGGACCTGCGCTCGTAGATTCGAGATCTCGATCTCCATCGCCTCGATGGTGGCAGACTTGGACTCGAGCTGCTGCGCGAGGTCGGACGGCGGTGATTCGGCGCTGCCAGCGGAGACACTGGCCGTATTGCGATGGCTCTTGGACTGTAGCAGGGAGTTTTGTCGTTGCAGGGAGGTGATTTCGGCTTTCTGCATCAATCAATTAGCATGTAGTCCAGTTGCCATTATAGATTGTACGTACCAGTTTCTCAATCTCTGCGACCTGCTTCTCCGCCTTCTCCAGCCGATCCTTGAGTTCCACCACCTCCACGCTGGCCTCTCGGAGGTCCTCGAGCTGTTCTTCGGATTTCAGCCTCCGGGCATTGGCCTCTTCGAGCTCCTTCTCCAGCCGCTTATTTTCCTTCTCGAGCTCTTCCAGCCGTGCCGCCTGTTTCCGGAAGACCTCGTGGACGTGCTCCCCGTCAGGCGACAAGGGAGGCAGCGGCGGAGACTTCAAGCTTCCGAGCGAGGATGCTGCCGGCGCACCCTGCGAGATGGACGATTGCCGGAACGAGGACGATCGCATCTTGGATTGGGCGGACAGGGACGGTTGGCGGGCATGCGCGCCCCGCGAGGGGAGCTCCTTCACGTCGCCGGGTGTCGCGTCGGGGCCGGGGGACGTCGGCGCCTGCGGCATGGGTTCGGTGGCCGTCTCCTCCTCTCGCTTTTCCGGCTCAGCTGGCTTCTCCTCTTGCTGGCCTACGGGCTCGCTGTCCGGTTTCTCATCTGGCTCCTTGGGGGTTGCTGGGGTTGCTGGTTCGGCGGTGCTGGAGTCATCCTTGCTGGCTTCCGCATCAGCAGCGGCTTTCTTGGCCGCTTTCTTCGCTTTCTGCTTCTGCAGCTGCGCAACCTGTCTGGCCGTCAGTAATTCCGCTCACGAAACGCAGGTGTACAGCATGCTCACCCTCTTTTTGGCGGCGGCGAGCTTCTCCGCCTTCAGCCGCTCCTCCTCGTCGGCCATGGCAGAAAGGCTGTCTGAAGCAGGAGACGCGAAGGGCAGCTGATTAATGATCAGGGATGCCAGAATCGGAGAGCGCGAGGCATGGATCCTCCAGACATCGATGGGCCTGAAGCTGCTGTTGAGCTGCTGCTGCTGGACGTCGCGCGGAGGCAGCGGAAGGGCCAGCTTGCGCGATGTGCACGGACCACCCGTCAGCAGGGCCGTCAGTTGGCTGCAATACTCGACAAAGTCCATCCTGGACGTCGTTGGCGATGCCCTCGATCGCGGTCAATCGACTTCTTCTCTTGACGGGAGGAGTCCATCTTCGCTCTTCTCGCCGGAGCTGGAGGGGGCTACATATTGCCAGCTGTGTGCTGGAGCAGCTCCTATCCGAACCGGGAAAGCTGGCGATATGACATGCAGCGGTGAGCCTGCTATTATTAGCTGTGCGGTGCCTGAAGTGAGGCAATTACAATAACTAGACACAGTAATGATGCTAGGATTTGCTTCCACGTTTCTATATCGTTTTTGCAGCCATTGGATGGTTCTAAGCGTTGAATGCTTTTCATTCTCGACCAGTCCTCCAATCACGACTGCCACATGTACCAAGCTGCCTGCAGGACGAATAGCAATTGAAATTGTATTTGACTAATGGAATAACTTCTGATTACTTTACTAGGTAAGACATGGCCTGAGGTCTTACATACCTTTGTAGAAACTCAGCAGAGCGTAGTCTTATTTAACAAGATGTGTCTTTTGATCAGCTGATTGGCTCGATTCGAGTTCTTGTATGTAAATAATACCGTTGATATTACCTAGGTATGTACTGTACATACTCTATTCTAGCATGTCTCCAGAGCTGTAGGTGATGGATAGTCCCTCTCCTTCCATACCTGAATATCATTCACAGCGACGCAAGCACCGCCTCAGCGCCAGAACCCTGCACACGTCTCAGCACAGACACTGCAAAAAAGCAAGTCAACTCACCTTAACAACACCCCTCTCCGTCTCAATCTGCGCATAGGTGACCTTGCCATGGTCAATGACAAGCGCATAACGACCCGTCCGGCCCGTCTTCTCGTCCGCCCAGCCAATACTCTTGGAGAACTTGGCGTCGGGGTCGGAAAGGAACAGCTGCAGCCATCAGCATATGCAATATACAATATACTATAATTTGTGGTGTCGACATACAATCGAGTCGTCACGCACGTTGTTCGCCTTCCCCCAAGCGCTCATCACATAGGCATCGTTGAAGGCCAGCACGGCGACTATGTCGACGCCTTTTTCCTTCAGTTTTGGGAGATTCCGGATGTAACCGGGCAGGTGGTTCACGGAGCAGGTGGGTGTGAAGGCGCCTGCAAAAAAAAATCAGTCAGGACAGTACTATACATATGGTCTGCTAGGTTGCTCACCCGGCACGGAAAACAGCACCACCTTCTTGTCCGCCCACTCCTGCGAGGCGTTGTAGTTGACCGGAATGCCGCAAGAGGTGATGTCGCCTTTTTCCTCCGTGTAGGGGATGTACCTGTAAGGTCAGCAAGTACCATATTTGTGTACAACAGTACTCCGTATGTGTGTGGATGTATACTCACTGGAACACGACATCGCTGGGAAAGCTGTCGCCAGGCTTGAGGGCAGGCATTTTGCAGACGGTCAGCAGTACGAATTCAACTGGTTGAAAATGAAGATGAATGAATGAGAAAGGGATTGAAGTGGAATTGTTGACTGATTGATTGATTGTTGCACGATGGCGGGGATGCGGGGGACGCCGATCGGAACCACCCGCCGTGGCTCGCGTCCCACGGTTCGTCATTTTAGAGTGGATGATCTAATAAAACAATAAAATCGAATATTGCATACGGAGTAAGATACGATTAAGCTATTTCCTATCAGTAATTGATTCAGTTTAGAATTCTAGAATTCTACGTTGACTAGGAACCCTCGTGTATAGATACATACCGCATTAATTACCCTAAAATAATGGCATTTCAGTATTTGGCATTTATATTTAAATATAGACAGTCTTCATACATTCCTTTCCAGTAAATACATAAATCTTGATAAGATAATAAAGGTGTATATTTTTTTTCTACCTGAGTTCAACTAGTAACTCCTAGTAATCCCAGCATAATTTTTCCAGAATAAAAATATACTCCGTATTGATGGTAAATAAAGGATTAATTTTTATACCACCAAGTCCTAATAATAAACCTTACACAAGGGAGTATGAGAAGCAAGGATCTACAGAAATAAAAAATGTGCGTTGGCAGCTAGCCCTGCTGGACAGCAGCACCACCAACCTCAGTGGCTTGATGACGCTCAATTGCAGTCTTTCAAGTGGCATCTATTCCGGCGACATATCTCCATATAGGACTTTAATTTTTCTACAGCGACTTCTGCTCAAAATCTGACTGACTATATATAGCCATTCAAACAGGAAAATGCACAATTACAATTAATACTAGTAACCTACTCCGTAATGCTTTCAAGGCCACCTAGGTAATTGGTTTCCTTTCCCAAAGCGAACTAATTAGCCGGTGGGGAGATCCTTTAGAGTACGTATTGTATTGACCTCCTGCTCATAACCCAGATAGGAAAATTATGTTAGTGGAAAAAGCGTCGTCTACTTAAGTAAATAGCATTATCTCGAAATGTCACTTCTTTCTGCTGCCTGTCATCTTGCAAATCTGGCCCCCAATCTCGGATACGATACAATACCTACGGAGTAAAACACGACGATCATGACGATCATCACTGAATAACTCCCAGAGGTGGGGCATTCTCAATCTATGAGTATTCTGACGCTTCTCAGACCTATCCTCTTCATCCTCTCTTTTCCTCAGCGGAAATTGGCAACTCTTCTCCATGCCAGTAGCAACCGCCGTCGCGCTCTCCAACCGCCACGATCCAACCCTGCAGCCATTCCTGGACGCCTGTCGCCAGGGCGATCTCGCTTGTGTCCAGGCGCAGATCGCCCATCGCGACCGCAGCGATGGCTCGCTCACACGGCCTGATGGCCGCTGCCGAAGCGGACCATGTCGAGACGATGCGCTGTCTTCTGGAGCATGGGGCTGTCATTGACGAGCCCACCGTCTTTCGGACTCGATCGCCTGCAGCTTTTCAGGTCTTGATGGACTATGGGTTTGGCGTTAATGATCCGCTGAGCTGGGGGCTTGTTCCGCTGATGTATGTACGTACATACATACGTATACTTGACTGACTGCCGGAGTATCTACTCGTCCAGATAGATGTTAATTAATTCTGTCAGATCCGTCGTGACCAAAGACGACGAGTCCCTTCTCCAATGGTTTCTTTCCCAAGGCGCAGACCCCAACCTAGCAGGCCCTGACCCCCCCGTGCCCAACTCAGGCGGAGCCCTCGAAGCCGCAGCGCAATGCGCCAGCACCGCCATCGTCGACATGCTGCTCGCCCAGGGCGCCAAGCTGGAGAACAGCCTGGTGCTGCACCGCGCGCTCATGCGGAGCAGCAGCGATCGGATCGCCATGATGGACCATCTGGTCCGGCGCGGAGCCGACGTCAACAAGTACGGCTATCACCCGCTGCTCCATCACGGCGGGACGCCGCATATGGCGGCCATTTTGGGCGAGATCGAGGAGGCGCAGTGGTTGCTGGATCATGGGGCCGATCCTGCGATCGCGGACGAGATGGGGATAGACCCTGCTGTTATGGCGTTGCTGGAGGAGAATGAGAAATTTTGTCGGTTTCTTCGGGGTTGGTGTAAATCGAGGGCTGAGGGAGATGATGGGTCTGGGTGTTGATTGCATAGTGTATGTATATAGTAAGACGTGAAAGCGTGGTACTGTACGATTATCCTTAGGATGAAATGAAGTAATATATACACTAACCTCTTGATCTACACAGTGTCAGTCTGGCACTTACAAAACTAAAATCCTATGCTAGATCCTATCTTTACTGGAGAAATAGTTAAAACAGCCTGCACAGCTGTCTATCCAATCCTATTTCCCAAGAAAATTCCATACATTTATCTATTTGTATAGATTTTTGCCGTAGGATAGAATAATTCATTCTGTTTAGCTAGACGATACGCACCAGACGGAGAGTGCTTGAGTTGTATATGTATTCAGCAATATCATATAGAATGGCTAACTATTTCTCTGCTCAATACATTAAACAATTAAATGTTGAGCGACTAGATAACGCTATTATAACCGTATATAATATGGTTTCTCTAGATCACAGCTATAAATAAAACAATTAATACCACATACGGGTAGATTTTCTCATCTTTGCTTCTCGTCGAATGAAAGGCCAGCGTTAAGACAGGTTAATAATTAGACGCAAGAAACTCTGCTGGTGCATCCTGCATAGTATGTATGTACATACATACATCTCAGGTCACTACTAGACTAGGCAATTGGATTCAACGTCTCCCCAGCCAGCAAGTCCTCCAGCACACTGACATCGTCCAGCTTTTCCAGGTTCAGCACCAGAGCCTCAATCTCGTCTCTCCTCCTGTCCTCAATCAGTCCTTCCGTGAACCGCCGCCACTTGTCGAGGATCTCCTCGTTGGTCAGCGCCGGACTCACGCCCTTTGGTGCTTGCAGCGTTTGTGTCAGTGTTCCCTGCTGCTGCTCCTGCTGCTGCTCAAACGTGATTGTCACCCGCTGCGCATAGCCCGGGTCCATCTCCTCCGCGTGGACGCATTCCGTCTTGTCGATCAGCGACCACAGGCTATCCCTGTCCAGCAAGCTGGGACGGAATTCCGACGGCAGCACCTGGCCGTCGACCAGCTGGACGGCCGCAACGTACGCCGCGCTCATCTGCGCGCCGGTTGCGGTCAGCGGGCGCCGGGGCTTCCAGCCTCCATGCTTGAAGGCCGCCTCGGACATCTCGATCTTGATGCCGCGGATGCGTTCCACCTGCCGCATCTGCTCGGGATGCTTCCTCTGCAGCTCGCGGACGCAGTCGATCGTGCAGTGCGTGCCCGCCATCGACGCATACGGCTTGACCCGGATCGTCTGCAGCTGCCACTTCTCGCCTAGCTGCTTGGCCACCTCATCCGTTCGATACGGCGGATTCATGCCCGATCCCTGTCCGAAGACGGCCAGGAACCCGCCGTACGGTTCTTCAAAAACCCGCTTGATCCCGCCGTAGTTCGCCCGCGCCATCAGCGCCGCGAAGAGCCCGTTGCGCGCGGCGAACCCGTGCTGCATGCGCTTCACGTCGCTGCCGAACTGCGCGGACATGAGCCCGCAGGCCTGCGTGCAGGCGATCCCCAGCGCGTCCTCGATGGCGCCCTCGGTCAGATTCAGCAGCTTGCTGACCGCCGCAGCCGCAGCGGCGTGGCCGAAGACGACGCCGGAATGCCACCCCCGCGAGAGCATGTGTCCGCCGTGCAGGGCCAGCCCGACTCGCGGTCCGGTTTCATAGCCCACGATCGTAGCGAGCAGGAAAGACGCGCCGTCGCATGTCGTCGTCTTATTCGTCTGCCGCGCAGCCGCAAACAGGGCAGGGAGAAGAATGGAATTAGAGTGTACGGGCGCTTCGGAGTGGTAGTCATCCAGCTCAAACGCCTGGACGGAGGTACTGTTCAGCAGGGCCGCAGCCAAAGGACCCAGTTTCTAAATAGAATAAAAGAAAACTTCATCAGCCGTGATCCTGCTATCATTTAGGTAGACTATCCTACCCTCTGCCACCCCCAAACCCAGCAGTTCCCCTGCGGCTCCAAGTCGAAGATCGCCCGCGCGGCCGTCTCCGTCCAGGGGAGATGGGCGCCAACGATTGCACAGCCCAGACCGTCGAGAATGAGGTATTTTGCGCGAGTGCGTACGTCTTCGGGGACGTCGTCCAGCGTGACGGAATGGATCCAGTGGCTTAGGGTTTTTGTGACGCCTTGAGATGCGGCATCAGCAGCAGCAGCAGCAGCATGACTGGGTTGTGCAGATCTTGGTGCCATCATAATGTATGTTCAGTACACTGTAGGTCAGATTAGCTTGTGCGCAGCAGGATAGACTTTGGTGAATGCAAGAATCCCTCTCCGCCCATTCTTATATGCATATATACATCGCAGTAGTCCTCAGGATAGATGGATTGCCGGCATCTCTTCGGCCCGACACAGTCACGCTCATACGGAGTAGGTATATTACTTCTGCCATCTTTGACTAGGGATGGATTTGGTATCGCCAGCTCTTCCACTTACGTGTAGACCTTATTCCCGACTTGGCCGATCTGACTGACTTCTCGGCAAAACAGGCCGCAAACGGCCCGATACAAACGGAGCGGAGGGAGCTGAGCACTCGCCGGCGGAGCACGCCGCTTTTCTTTTCACACCCTCCATTCTTCCCGTGGAGATACGTCTGTTCAGCTATTGCCTGGAGAAATTATGCTTGATGTGCTTGGAGTGGTTGATGGTATTGTTTTTCGTCGGCTGTGTGTCTGCCAACGGCGTATTTCGGGCCGCGGCCGGCTTCTTATACAGCATTTAAGAAGATGTCCGATTGAATACGAGACTGCGTTCCGTGCAACATTATCGTGGTCACTTCTGACGTAAATGGAGCTTTGCCAGCATCATGGTACAGTACAGTACTGTGCTGTACAGAAGTCTGTACTGTTGATCGACCCGAAACAGCAGCCGGATGTATGTACATAGTAACCTTGCCCAGACAAGGTGATAAAGTACGAGCCCGACGTGTGGAGAGCATGCTTAATACTGTTCTTGTCAAAGTAATTCCAAACTCACGCAGGCGGCCTATACAGAGCCTGCCGGATCGCTGTCGAGGTCGAAAGGAAACAGCGAGAACATCCCGACGTCGAAGAGCCCGTCTACATTCAGACCGTCAACGTCGGCCTCGTTGCTTTCCCCAACGACTTGGCCTCCAAAAACATCCTCCCGGGGAGCTTCGGACTGCGTCGGTTCTGCTGACTGGACCACCATACCGGTAGAGGTTTGCGGGCCACTGCCTTGACCCCCGCATTTCTCTCTCCAAGTCCACAGAGAATCATGAAACAGGCTGGCACCCAGTCTGGTCTTCAATCTCAAGCTCGGCTCTTCCTTTCGTTGATTGCTCTGGCTTTGCACACTCCACAGCTGGGCCAGGATCTTCGAGGATCTCCCCGGGAGATCGTTGTCTTCCACCGATGCGCGGCGGACCAGTGAAATGGCTGCATTGAACATGCGTTTCCCGCTCTCTGGATCGACATACCTGGAATAACTGGAATGGAGAATTTTGAGAATGACCGTGGCCGCGAGTGTCGTCAGTCGATAATACGAAGCAGGCGCATAGATCATCAGGTTTGATGTCGCGTCCGCCTCCCGAACTTTGGAGATCAATGCCAAGGCAGTATTGTAGGCTCGGAGCAGACCCTTCCGGCGAACCTCGGACCCCGTCTCAAGGAAGTGGAAAACGTACAGTTGAAGGCCAGCCCCGTCCAGTAGGATCTTGGTTTCCGCTGTGTAACGACGATTAGTGGAACGGATACGACGCGACTGGAAGAAAGACCAAACCAGAAAGTTTGTCTGCTATCTCATTACTTAGGTCGATGAATTCCTGTTCCAACAATGCCAGCAAGGACGTGCTTTCCCCAGGAGGCGGCAGCCCGGTTGGCGAATATCGATGTTCAGCCATGAAACTGCTGACGCGAGCGGAAAATCGTTGTATGAGAACCTGATGCTTCAATGTGTGTGGCATCGCGTAGGGACTGTGCGCATCACACACACGATCGATAGTCCAGTCGAAGGGACACGACGAACGGTGCTCATCTGTAAAGGAACTACTAGGTCGAGATCAGACCTAAATCCTACCCGCCCGCGATCCTTGCTCACCTCTGTCCCGCAATAGAGCACACGGACCAGGTTTTGACGGCTTCCAATATTTCCGTCTGGCTCAATCGCCTCTTGGTCCGGGAAAAGTCCTGGATCAATTCGGGTCGATGCAGTCCCAGTCGAATGGCCATGGTCTGGACAACCGTGACCAAGATTGATGTCGCATCCGCCCACATCGACGAGGCTGGAAACGGCCACATGCACAAGAGAAGGATCGCTTGGACGATGCAGCAGGAATGGGGAGGATTCGAGATCGTTTTCCACAAGAGCTTCCGCACGGGGGAGGCGATGCTTACGAGCAGGCTTGGTTCGTCGTCATATCGACGAGACGATATATAGATAATGACCCAGAATAAGAGCGGTGAGCGACCATAGTACTCATCTGGGGAGATATCTGGATCGAGAAGAGGGACATAGGGATGGTAGTGTCGAAAGAATCTGCGCCGTGTCAGCGTCGGGCTTCCTTATTCGATCCGCGGATTCTACATTTGGAACATGGTATCAATCTGGTTCTGGCTGAGAGTGACATGATCCAGTGACTTGGAAGAACCTGCAAAGCTGGCCTGTGGCAATGACGCTCGTGTATTGCTGAATGATAGTTCTGAGAAATGCGGTGGGAGAGCCAGCTCGTCAACCCCGCGATTTTCCATCCGAGGAGTCTCTGACGAGGAAACCACAGGAGCCTGACTTGCGAGAGGGCTAGGACAGTACGGCTGGGAATTCGGGACTGAAAACGATCCCGCCACGGACACAGACTCGTGGGTTGGTCCCGGCGATACGAGTTGGGTTGGCCTGGCCAACTCGACCGAAGACCGGAGCTGTTGCACCTGTTTCTCCAGCTCTTCGATTTTTCTGATAGCCGATGTCACTAACGAAGTTCATGGCCTTAGTAGACAAGAACCTACGCTCTCTTGTTGACCCTCTTGTACGCGCTGTCGATCTGGCATTCTTCCCCCATGCGGCGGCATCTTGAACAGGGGATAACACCATTGGTGGATGTTTCGCATCGTAACTAGTATTCTTCATTAGTAGACCTTAATGGGCCATGCATTAAATGAATGCTTCAGCAAATTTTGATGTGCTTGCGTATGAGAAGGAATGGCGATCGATTACCTTGGCTTGCCGGCATTGTTTGCAGGCCGTCCGTCTCCGCTTCTGGCCAGCAAGGCCATGGCCGTCCAGTGCCTGCGCGTGTCGCCTCATGAGCAGCTCAGCAATGTCTTGCGAGCTTTCTATGACCCAGTCTTTGTAATGATTCCTCAATGCCCGCAAACAGTGTCAGACGGAGCAGATCGGCCAGATCTTGCTGCTGTTAGCGCCGGATCGGATGTGGAGGATGATTCCAACGCGCCGGCGCCGGACAAGACACGTCGTCCATCTTCCCCGGACTGACTGCCCCACCGACTCGCTGACATGGCAGGAAGGATGCTGCAGGATGACATACGGAGGACGAGCACTCGCAAGGTCTGCGGATAAACCACTCAACGAGGCTCGCTGTGAATGGTTAAGACGTGGGCCGAGAGGGCAGTGGACGAGTGACAGTCGCTGCGATGGAATCTGGGGAGACGGAAGGGTTTCTTTCGTGGTCATCTGGTTCTTTTCTCCGTTCGTCCTCTTCTCAATCCATCCTTCGAAGGCGATGTTGCGATGCTCTCTGCTATGCTGCTGCAGTCGAGGACCAGTTGCCCGTTCGGGAAGTCACGGGGCTGGCTCACCGCCCAACGCGACGAGCGGTAAACAACGCGATCTTCCTCTCTGCTTCTTCTGTGCTTTTCTTCCTGCTTCAAAGTTCAACGACTTTGCCGTTCTTCGAGTTCGAGACCAGCGATCTGTGCTCAGCCGCCAGTCGATCCTGTTCCGCCAGCAGCCAGCAGCGGCGATCGGGGGCTCTGGTGGAGACAGCCCACGCCCTGCTCAGGAGAGGACAGCAATCCCCCGTGCACGACGCCAGCTGGCCCAGCACGTCGCGTCTGGACGATGAGCCAGGCCATCGTCGCCAGCACGCCCAAATCAAAATCATGCTGCATCGAGATGGGTGAGGCGACAGACGGCGACGGTGCTAAGGCAGGGCGGGGCGTGGAGACAACCCCCGAACTCTAATTGCCGCGATCCAACTCCTCGCGGGAGTCGAGGCTCCCAGAGCACGACTGACGCTGCAGTTCCTCTCCTGGCAGACTCCTCGATGCAGACACTCACACTGCTCCCGTCGTCTCTTCTCGCGGCCTCTGCTGATGGAGAACAACAGCAATCCAGAGCAGTCGCCGCCCGACTCGGCTAGCCAGCCACGTGCCCCGGCGTCCGACAACGCCACGCCAAACCGTCCCAAACGGCGGCGTCGAGTGCCCATCGCTTGCGCCAATTGCCGCCTGCGCAAGACGAAATGCGACCATATCGTGCCCAGGAACGTCACGGACAAGTCGCTGGCCGGGCTGACGGCGAGTGCACAGGAGTAAGAGCGGCTACTTCCTCTGGCGATTCTCAGGGTTGACCGTGCCTTAGTTATATCCGCTCACTCGAGTACAAGTTGAAGCAGTACGAGGAGAGGTTTCGAGATCAGAATGCTGCTGTCCACCGGGCTTCTGTTGCCTCTGAGAGCACGGATGCGTCGTCGACGACCCCGAGACAGGCTCCCTCCGTCAGCCAGCCTCCTCCGCGGCCTCAGCGAAAGAAACCCTCCATCATTGCCGCAAGCCCGCAGATCTTTCTCGGAGGCGATTCGGGCGTCTCCTTCACCCAGCTGATCCTCAATGCCATGAATCCCGGTGGCTGCGACCGCCTGCAGGCGCAGTCGTTTTCGTCCCCCAGAGAACAGCCCGGACAGACGAACGACCCCGACCTCTACACGCTGCCTCCGGATGTCCGCGACCTGATCCAGCTGTATTTTGATTTCCACTATGTCCTGTCTCCCATCTTTCATGTTCCGTCCATCTTTGCCAAGTTTGAAGCCGCCTTGACCTGCGAGCCGTCCAAGCGACCAGAGCACACCTCCACGTTGGCCATCATCAACATGATCTGTGCCATCGCTTCTGCCCATCGACGTTTTCCGGCGGAGACTCCCATTTCGCAGACCAGGAAACTCTACGACAGAGCCATGGCCCTCGTGGGTCCGACCATCCTTTACGATTGGACCCTGGAGAAGGTCCAGATCCTGTTACTGGGCGCGCGCTATCTCCTGAGCTCGAACTATCCCGACGAATGTTGGACCGTTCTGGGACTCGCCATCCGCATTGCCCATGGTCTCGAGCTCCATCGTCCGCCTCCGGACGGCCTAGATTATGTGACAAAGGAGGTGCGGAAACGGGTCTGGTATGCCTGTTATGTCACCGATCAGCTCCTCAGCACCATCTTCGGACGGCCGGCAGCTACATCATCAGTTACCTTCACGACGCCGCTTCCCGAAGATCTGGATGACGACTGCATCCAACCCAACCGGCTTCTGTATCCGTCGGACCGGACGCCGTCGGTCGTGTCGTTTTCGCTCCAAGTAGCAAAACTATACAAGCTCATGGAGGAAGCTTCGTCTCTCGTGGATCCCCCTTTGGAGAGGATCCTGCAGTTGGATGAGGCTTTCGAGGCTTGGTACGCCCAGGTCCCGCCCGATTTCCGGATCTACGACCAGGAAACGATCAAGGACGACAAGGCCTTGATCCTGGCACTGCGAGCAAACATGGTCCGAATCCTCATCCACCGACAATCCCTCGTGTCGACCCTGAGCTCTTTGTCTCAAGGGAGACGCACTACCAGATCATCGGACGGTCTGAGGACAAACATGCTACAAAGCAGTCGACATATCTGTGTCCGTACTGCGGAGGAAACCATCCGGCTGGTGGGCCACCGACACGATCGAACCAAGAAAGCCGTGGGCCCGAGTTGGTTCAATCTCTACTATTGTAATTCCCCCCAGCTCTCCTTGATCTGACGAGCCATGCTAATCTTACAATAACCTAGTGTTTAACGCAATCCTGATCATTGCTTCTCACGTTGTCGACCCCGAGTATCGAGACGACAAGGAAGCTTTGTCTCATCTAGAACAGGCGATGTTCATGATCCGGCAATATTCTGCCAACCTCGCCTGCGCACAGAGGGCTTATATCTTTCTGCGACAGCTTCTGGATCTTGTGGACAAGACGTTGCCCGCAAATGGCCGGAAAACAACGGGGCCCGCCGAAGCAGAGAGTCACGGCTCATCTGTGTCGGCCGGCGAATCGGTTCCCCCTGATACGGGATACGATGCACAGGCGTCACGGGACTTTTTCGCTTTCTGGGACAACACGGAGGATCTCACTATGGCTTTGGGCTCCCAGCTCGAGTCGTATACCGCGTTGGGTTCGGAGATGTGGTCGTGGGGGTTCGGTCCTTCGACCGATGCGAGAATGTTCACAGCGACGCCGTCTAGTAGCATCGTACCGTGAGCTACAGAGTACGGAGTATACTGCCTGAATGAGAATATCCCGACCGCCTGAAAGTCATGGCGCACGGATCGCCGGCGGGTCGTTGGTTTAGTGGATTCCGTCCCGATAGTTTCCCCTTTTTTAGCCTCCGTTAAGGGAGAGCTCGCAGCCTCCGCTTTATAGCTACCTGCCTATACGGTCAAGTCAATGCGTAGACGGTAGCACGCTGCACTTCTGCTGCGGATATCCAGGAGATGCGACACAACATGGCCGCAGAACAAATCTGATCGAGGACGGAAGACAACCGGATCAGCAGGCAAGACTGACGGTCTCAGACGCTGTGATCATTATTAGTATGTATGTGCCTGCTGCCACCTGTATTGTCGAGGACCGTTGGACCGTTAGATTAGAGTCCATGGATGGATTTCATGGTCCTCGTGGAGTTCTGGCGCTCTTCTTGCATGTCATTTTTTTTCCTTGTTGGGTGCTTGCTGTACTGTACTGTATGCACATAGCGTGAGCATGGCTGGTGTTTTATCGATTCGACAGAGCCCACTTTTTGTTCTTTCGATTGTTTTCAGTTTTTATTGTCGGCTGTGTATTTGTCGCTTATCTGGAATCCATGAAGCAATACCCATGTCGCAGGAATTGATAAAATCATGCAATTGGATTTAGCATTTTCGCGGATACAACGCCCCTTTTTTTTTTTGAATGTGTATGTACATTTGATGCAATTTCACTCCCCTGTTTTTCCTCCACTGACAGGATTACAGACACTGCGAGTAATACTCATTGATGACAGTGCAAGTGTAGCCACTTGCGCAAACCGTCGGACCAGTCCAGCCCAGTCCACCGCACTGCTCCCAATGCTGGGCCACGCCAGTCGTGCCGCCGCTTCCGCCGCTCGAGGTCGTCGTGCCCGTTCCGACAGACGTCGTCGGCGAGATGATGTAGGTGGTGCTGGTGACCGTCTGTCCAAGCCCAGTGAGGATGCCTTCGTACGCGGGCTTCTTCTGGTAGTTGGCGTCCCAGGGACAGGCGTCGCCATAGCCCGAGAAGGTGCTGGGCACCCACGAGTACTTGTCGGTCCAGTCCCAGACGGTGATGCCGACGCAGCCCTTGGTGTTGGCGCAGGCCTGCACGGTGCTCTGGTAGTCGGTGGCCTGCTGCGTCAGCAGGGCTTCCGTCTCGGGCAGCTGCATGCGGATGTCGAGCTCGGTGATGGCGACCTCGACGCCCAGCGCCGTGAAGGCGGCCATGTTCTGCTGCTGGGAGCTGGTGCTGGGCGTCTCGCCCACGATGAAGTGCGACTGCAGGCCGACGCCGTCGATGCGCGCGCCGTACGACTGCACCAGCTTGACCAGGTTCTGCGCCGCCGTCGCCTTGGCCCCCGGGTACTCGATGTTGTAGTCGTTGTAGTACAGCTTGGCGTTGGGGTCGGCGGCGGCGGCCGTCGCGAAGGCGATGGGGATGTACGCCTCACCGATGTACTGGTAGAAGACGTTGCTGCGGTAGGTGCCGTCGTCGTTGAGGGCTGTCGCAATTAGTTCACATTCGCTGTGAATACTGACAATGCAGACGTACCCTCATTAACGACATCCCATGCGTAGCACTGGCCCTTGTAATGGGTAACGACGTTGGTGATGTGATTCTTCATGGCAGCAAGCAGCGTCTCGTTGGTCCAGGAGCCACTGGTGACTGTCATAAAAACACAGATCAGCACGAACAATCATCACAACAGGAATGCAAATATCATACCCCACGACGGCAACTGATTGTACCAAACAAGATTATGACACCGCAACATCTGGCCATTCGCCTTGGCCAAGTTGGCAATCTGATCGCCGGCGCTAAACGTGAAGACATTCTGCTCGGGCTCGGTGGCATCCCACTGCAAGAACCATCAGCAGGAAACCCCCCCCAGGAGGTAAATAGTTCAGACACACCTTCATCGAATTCGCCGGCGTCAACTGCCCGAAATCCTGCGTGTTGTTGAGCTGCGTCTCGTACGCGGTGTCGCTCAGCTCGGGGTTGTCGGTCGCTGTGCCAAAGTATTTCAGGCCGATGGCTTTGGCGGCTGTGTTGAGGCCTGCTGCTTGGGCTCTGCATTCATCAGTAGGGCTCGTCAGATGTAGACGTGAGTACGTACAGAGGCAGGCCAGAGCCTGCGATGGAGGCGAGCAAGACTGGACTGAGGCGAACCATCTTCAATCGATCTGAATCAGGCAACTCTTGTGTTTGCAAAGATCCTCGTCCCGTTCGTTTCAGGATTGTAGATAGACGGGAGATGGAGATCAGGCATATATAACAGCTATCTCGATGCAATTGATGCAATTGTTCCTTTCCTTTCGTCCGCTGCACTCACTCAATCAATGCAATCCGTTAATCCATTTAGGCTGAATTGATGGATAGACAGAAGCTGTACGAGGTTTCTATCTATCAGAGCACAGAGCACATGCACATGAATAGCAATCACAAAGACAAAAAAAAAGCAAAAGCAATAAAACAAACATCAGGAACGGTACTCCGTATGTATTAGTTCGTATGTATTAGCTCACAAAAAAAGCCGACATTCCGACAAGCTGTAAGCCTTGTAAGAGCTTGTTTCGAGTCGCGGACCAATCCTGCTTCGTCCATGGTCTGACAGTAGTACGGAGTACTCCGTAGTAATTAGTGACTAATTAAATTAATTAATCTAATCTTGAAGACTTGAACAGGCACTACCTAAAAAAGAGTCTTGACTAGTGACTAGTCAGAGACTCGGAGAGGAAAGTACTTAACTCCTGTCAACCTGGCAGCTATCATTCATACTACTAGGGGTTCACTGGATAAGCTAGGTTTTTCTTTTGTGCCCCAGTTTGTTTGACAACTCCACACGGAGAACTCCGCATTACTGGACTGGACGAGATGGACTGGACTGCACTGGACTGGACTGGGTTATGGAAATCAGCCAGGGTTGCACCATGGTTGCATTTTTAGCTAGGTTAACGAACTAACGGGTATACCCCGTATACCCCGTACTTTACTTTTTACCCCGCATAATTAGAGTCCAGACTGCATATGCCGACATTTCGGCTATGATCATGATCTCCGTACTGATACAGTGTACGGAGTACTACTTAACTTAAGAAATACCGGCTAAATAAGGTCTATTCATTGATAATATCCGGTTGAATTAGCAGGAAGAAGAAAATAAAATAAGCTTAGCTACTGCACTGCACAGTCAATCAATCAAGTATGGACTAATCGATCGATCAACGTAACCAATCTAAAATTAATAAAATAACTAGGTTGGCTAAAATACGGACTAGGTGACCGCGGATATATAAGTAGGTGCGTGCTCGCGGAACGTCGCCCTTATATATAAGATAAATTTTTTATTTGTAGAGAATGAATGGAACAAAATGGAATTACTTTCTCCATTCTATCTCCATTCTATTGGTATTCAGGATCGATCTCCTTCTGTTTAAACAGGAGTCTTGATCTTGGGTACAGTTGAGTTTGGTAGAGAGTCCTTCCCTTATTTATGACTTTCTTGTTAGGATTGGATTAGAGAATTCTGTTATTGGCTTTGTTTTCTTTTCTCTCTTTTTTTTTCTTTCTTTTTTTTCCAGGTCCCTTTATATATAGAGAATAGAATGGAATGGAATTCTTAATTCTATTAGATATCGATCTTCTGAGTTGAAGTCTTGGTACAGTCGAGTTTGTTAAAGACCTCTTGTCCAATCCCATCCTGAGTTCCTAGTTTGTCAAGCGAGTTGCATTTTCCGCTTCACGGCGGAGTTGCTGTTAATAAGAACTTCTGTTGCGTCAATTGTATTTTTTTTTGAACATTATCTGTTTTATTCTCTCCTACTGCTTAAAGGAGTAATGTGGCTTGTTATCTGAGACTGCTTAGAGTTTTTCTTTTCTTCTGGTTGTCTGATTCATTATTTAAAATGTCTAAATTAAAATTAGACAGGTCTTTGTTATTAGAAGTAATTTTTTTAAGAGTCTTTAGCCATTAAGGCAAGTTTATTTTTTGTAAAACTCCGTTGGTCTTTGAAGAATTAACACCCCTCGTCTTCGATAAGTTATTCCCGTTGATCTTCGAAAACATGTTCGCCAAACTACATCCTCAGTGTATGACACCTCCAGTGGCGTTCTAGAATAGCCTTAGTCGTCATCCATGCCCTAGGAAGAAAACGGGTACATACAAGCCTCGTTCATCTCTAGCATACGGGTCTGCACCAGCATCAAGTAAGAAGCGGCATATTTCTTTCCGACCGAACCCGGCAGCATACTAGAGTCATGTCAATAACGACGTTATTTCTTCCTCAACACCTCTCGAAGACGCCATCTTACTCACATGAAAAGCCGTCCACCCATTAGGGGCGCAGTCAAAGACAGAAGCCCGCCTCTCTTGGAGAAGCCGCTTGATTCCTGCAAGGTCACCATTCCAGGCATATATAAAGATCAAGGAGAGTTCGGGGATGACATTGTAACTTCTCAATCGAAATGTCCATTCAGTCAGCACCCTGTCGCTGTATACTTCCCACACTTTCCCGCCCAGGAAAGGGGGCAGCTTAAGTCGAACTTTGCGAGTTTGCTTTTTTCGAGAGCCATGCTTCAAGCTCACCGCCGTGGGATGGCCAGATGAATCTTCCGGCGACGGACACACAACAACCTGCTGGCATGACGACGGTGCCGATGATTGAAGCTGGTCTTTGAATTTATCGAGTCGAGTCTTCAGAGAGAAGATTTCTTGCGATTGAGCGACACTGGTGAGCATGTTAATGATGGGCGTGCTTTGAAAAGGAAGATCGAAAGGCAGGAGCAAGCCACATACATAGACGCCAGTGCTACCAGGTTCTTCACTCTTTCCAGCTTTGTCAGGCAACTCTCCAGCTCGTGTTTCTTCAACGAAAATTGAATCGAACCGAAGACTCTCCTTTTCTCAACCTTCTTTTTTGCAGTCATCGATCAGGCCATGAAGCGTTTCAAGTGCTTGGAGGCAAAATTAAAAATTGGGAGCCTGCTGTACAAACAAGAATACGGTTGCAGTTCTGTCCTCATATATGTACTGTACATTACTTTCTTAAGGATGGAGGACGAGTTAGTTTAGTTAGATATTTATATGAGCAGGCTGGGGAGATTTTCCTTAAGTAGCAAGAATCCGGTAAATACTACTGAGCCAGTATAACCCCCCTATGATCTAATATCTGCTACCTAACTAACTAGAATCATAGACATAGATATAGGCAAGCTGCAAAAAAAAGAACACGAATGCTGAGAATAGTGAATATGGGGAGGTGAATAAGAATTTGAGTGATAAAGAAGTAGGGTTAACTACTTAGGTACTTATTGCTTAATTTGGAAGTCTTAGCATACCTAGATGGAGAGGAAGGGGTTCCTTTTCTCCTCATGACCAGACTTTGTCACTTTTATAATTATGTCTAACAGCTGATTAATTACATAGGATTTCTTCTTCTCCTTCTTTCTTTCTTTTGAAAATCAGTTTAAAAACAGTTGATAAAGCCAATCATTCAGCTATAGAGGAGGAGGGGGGAATCAACATTGAAAATAGATTCAATGTAAAAAGAAATCTCTTCTCACTGAAGTTTATAAATCTAAGATCATTTCTGATCATCACCTATCCATACATCCTAGGGTATGATTCGGGAGAGATTCAATATCATAATGAGACCACATTCATCATCTTCATCACAGTCATCATCATAACCAACTCTTCTACCTGCTCCTACCTACTCTCCCGAAACAGCGCAACCACTCGCCGCCGGATCCGGCCCCGGATGGAGACAGTTATCCCTCTGCGCGGGCGGGACCGTTACGCTTACGATCGTGTTGTTCGCCAGCTCCGGCCAGTTCCGGTAGATGACATTGGGGAAGTTATTGGGCGCGAATCCGTCGCAGGGGATGCCCGTCTCGTTCGGCGAGCCGATCACGTTGGCGCACAGGTTCAGCGACGGCAGACTCGGGAGACCCTTGGACGCGTTGACGGTCTGGATGTCGACGTCGATGAATTTCAGCCCCGGGCAGGGCACCAGCGCAGAGCAGTGGAGGGAAGATGTGATGTCGAAGTGAGAGGTTCCGGTGATGTTTTGCCAGGTTATGTCGGAGACTTGGAACTGTTGCAATTCGCTTAGTATGGATGGAAGATAGAGTCATCAGTACAATGCATACCTGACTGGTATCACAGATCTCGGGATCATTCCCATAAACACACTGCGTAATACTGATCGGCTGCCCAACGTTCTCGATCCTGAAGTTCCGGAAGGTGACATTCTTGACCCATCCGCCGCCACCGCCGCCGGCATCACCGTTGTTCGTCACGGCCCGGTTCTCTCCCTGCCACGTCTTGATCCATGCACCATTAGTCGAGTTAATAAGATGGACATCCTCGAAGACAATGTCTTTCACATAGTCTGGGAACCCTGGCAGCTGGCCCACAGAGCCAATTGGCATGCCATGCGTGTTGTAGCAGGTGATGTTCTTTGCTACGATGTTGGTGCTGTTGCCTTTGATGGCGATGCAGTCGTCGCCTGGTATAGTCAGTTAATTATTCCTGATCAATACAGCAAAATGAAAGAATCTGACAGACGGGTTTACTTACCTCCCTGGACAGTCCAGTTGTAAAAGAAGACATCCCTCGAGTTCCAGGTGTCCGACCCATCGGTGTTGACCGTGAACCAGTGGTCATTGCTGACGGACTTCATGAAGATATTTGACATGGTAACGTTTTGAGAATGTGAAACGAAGGTATGCCAGAACTGGGCTTGCGTCCATGTGAGACCGTCCATATACAGATTGGTCGCATTAAAGATGGTGATGGAGATCGGTCGTCCGGGCTGATTGCTGTTGTTGCGGTTTTCATCGTACCACACCTGGCCTGTTCACGATGAGTTTAAAGCTCTTTGAAGCTCTTTCGATAGAGAAAGGAATGTATATACCGTTTCCATTAAACCTGCCCTTCCCAAACCCCCGGAAGGTGACATTGGTCCCACCAAACAACCACGCGGTGGACAGGTTCGCATAAACCACCGAGTAGCTGTGGCTCAGCCAATACGGCACGTTCGTGCTCCAGACCATCTCGCCGTGCAGCTCCACATCGCAATTCAGCAGATTGGTCGTGTTCATGACCTGGTCGATGTGGAAGGTGTTGTCGGTCAGGATGACGGAGCCATTGGTGCCGCACAGCTCAAAGGCGCGTAGGATCGAGGGCGTGTCGTCGACCGGCTGGCCGAAATGGGTCAATGATTCAGGATACACATAGCATGAGGTGCCGTTGTTGACGACATAGCCTACGGCCGTCGAGGCAGCCCCCAGGAGGAGGAGAAGGCTGGATTTCAGTAGCATTGTGGCTGCTACCTCAATACCGTACAACTTATGACGGCGTCAAGGAAGCTGAATCCTTTCCGACGTCTTCTTCATTCCCTTCCTCTTATATATAGTCCTTTTTTTCAAGCATCAGATGTACCCCCACGGACGATCAGTCTGGGGAACCTCCACGATGCACCCCCAGATAACCAGATTCCTGGGATCAATCGGAGCCATGCCGTCCGTTCTGTGGAGATCATCACCGTTTCTATCAGCGTCAATCGGAATGCCATTGACAAATGCAGGAAGTTGGAAGCGGGGGAGCTACAAGCTACGGAGGAAAGACCGATGCCATTTGTGGGGTTGAGAACCATAAACCCTTACATAATAGTATAATAGTACCTACTTGGGCAACCAGATAACGCAGTGATCATCCCCCTCAGCGGAGATAAATTCTACCTTATAGCTTTCTGGGAAACAATTCATAATATTATTTAGGCTAAACAAAACACTATGGTGGAGAGATCCCCGAGATCCACAGCTAGTTTCCCTGCGATTTGCTAGAATCCGGGGAACGAACTCCTCCCGGACTTCCTCCGTTGACAACACAGTATACTGCAAACTCCATTGCCTAATTGCTTGGCAAGAGGCGGTCAAATAACACTACGGCCGCAATAGCTACTTTCTGATGCCGGTTTAACCTAGATGTTGAGAGAATGCCAATGACATCAGGCATTATCGATAACTACCGTGTTAGTCAGTCTGGCCGAGATTCTGCCCGAAATGATGAAGGTGGTGGAAGTCTGCTGAAGATAGGGGAGTGTGAGTAGGACTTTGACAACCCGTTTTGGACAAGCGTCGTAATACGCAAATTGTAGAAAGAATTCGTGAGCGTGTGAGAAATTCTATTTGAGAAGCAGACAGCCATTGAATTTCTGGTAATCTAGACACAGTAGAGTTGATGAAGGGATCAGAATTAGATTGGGCGATGGGAAGCCTTTTATCACCTATATCTAGCTAAGGTCATATTGGGAGTTCTCTGGAAGCTTCATGACGATGATCTGTTTGTTATTGATTCCGGATATTTGCGTATTACTATTGTCTTGGGTAGGTAGGTCAGCATATATGTCATTGCAGGTTTACACTCTCGAATATTTGCAGCACAACTCTTTTAGTACTTGTCTGTCTTTGTTCGAGCCCAAGTCTAGGCACGGAGAGGCACTCGTATGTATAAGCGAAGTATACTTTCAATATCTAAATACTGCAAAGTATAAACAAAAAACCCTTAAAAAGGAATGTATCCACCATGAGTGAGACATGTCCCTAACTATCCCCTACTGAGAGAAGAAAGAAAAGAAAAAGTAACATCCCCATAACATATTATCAGTACCAAGAATAATATATCATGTGCGTGGGAGTTCTCTCTTTCTCTTTCCTTTTTTGATAAGGACAGTCCGAAAAACGATGGAAAGGCATTATATATACCACCCGTAACTAGACGCTTAATCTATGAAGTTTTGGTCATTTGTCAAGATAAAACGCAAATGCTGGGATGGATGTGACATTGTGTTTGAAATAATAGGTAGGTTTTTTTTAATTGTTCATAAATCAGTTTGAAAGAAAGGAAGAGAAACGATGAGTGAGAAGAAGGGCAATAAATACCCTTTGCTTGGTCGGGTGATAGGCATCCATACATACGTATGTGCAGAGTCATCGATGTCGTGTCGTCTACCTCATGTATCCATCCATCCGCCTTATCCTAGGTATGTATGTAAATACCTAAATGGCGCTGCTGCCTGCCTACCTAGGTAGCTAGCTATCCAATGTTTGAAGCTCGTCTTTCCAGTTTAATTAGTACGCACTTTTTCTCAGCGTGGTAAGTCACAAATTACCCATCTTACTGTCAGTCACCATCAAGGTCTATCGCCATTGCTCCCTAATCCTCTATCATTATGGTTAAGTTTATGAGATGACTATGGTACTATAATATAATATTATTGGTCAGGCGCCTTTTACTTTTCCTTTCTTATTCCCGTCCCTTTCTTATTTCGGTACATTACTTTCTGGTAGATTACATTAACTAACCAATTTAGCAACTACTACATAGCGTTGAACACAGAGGATAAAGAGAGGGTATCTTCGCGTTTCTGCAGAAAAAGGCCAAAAAAAATGAATGTCATGCATTCGCTTAAAAAGTTTTTAAGCTTTATCTACTAGCTAAAGGTTGATTGAGCGAGGTCCTATTTACATACAAACGATACTCATATACCCCATCAAATCAAGTTCTTTTGCTACCTGTGCTGTGCCCTTGGCAGACTTCCAGTTCTGCATCTAGTAGTCTTCTCTTGGATTTGATTTCCTTGAGATCATGCTCAATTTGATCGAGGATTGCTCGATCTTGGTATGAACTGATCGTATTGACCACAACTCCGGTGATAGAGAGCCACTGGAGTAAATTGACACTGTAACTGAGACCTTTGAGCTCGCCAATAATATGGGGCAGGAACATGGCGATTAATTTCCAGGAGCGGTTTGCCATTCCCTAATGAATAATAAAGGTGTTATTATTGTTTTCCCACTACTAGAATGAGAAGTTTAGTTGTTACTTACCTTGTACTGAGCGGAAAGCCGTTTGTAAATCATATCATATAAGGGTATATTATTGTGTAGATGGAGGGAAAGAAGAGAAAAAACTAATAAGAGTGGAAATATATAGAGAGCGAGATTTCCAGGCAAAAACGGGAAACAGAAATTCTGCGAGTAATAGTGTAGATCCGTGGGGCACTACAGGCTGCTGCCAATTTCTCATAAAAGTACAAGTACTAAACTTAGGTACCTGCATATCGATCCGCAAATTTATTCTACAGTCAAAATTCCAAATTCTCGAGGTCAAGCGCATGGAGGTGTAGCGTTACTTGTCCCGCTCTCTCTCCGGTGTACGTATTAGGGTGTGTTTCTGAAGTACATACATCAGAGAGGTGATTTGCAACCTCGTATATTAGCAAATATCAGTCCTCCGTTAGCAAGCTTTCCAAATGCTTCCCTGCAGAAACGCCGATTACCCTGCGGTGGCAGGTTTCCCAGGCGAGCACGGCAACCTTCTTCAGGAAGGAGCTGCTCCCTCTCCAAGGACATGCAACTCGTGCCTTCCAACTTCAGCGAGACTGACCTCCCAGAGATGTTTGACAAAAGAACGGAGCGTCCCCGTCGAATTTCCTTTTCTCTCTTTTCCTTCTCCGCACCGCGTACAATTTTCACATTGCATATCTTATACTTGTATCACTATATCAATATCGAAAAAATGTACGCTTTCCTTTCTCGGGCATTGGCATCTCGCTCCTCACTCAGAGCAGCCAATGGTGCAACGGTCGCCCTTGCGCTGGTGAAAAAATCGTGGGGAGATTGACAGACGGGCCCAGATTGGCTCCATTCGCGAGGAGCTTTCTCAAATTTCTCAAAAGGCGGATGGGATCCGTTCAGAGCTGCACCGTGAGGTGCAGTCTCTGGAGGATGCCCTGAAGCTGGAGATCGCCTCCCACAAATGTCCGCGTAGGGGGCATGAGAGGGAGTCAAGGAGGGAGTCCAGGGCAAAGTCCTGGCTTCCGAAGTGGTGGTGAAATTCCCTTGGCTTCTGGTTGGTGAGGGCATGCGGCTGCTTCTCTCGGCTCCAGCGCACAGGCGGTTCCAGAAGGCGTAGCGGTCTGGCTCCGGCTGTGTTCTGATCTCATGTCAGAGACAAAGGGCAGTCTCAGGAGGCGTAGCGGCCTGTTTCTGGCTTTTGTCGTCTTCTGTCTCGCCGAAGAGATCGTCGCCTTGTAAGTCCTCTCCCTCCTTTACCCACTCCACTCTTTTTTTTTCCTTGTTTTTGCTTTTGTTTTTTGCTTTTTTTTTCTTTTTTCCCCTCAGGCTCATAAAAATGGGCGAAAGATTAAACAAAAAAAAAACAAAAAAAATTAGAAAAAATTAAAAAAATGAAAAAAAAAAGAAAACAAAAAAAAAATTCCTGGCTCAGAACTGCGAGCCAGGGGGTGGGAGGATAGGGTTAAAAAGAGAGAAAATGGGTGATTTTTCGGTTGAGTTTGTTTTCTATCGGTCATGCTCAGGTCATCCATGATGTTGACAAGATGGCACAAGGCTCCGTTACCAGGATTGATCGGTGTTAGTCGCGCCGCGTCCCATGGCACCGCTCGAGGATACCTGCATCAGCGCTGTATGCATCCACCGTGTATGACTCACCACAAAGCCTCGGACGCTCTATGTCTCTAGTCAGTACCAAGTCCGTGATCACCGAGACGAACAAATGCGTCGGGACTTCAAAAGATGTGACCTCATCCTCTCGTTCGCGTCTTCGCTATCTAGGATAAGCGTCTGCTGTCCATCGCGGGGGAGTTCCAGGTCTTAGGGCCCTCTGACAGTTCCAGAATTATTCTTTCAGGAGACTAGAACAACCAGGGACGAGAACATCTTTCTGGAATCCTCTCAGATTCAAGCTTCTTGCTGCCACTAAACACCAAGTCCGATTGCCTCTTTCGACCTCAATATCTCTCATGCCCCTGAGATATAAGACTCTTCCTTCAAAAGCAATCATTCGGTTCACACCTCAGCAGAGGGCATGGAATGTTGGATATGAGAGCAAAGTCAATGGGATCCTCAGAGCCGGTTTGACAATCCTCAACGCCCCGTGACTGGTCTAGCATGGATAAGTTCTGGTGACACTGCTTCAGATGCTCCAGACAAACATGACAAAAGTCCAATCCCACTGGTGCTATCATCGACCTGAAATACCTCGAGCACCCCTCCGAGCGAGAAGCAAAGCTGTGACAGCAATCGGCAAAAACAACTGCAACCAGAATGTCCACAAAATGTTCGAAGTTTGGCGGTTCAGGAAATTAGTCACTGAAAAGCTCGGTGACGGTCAGTCCATTCTCTGAGGTATTAGACTCACTCTTGCTGACTACAGAAGCCATAGGAGTAACGTTCCTCTGCCCGCAAACCGAGAAAAAAAATGGCTTTGCGGAAGTTCGAACAATTCTCGCGATTGACTGTCATCATCATGTCTGAAGACATGAAGTTCGCTGCAATGACACAAGAGTGGAGACGCCAAGACGGATGATAGACAACACCGGAAGCCCCACAAGAACTGCCGAGTTGAGCAAAACCACCAATGATTTCTCCTGCGGAATCTATCTGATAAGAATCTTTCGAAGTGCATCAGCAGATGAAACGATCGATTCAAGGGACAAATCGGTATTATATGATTATTATCATGTGTTGGCTCAGTGGTTAGACGGAGACTATACATATACTGTACTGTACTGTACATAAATTAGCAGCTTGATACCCCCCTGTTTTTAGATGAATGTTGTATATACACACAAGTGACTGCATAAAGACTGCACCCTCCAGACACAGTTTCAGTTTCGTCATTTCTTTTTGGAATCGGAGAGTAATATACGATATGCTGAGAATGATCATCAATTAAACTTAAGTAAAGGTTCGATCGAGTCGGCATTACTGAAAGAAAGAAAGAAAGAAAGAAATGAGACATGCATGTTCGAGTGGCCATACCATATAGCATACCATATACCATCGCTAAGCTAATTAATTATTAGTCCAAACACAGTAGTGCTTGGACTTTGGGGCTTTAAATGATAATAATGATAACTTGAAGGTATATACCTAAATGTGGACTTGATAAACAAATAAAACATTTCCTTAATCCTATCTATCTATAATCCCATCTATCTATCTATCACACAATCAGTTAGTTAGTTGCCTTCTACGCATACAGTACAATACAGTACATACATATACGGAATTGTGTGACGTTACCTATGCTGCCCCAGCTTGGCTCACCTCACCTCCCTCCCTCACCTCCCCCCCTAGGTAGTATTATTTATTTATCACGGGATGTGTTTTGTCTGTCTGCAGTAGGTAAGGTACCTAAAGTAGGTAGGTAAGGTATTAATTACCTAAACTAAACTTGGTCCAATGTGCATTGCCTATTACCTACCTACCTAGGTAAGTAAGTATTAATTAGTACAGCAGAGAATGTAATGTAATGTAATGTAGCAGATCATCTCATTACGAATAAACCCCCAATGGTCCCCCTAACTAATTACACTGCAGGAAAAAGAAAAGAGAGAGAAACAGACGGCGACAGAAAAAAAAATAAAAAATATAAACATCACCCACGTCAGCAGGATAAAATAAAATACACAAGAATGAAAAGGAAAAAAGCAGTCAACAACGCCACCCAACCGTCCTCCCACTACCGTTAACGCATCACCGATCGATCCATTCTGAATACGGAGTAATGCATGTCAAATAAGAATATGAAAAAAAAATCTCATAACCCGAATATAGCAGAACCATCATCATAATGTCCAGTCCAGTCCAGTCCAGTCCAGAGACCACTGCTCTCACCAGGTGTGAAAAAGAACGAAACAGAGATCGAACAAAAGTCAGTGCTTGTTGCAAGCTATACCCTCGTTATACCTCCATCGTCTCCGCAATCTCCTCGCTCATCGCGCGAACCGTGCCCTTCCGGGTCCGGCTGTCTTCATCAACCGCAGCGCGCGACTTGGACGGCCCGGCGACTCCCTCGTCCTCGTCCTCGAGTCCCGGGCGATCTCCGAGCCAATACCGAGCCCGCTTCTTGGCGCTCACGTCCGGGATGAGGTAGTCGTCGTCGAAAGTCCTCTTCCCAACCGGCGTCGCCAGCCCATCGAATCCGTCCGGATCCGCGTGGCTCAGGATCGGAATGCCGCGCAGATATATATAGCAGACGCGCTTCCGCGTCTTGTTGAAGAAGAAATAATTCAGACTCCAGATCGCCCCGTCATCATCGTCATGCACGCCCTCTTCCGGCGAGTATGAGAAGATGGCGCAGTCGTTCAGAGACATCTGCTCGTCAATAAGCCTCCACATCCGAGGTCCCCATACGGTAGAACAACCAGGGCTGTAGGACCCAGCGTACGAGTGCGGAGACGGAGGCGTGCCGTCGCTGCGCAGATGTGGGCGAAGATTGTAAAGCGTCATGTCGATGGTATTCATCACTTTCTTCAAGTTCCGCTCGCGGCGGAAATCCGTAGGTCGCAGCACATGGCTAAAGTCGTAGTCCGGATGGCTCGCGTTCAGTGTCGCGATCAGGTAGGCAAACGTCCGGCGACTCGAATGCTCGCTGAGAGGGCCGAAAGGGCTGGATCGCGACAGGTTGAGCGAAATCGCGGCATCCGACGCGTTCGGAGGGGAGAGCGATGCCGACAGACGGAGGAGCGACTCGTACTGCGATTCCAACGACTGCTCAATGCGGTTGTAGAGCTTCCGATCGTCCGACGCGGCCTTGGTGATATAAAGGTCACATCCTCCCACGACATGACAGTCGGCAGTGTCGAAGTTGAGGGCGCTCGACACCTCTTCGATTTCTGGAAGAGGAAGGTACTGCGATTTGACGTCACGTCAGTTTCACGGTTTCAATCAGGCTTAGGGTGAACGTGTCATACCTTCATCCTGCAGTGATGCGCTGGTGCCGCGCCAGCAAGAAACCGAGGAGAAACCGAGTAAAGTGAGTCAAACAACCTCGTCACGGATACTCGGAGGCCCCGCTAGCAACTGTGCACCTGGATGATGCGGTAATCGTCGTTTGTCAGGTGCGATCCGATAACCTGCGTTGAGCGCGACGACCGGCGATAAGGTGTTCCCGGCTGGCTGCAAGGACAAGCTTATGCGATCGACGGGGCCAGACGACGGACGTCTAGCAGGAAGCAATCGCGATGCACGGGGCCATGTCACAGAATCCGAGTGAAGGAGGGAGAAAGGGGGTGAATGGGAGATGGAGAGGGAAGGAGAGACGGATGGAAGTGACAGCAGGCGATGAGGTGATGCGGCATCAGCCACAGTGACACGACGCCGGGTGGAGGTGAGGTTGCGCCTTGGGCCGAGGGGACGGTGCCGTCACGTGATACCCCTATCTCGGCCAGTGATATCACGCGCCTACTTCACATGGACGAATGCGGAGGCAAGCCGAGGGCGAGGCGATGGCTGCAGTCAGGACGACTGCGAGGGTTGGCAGAGGGCACGCTGCGTCTGCACTCACTCCAGTCCGCTAGCTTTCAAGTTGGTGAGGAACTGATCCGAATCCTGAAGCAACCAAAGTGATCTCCATTAGTGAAAGCCCTAGTATCATGACACCTATGTACGCCGAAAGCCAGCAGATCGCGCTCGAAACCGCAAGAACAAGACCCAGATGCAGACCTGCTGCCTATGTCTTTACATGATCTTCGTCACAGTGTCTTCCTCCACCTGAGCAACGACATCGATTAGCTCAATGTCGAGACGGGGGAATCGAGCGATTCCAGGCATGACGATGATGAAGGGTGGAGGACAGGACCGACGGGACACAGCCGGGTCTTCAACGAGGACGGAGGGGAAGGTCTCGGGGGTGCGAAGTCGGTCGTAGGCCGCGAGAACAGGTCACTCACCTCGATGTCTTCCAGGCTGTCCTGCTGGCTGATGCACCTCAACACATTCTTCTTGCTGCTCTCCTGCATCTCCCCCGCGAGCAGCAGTTCGTCCAGGATGAAGTAGGCTTTCTGGAAGTTGAAGATGATGTCCAACTCGCACACGTTGCCGTAGTATTTGTCCATCTGCTCGACGTAGCGGTGCACGATCTCTAGGGTGATCAGCTCGTTGTCGGTAGCAGAACAGCCCGCAATGAAGAAGAGGGAGGCGTAGCGACGGTAGACGATCTTCTGATCTGCAGAAAGAAACGAAGCCAGTCAGCCCAGAGTAATGGCTTATCTTTCTTAGCAGGCGTCGAACCTTTGTATTCGAGAAAGTTGCACATGCGTGTGCGTCGCGAGAGGACGAGTTGCGAGACATCCTTGACAATCTTGGCTTTCTCCTTGGGCGACAGAGTGGTAAACCACTTGGCAAGGCGCTGTGCAGGGGGTTTTTGCGTGAGCATAAGAAGCCCAAATGCCAGTCAGGTTGGGGGGTGGGCCACGAGGCGACATACCACTTTGCCCTGCCTCGACAACAGGATCAGATAGCTGCGAGAAGCATTGTCAGACCAGGCCAGGGAGCGGTAGTTCGACAGTGCATCACTCACTGAATCGCCATCGTGTATTCCAGGAGCGTAGAATCGGCTAGCGAAAAAGTGGTGTTTGTGGGAGATGTCCAGTGGAGGTCAAAAAATGAGCGGGCGGCGCGGGTGGATTATTTAGACAGGTTACAGTACGCAAGTATTATATTAGTTCTACTAGGACGAGGGGTTCGCGCCCCACGCCGGGCAACCGGGACAGAAAAAAATCCGACAATTCTCGCAAAGCCCAGAATGGATGACAGGATTGATATCTGCAGAATCTACTGTTGTTCCCGTGATTTCCAGCCCCCTTAACAGCCGTTGGCTCCCCTGGTGCCATCCCAAAGGCCTCGTCGACTGCCAGGAGGCGCAGCGTGACCGGATACGCTACCGAGCTTAGGCTTTGCCCAGCCCGGCCTAGCGGGGATCCCGTTGAGGCTCCGGATCGCTAGGCCAATCAACCACGCGGATTGCCTGCAAATATGATTCATATCGAACCCACAGGAAGGATTAAAAAAATTCCAAATATCATCATCTTTACTTTATATATCGCTTCACAGAGACTGCCTTCCGTCCGAAAAAGCATGTTAGCTCAGTGGGGGAGCGCCGGGCTCATAACCCGGAGGTCCTCGGATCGAAACCGAGACATGCTAGGACATCTTTTTTGCTTGTGAAAAGTCTGCTGTCGTCGCACAGTGGAACGTTTTTTTTTATTATTACGAATTTTTTTTCTTGTTCCTTTTGGCAGTTACAAACTCAGCCATACTGAGATCGTTGTGCTTTTAGTTTTGTGTAGAGATTCGACGGCATAGTATCTATATATTATTTATATACTGTATTTCCATGATATACTCCATGGATATATATATATCGGGTGTGTGATGCCATTCCCCTAACCAACTAGGAATGTGGAAGACTACCTAGTAGACGACCTCAACGACCATCCACTTCCTTTATCAGCTCAATAAAATCCTCGTCTCCAGCTTCTGCCAATTTGCGAAATTCAGGAATGTGAAGCTGCAACCATTCTTGCTCTTCTCCGGTCTAGTACATACATAGACAAAGGAGGATGGTTAGCGTTATACAAACCAATGTGCGATACAGTCACTTATTCAGTAACGTGACTAACCTTTGGCCTCGCAATCCCTGCCTCCAAACCCGTCGTCAGAGCCCCCATCACCCACACCGTCCTCAGTCCCCGTTCGGGGTCTTTGTCGTCGTCATCTCCGACGATAATACGCTCCCACACGCGGACGATATCCCTGCAGTGGTCGTTGTAGGTCTCGACGGATCGATTGCTGCCCGCTCGAGTCCGCACGATGATGCGGTTGTATTTGCGTCGAATCCCGCCGCGGAACACCACCTGGTGGCTGACGTCGGTGTAGCGGACATTGACGAAGAAGCGCGGGGTGTGGAATCGCTGGACGTGGAGATCTGTCAGTGCGATGGCCAGCTGCTCTTGTTGGGTCTCTGTCAATGGGGTAACGTGTTCGACGTCGTAGAGAGGCATGTTCGCAGTCTGACGAAGATTACGAAGATTTTCTGATAGCTCTTATATTATAGCTCCGAGAGGACAGGTAGAATGTAGTGATCTATGATTTGCGAGTTGAAGAAAATCGGACTTGAGCGTGTCGAGGAAATATTTCCCATCTTATACAATACTGTACTGTACATAGATTCTACACTAGAAACTCTTGACATGTGACACAGAAGGAGGACAAATTCGAAAAGACTGAAATTGCCGCAGCTAACAAGTCTCTTTGCAATCAGAGCATATAATCATCATTAATCCAGACAGCTACATAATCTTCTTTCCATGAAATGGTCTCTCCTAGGAAGATGACAAATCAGTGTTTCGGCCGACACTCCCCCGCTTTCGCGTATTTCCCAAAGGGGAAATGCAGATTGGTAAGCAGGAATCACGTATTCTTACCAACTACTGCCTAGGTCTGGCTATCAGCGATATTGTCGAATTTACCTCGGCAGAAATTGTTGGTCCGGTTCGGCCGAGACATAATACACTAGGTACAGATATGAGGATGGATCTCAATAAATATTCGTCTGTACAGTGTCTATCCTGGACAAATCATTCGATATATACGATCCGATCACATACATGGTACCATAAATTATATGAGATAGCCAATTTGCAAGGCTTTCTTTCTTGGCAGATTTCATCCCGTTATTCCAGTCCAGCCATGATCACCCGGGATGATCGCCCCATTGATAATCTTGGCCGATTCCGCCGTACAGACATACAAAGCCAGCTCAGCCACGTCACTCAAATCCACCATCTGCATGCCGACGCCCCCCCGCAACCGCTCATTCAGCTGGAAGCCTTCCGTGTTGACGCCAGCGCGCATCGAGTCCGCGATATTGGTATTCATGCCACCCAGCATCAGGGCGTTGCAGCGGATGCCCTTGCTGCCGTAGAAGGCAGCTGTGTTTTTCGTGAGACCTACTAGACCATGCTTGCTGGCGGTGTATGCGGCTCCTATTCGCAAAAAGGTCAGAATAAACCGTCTATTCTAAGGGAAAAAAAGACAGCTACATACCAGCCATCGCGCCAGAGTGACCGGACAAGGAGGAAATATTGAGGATTGACCCTTTGGGCTCCGGCTGCGCGAGCATGATACGCACAGCTTCTTTGCTCAGGAGATACGGAGCAGTCAGATTGACAGCAATCACCTTATCCCACAGCGCACGATCCAAATCGCCGACAGGATCGAAGCGATCCATGATACCGGCATTGTTGACCAGGACATCCAGCCGGTTATTAAACTCCCTGGCTATTATTTCGCCGAAGAGATGCCGGATCGATTCCTCGGACGTGATGTCTGCAGCGACCGCCCTGAGAGTGCCGCCCCCCTTGGCGGACCGGGACAGCTCGGCAGAGGCCTCCTTCAGACGCTCTTCGTGGATGTCGCAGATGACCACGTTGGCTCCGGCTTCGAGGAACTTGGTCGCTATCACTCTCCCGAGCCCGCCGCCTGCGCCGGTGACGAGAACTGTCTGACCGGATAGTGACTTCTCAGATGCTGTCATTTTGGAGATCAGTCACTGAAATGAAAATAATGGAATCTTGAGATATGAAAAATGACGGACCATAGTGAAGTGAGGACTGCCTATGACGGGCACCGTATATATATACACCCGAAGAGATACCAACTAGCCATGTAGACTAATTAATTTAGCGGGGACGACTCCTATTACCCCACAGTCTCTGCGTGTCACGACTCATAAGTTCTCTAGTATAGCGCTGGCAAAGTCGGTTCGGATCCCTGGGGCCTTGACATCCGGTTGCTGGGCTGCGCTAATCGCGTTCTCGGGTCCCAAGGATCCCGATCCCGGGAAGATGCATGGAGTTTTCGTACTACGTACTTCGGTGCCTCAAGCTCTCAAACAATGAACGGACCACCATTAGCTGAGCTGGTTTATGTCGCAGTCCTACGGTATACTAATCCGGATAGGGTCCACAGATCCCCTTCTGATACTGATTGTGTGGAAAGGACACGTACTGTACTGTACTATACGTCCATTATGGTGGAATACTTGTAATTAGGTAGTATTAGCACAGATATAGTATAATTTAAATATTCAACACCGATGTTGCAGCATACAATTCACCTGTCAAAAGCTTTGCCTGTCGCCCTTGCAACTATTCTGGCTTCTGCGCGGTAATGACCAGAAAATCAAACATAGGATGGACGTCTCTCCGCTGCGCGTCCGCCCGCACCCCGGCGTTCAGGACGTCAACTTCCTCCTTCGACCATCCCAGAACCTCCGTGAACAGCGACAGCGTGAAGGCCTCCACCCCCTCGATAAAATTGATGGCCATGAGGGTTCCAATCTCCTTCAGTCGCGGGTCCTTGGGCCAGGGACCGATGGGCAGCTTGAACCTGCGCTGTTCCACTTTGGTGAACCCGGCGTCCTCGACCCAGCCTTTGATTGACGGGGCCGGGTCCATGGTGCGGCCGATTCGGTCGCAGGCCTCCATGAGACCGTTCATCATCTGGACCATCTTGTTGTCTGGCGTGAGCGAGCCGTCCTCCGAGTAGAGCGTGTTAGCCGACTCCTGGAACTCGATCCACCCGCCCGGCTTCAGGTGGTCGTAGCACTGCCGCACCAGTCGGGGCCAGTCGCGGATCGAGCCCGCCATGTACCGACAGTGGATATAGTCATAGGGCTGCTGTTCCAGCCAGTCCTGTTCCACGTCGTCGACGATGAACTTGACATTCGGGGGCACCCACTCCGGTTGGATCGGGCTGAGATCGTTGCCCACGATCAAGCTTGCTCGCGGATACTGATCGCCCATCTGGATAGGCCAGATGCCCGTGCCCGTCCCGATGTCGAGGATCCGCAGCCCGTCGTCCGGGTTGATGGGAGCCAGGAACAGTCGGTCATTGAGCAGTCGGCAGAAGACGTGGTGGATCATGTCGAGCCGGTCCTGTTCGGGCTCATCGTTGGGGAAGTGATAGCTGCCAGATTGATAGCTGTGATAGCGACGCCCATGCTTCCACTCATACCTCCGCACGCTCGAGGCCAACGATGTAGTGTATGTGGACGTTTCGTCGCCATACGCCGAGTCAACGTCGTCGTCCACTTCGATCGCGGGTTCTGGGGCGGCGATTGGGTCCTCTGCCATTGTGAGTATTCAGTTGGATAGGATATTAATCTTCACTGACGGCGGTCTCAAAGCGCTGATAGATCTTGTTGGGACCTTTTTTTTTTTGACAGTCGCACACTAGTGTTGCTGGAGTCCGGATCAAGGCATGAAGCTCACAACCTGTCTAGACGTCTTGCTCGATCGAGACGATCTCGTGCGGATGGGAATCTCTACTCTGCCACGCAGATCAGAGAACTAATGATTCCCATCCCTCTGCTCGGGTCCCAATCGATGGATTTGTGCCCCAAGCTCGAGGCTACGACTCGCGTTGGCTGCACATCCCTGCATCCCCCGCTCGTGCTTTGTAAGCTTGGACGGGGTTTGACCAATCATCATTCAGAGAAGGCACTTGCGATATTTCTGGAAGGATTACCCTGGTCGATGACGAACTACTGTTCGCCTTGTCGGACGGTGCTGTAGAATGGTTGTTGGTTTTATGTGCTCTCTGGCAGTTGGCAGCAACGTCGGGTCTCCACGCTTGATCCATCTGATCTCTTCTACTCCGTACGGGTACCCAATTGGGTGAGCCAGTATGGAGTAGCTGTATTTATTTTGGGAAACACTACTAATCCATGGTAATCTCGAGATCTTTTCTTCGCAAGTGACAGGAGCCTCAGCACGGATGAACTCCACACCAGGCATCGCAGCGATGCAAAGGCATGGGAAAGATTCAATAATGGATGCCGTCTTTTTATGCAGCGCGGGGATAACTCGGCCGCATCAGTGGCCGATCACATGAGTCAACCCGTGATCTCGCCCTTGCTGCTCGCTGCCGCACGTGCCGTCTGCTGGCGGCGTGTATGGTACGGTATTGTGACAGAACGTGGCGGTGCGATGCCCTATCAAAAAGCCTATCCTCTGCGGGGAATCCGCCGTATTACGAAAACGGTGGGGTGCGCAGGCAGGCGGTGTCCCGGGGAGTCGGAAGGGAGACCACCCGCGATCATACGATTTTCCCAATCGACGTACCGAAAGTACTGTACAGAACAAGCTTCTTTCAAGGCCTTTTTTCCCTGTTCCTGCACGCCCCCGGTTTTCAGACTTCTGCAGTAGGAGGATTATGAATCAACATTGAGGCACGCTGTCAATTTCATTGGTCAATCTAGGAACCCGTCGCGTGTTTCCGAGGCGCGCCCGTCTCGCGACCTAGGGACCTAGACCGCTTACATCAACCTTCGCTGGGGAAAAATACAATGCCTGCAGCATGGGCTCAACGGCCATCTAACCCACTGATTTGATGATTCGACACCTGCAGATTCTTACTGAAACCCTCTGAAGATGCTCCAAGACCTCTGAAGGCCCTTAGGATTAAGCGTCTCTTCGTTCCACCCTCGTTTCAAACCCTACTATCAATCAATATCAATCAATCAGAACAGCTCAGAGACACCAAAGTGCCTGGACCTTTAATGGTTCTGCATCTCGCCTTTTGATCTGGAGATTCCTTGTTTATTTCACTGCACCTCAGCCCATTTGAACTCTGTGGACTCTGCTGAATCTCCGCTATTGTCGTCATAGTCCAGCATAAGGACATCTTTCGATCTGGGTCCCCGCCAACCTGAACCCATCCCATCGGCATCCTTTCCGTTGGTCTAACGTCCAGAATCGGATCAATTATCTGATTTTACTGTTTTAGAGATATTCCCGACTTTCAAACGCCCTGCTCACATTCTCTGATCACAACCGGATGAGTGCTGCTCCCGTAGATGGCGGTCTCGGACCGTCGTCCTCCCCAGTAGGAGGATCCGGGACGCATGAGTCCCGATCGGATGAACCTTCATTGACCACCGGCTCTGGAAATGAGGTCGAGTATGACTGGTCTCAGTGGATGCGGTGGGACTGGGATGACATAACTTCTCAGACCAAGTCAAATCATGCCAACGATCCTTCAAACTCCGGGCTGGTCCTGGACCCTGTATCAGTCAATACCACGCAGTCTCCAGTCAACGTCGAGAACATGGATTTTTCAGCCGATGTCTCGCCGCCTGGTTCTCTCACGGATCCAACTCGTGACTGGGGCTCATCCGTCCAGGGCGGGAGACACGTCGCCTCGTCGTCATCCTCATACTGGAAAGGATGGGATTTGAAGAACCCATCGACCAGCCTGTCGCCTCAGTCCAACAGTTCGTCAACCCGAAAAAGGAAGACGACCAGCGACGATGACGGTTCTGCCGGTGCGGAAGATGACTCGCCGCCGGAATCGAAGTTGCCGGCAAAGAAGCGATCCCACAATGTCATCGAGAAGCGATATCGAGCTAACCTGAATGAGAAGATCGCCGAACTCAGGGACAGTGTTCCCAGCTTGCGAGCCATGTCGAAGCAAGGGAATGGAAGCTCTCCTGGTGATGACGATCCCGATGGCGCAATTCCGGCTAACAAGCTCAACAAGGCGTCCATTCTCTCCAAGGCCACTAAGTACATCCACCACTTGGAATTGCGGAATAAGCGTCTTGAAGAAGAGAACAGGGCGTTGAAGGAGAGGCTGCGGCAATTGGACAAATTAATAGACCAGAGCGCCACGGCATCCTCCGGCTCGGCATCCTCCCCTGGCAGCTACACGGGGACTATAGATTCCAGTATAGGCTCTCCTCCAAGCGTGTTCTCTCATGCGGAAGAACCGTCACCGACTCAGAAACCGGCCAGCTCGCTTCATCCTCCGGAGGGATTACTCAAAGTACCCGACTATATCAAGCAGATGCGGGCCTCCGCAGCGACGGACAGCCCTTTTGCAAAGTCTTATATCCAAGATGATCGTAAATCAAAGAGAGTATCAGAAGGCGATGGAGGTGGACGTCCGCGCATGGGATTGACCAACAAATTTATGCTCGGTACTCTTGCCGGATTGATGGTCGTCGAAAGTATCAGCACTCAAAAGAAGACGGAATCGACTGACAAGGGGCTGCTGGCAGTCCCGTTCAGCTTTTTGAATGACAAGGTTTTGCCTTACATCAGGGCCTGGCATGCGAACATGAATATGGGTCCATGGAATTCATGGCACGTTCGAGCTATCTCCAACTTTCTTCTGACTGCGGTTCTTGTCGTTGGCTGTGCCTTTGTGGTCTTCCTCTACTTGTTCAACTCGCGACCTGGCTTCCAACGCAGTCCGCCGAAAACAGCTTCTGATTCTGCAACTGCGATGACGCCATCCGCATTCAGGAGACAGGCGTGGCTGACGAGTATTCAACGAGTGGGTGTCCCACGTCACCGATTCTTCCTCGAATGGTTCGCAGTCACCAGCCGGTGGATTGAGTACACCCTGGGGTGTCTCTTGGGATGGAAACTGTACTCCTGGATAACTGGGATCACCGAAGAAGACGAGAAAGGTCGGGTCAAGACTTGGGACATTGCCATCGACGCTCAGCTGGCGGGAGGAGATGCTGAAGTGAGCAAGTCCCGGCTGGTCCTTACGATTTTCGCCGCGGGCACTCTGCCACGCAGCCCGGAGAGGATGATGCTTAAAGCTCTCCATTGTCGCATCTTGCTCTGGAGACTCGGCGAGCCGGGCTCGTTCATCTTTAGGGTTGCTAACGATATCGCCCGGTTGTTGGCTAGATACCAGTGGGGCCTTGCAAGGAAGATGAATCGATCGTTGCCGAAGGACCACCCAGACTCTCTGCCCAGCCATCTTGCTGCTCTGGTGGAGCGGGAATGTGACGAGGTCATGATTGATTCGGTCATCCAACGTGCCGCCAATCTGACTTGGAATCGACCCACCCAAGAAGCAACCGACGACGATGAAGCGCTTCTCGATGTGGTCGTCGAGGATCCGGCGATTCGATCGTCTTTGGATTCTCTCGCGGCATGGTGGTCCAGTCACGTGTTACAGCGTGCACTGCTGCGGTCCTTCGAGGCTGGGCACGACAGCCCTTCAACCGAGAAGTCTCGGGGTCTACTGCGGGAGAAGCTCGAGCTTGCGCTGAATGTGGCGCCCCGGCCATCTGCTGCATACACACGGGCGCTAGCCATGAAAGCAGTCTTCTTCGAAGAGGACAGGATCCAGAATATTGGGGCGGTCCTTGCTGCGTTGCCATCCAAGAAAGATAAGCAGACCCAAGCCTCGAATTTTCTCGACTCATCAATCCCGGTTTCCGTGCGTGAGGAAATCGCGATCGCCGTCCGTTGCGCGATGATTGCCGCTATCCTCAAAGCGCGAGCGACCAACGACACTTCTCTGCCGTCGTACTTGACCGTTCGCAAAGCCATTGCCTGGTTCAACCAGCTTCCTTTGGACCCCGTCGAGCTGACTCTGGTTGGGTTTACCGCTGTCTACCATCTGCTGCATGTCGTCACGACCTATGGCGATCTCCTCTCTGCGTCTTCATCGTCCGAGTCATCGTCGCCGCCCTCGTCGTCAGGCGGTCCATCCCCTGCATCGACGGGGTCTTGGGCGGACGACGAGCGAGATCGCAAGCCTGGCGCAACCCACAAGCGCACTCGTTCCGACAGTATTACGGAGCCAACACCGCAGTACGGCCGCGTGGCGGAGGATCTGATGTACTGGGCCCGTCACGCGTACAATCCCGCCTTCTACGGATTCACGAACAGCCTCGTCGACATTGTGGAAGCGGAGTGCATTGCGGTGTGTAAGGACGTCGGGATCGACGTTGCCGACCATACGCAATCAGTCCGCTCCAGTCTCCGGAAGATCATGAAAGCGGAGCGGAAGCATCGCAAGCAGCACACCACCGGGCGAGAGCAGACGGCCGTCGAGGGTGAGGATTCGAAGGGCCATCGCCGGCACAGCTTAGAAAGCAACGATACCGGCTATGGGAGCGGGAGCGGCAGCGGGAGCTATGGCGACGATCACCGACAGAGCATCATGACGCCGTTGACATAGTAGTCTTTCTAGTCCTGCTGCTTCATTGAATTCACTGAATTCATGCCTGTATGACGTTATGTGGATTGTAACACTACTCCAGGGACTCATCCTCTTCCCTCTCTTTACGTTATGTTGGAGTGTGTGTCTCTCTCCTGCTCAGAGGTATTTTTTTTTCTCAGGTTTGGGAAATTGTTTTTTCTTTATTTGCTTCAGGTAGATAGGTAGTAATTTTAGGGCGAATGAACTTGCGAGGACGAATGAATTGAGCTGGATTGAATTGAATATAACTTATCGACTGGGCGTCAATTCATTCGACTGCGAGAGTGGCCTAGATAAGGTTGTTTTGGTAACTAGGAACGTACTGTACATACTTGGATCAGATAATTTAATCGATTATTAACATTATCCGTGGTTTATTCCCTTCCGTCCGTTCCTTCGGAACCCGAAAGGCTTTTTTTTTAGAAATAAAAATAAATACCCCGCCTTTTTCGGCCCCTCCTCTCATGGATAAGATAGGTAGGCAGCAATCACATACCATGGTGGGTATAGTAATTAATTCCCTTGGAAAGCAAAGATATGTCCCACCTCCTTGCAGCTCTGCAGACCTGCTTAACTAGTCAAGATGAACTGGTTTAAATCCACCGCTTGGCTCTAATGCACGCCGCCTAGATAAGTATTGTATTCATTTGACACAGATGCGAGGGGCATTCTCAGCCCAGCCCAGCCCAGTCCAGCCAATCGGTTCCGTCTGGGGGCCGTCGGGGAGTGAGTGTAACGTAACTCTTCTTCTTCTGCTTCTCATTCTGCTTACTTCTAGACTGGGTTGTTTTTGTTATCCTTTTCTTTTTAAACAGACAACAACTTGTTATTATTATTAGAGAACGCTTCTCTTCCTGTGTGTAGTCTGTTTGGTATCTGTTAATTGCGATTTGCAATCATCCAATCATCTACCTTTGTTTTATATTTACTCCTCTTCTCCTTCGTAGTTGTCAGACTTCATCCAAGTCACATCCAACTGAACGCACTGCATTGCACGCACATGCCATCGTCAAAATGAGGATCCTCTGCCTGCACGGATTCGGCACAAGCGGCGAGATTTTCAAATCTCAGACTGGTAAGAAAAGAGAGTCAATCCTCGATCCAAATGCATATGAACAGGCATGTCATTCTCCGAAAGAACCCGGCTAATTAATATCTGTATAGTCTCCGTCCGAATGGCCCTCAAGGCGAGTAGTAGCGCAGGCGACGACGACATCGACTTTGATTTCGTCAACGCGCCGCACCCATCGACTCCGGCCGCGGGCATCGAGCTCTTCTACGGGCCTCCCTACTACTGCTTCTGGAAGGAGGACACTGTCGAGAACATCGCTGCGGCACGGGCCTGGCTCGACGAGCTGGTTGCTAGCCGGGGGCCGTACGACGGCGTGATGATGTTCTCGCAGGGCTGCGTGCTGGGGTCGAGCGTGCTGCTGCATCATCAGCGACAGCAGAAGACGCCCCCACCATTCAAATTCGCCATCTTCATCTGCGGCGGTCCCTCGCTCAAGGTCCTGGAGCAAGAGCTAGGCTTCACCGTCTCGCGCGAGGCGTGGGAGCTAGACCTTGCCTCGCGGAAAGCGCTGCAGGAGCGGGCCTCCGCGTCCGCCATCCTGGCCGAGGGATCGCAGCGGTGGAAAGACGTCAAAGACCAGACGAAACTCTCGCCCGACGAGCTCGCCCGTCTCGTGACGGGGCCGTACCAGATCACTATCCCGACCGTCCACGTCTACGGGTCCAAGGATCCGCGGTATTTTGCGGGATTGCAGCTGGCCAACCTGTGCGATCCGCAGGTTCGGAGAGTGTATGACCACGGCGGTGGCCATGAGATTCCGCGGAAGGAGGCTGTTAGCTCGACTATTGCTAGTTTGATTCGATGGGCGGCGACGACTGCCGCTGATGCTGCGAGTCAGAATGGTTCTTCTTGAGCAGGAGACACGAATACGTGTATTGGCTAGATTGTATTTCTTGTTTCTTTCTTTTTTTTCGTTCTAGACGTATCACATGTTGATTGACTTGGTTGATGTCTGTTTCGAAATGTTCTGATGAGATTAGAGTTCCATAGGGTCTACTACGACTACTACTACTATACTAATGATGACATGTTGAGAAGAATCAAAAATGACATGCCACTCAATTCACAATCCTAGGTCCCTTACACTAGACAGAAAGAATTTCGCATTGTTCAGAATAAATCTGTGTCTATCTATTATAGCCGCTCTATTAGTACACTCAAGGTCTATGTCTATATCTATATTTCTACCTGTACTGTACAGAGTAATGCTTTTCACGTACTACAATTTAGACGGCACAGCCGCACACTTTTGTTACGCCTTCCACTTCCACGTCGAGTTCCGATGGATCATATACTCCTTACTCTCGATCGCCTTCCAGATCCCCCACAGCCCGCCCAAAGGCCACCGCGACCTCAACCACCCGCCCCAAGACTCCCTCTCGCGGCGATTCTTCTCGACGTCCACCTTCACTTTCTCATACACGCTGGGGAGCGTCGACGCGGAGTACTTTTGCCGCAGGTTATCGTACCACTCGCGGTCGTACATCTCCCAGAACTCCTGCTCCGTGTAGTAGGTGTGCGCGTACAGCCATTTCATCCCGCCCAGCTCCCGCAGCCGACGCTCCAGGTCGCGGTTCGCAGCCACGAAAGCGTCCGGGTCCGCGGGACCGAAGCCCCAGACCCCGATGTTGAGCATCGGCTTTGGCGTCTGGCCGTCGGCCTCCACTTCCCCTGTGTGGGGATGCAACGTCGGCTGAGGCGATTGTCGCAGCGGGCAGAGCCACAGCGGCCAGATGCCGAACTTTTCAGCGGTGTAGTCAATGAAGGCTTCGGCTGTCGAGAAGGGCAGTGCCAGATCCTGGACCACGTAGCGACTGGACTCACCGCTCGCATGGAGCGCTTTGTACAGCATGCGCGTGTGCAGGAAGTCGTCAAGGAACCACCGCGTATACCGATTGAAGGGGAATTTGAAGTACTCGAAGGCGGAGGCGCCGACCCAGAAGCCACCGCGGTCATAGCGAAAAAGATACTCTGCCAGGGGGATGTACTCGGTCACGGCAGGTGAGGATCTTGAAAGGGTCTTATCCTTCACGTGCAGGTAAAACCACGGATCGAAGGGATGGCTGAACGTCTGCACGGCAGCCGTCTCCGGCTTGTCGTCCGTCATTTCACCAGTGACGACGACGCCGTGGTCCTTGGAGTAAAGAATGCCGTCGACATAATCATTCGAAAAGTCGGATATCTCGTCGCGAAGAGACTCGATCGTCTCCGCTACGCTTCTTCGTGGATGGTATGTCACTTTCACGTATTTTTTGGCCTCGATCAGTTGGAGCTCGATCAAGGTGGTGATCCCCAGACTTCCCACCGCACCGGCAGCGCCGTGAAAGAGATCGGAGTTCTCTGTCGAGGATGCCGTGACAGTGTCGCCATTGGCGAGCACCATCTCGACAGAATTGATCGTTTTGTCGAAGAAGCCATGCTTGAACGAGCTGCTCTCCCCGGAGGTCCCCGCGTAGCCTCCGCCAGCCGTGATGCCGGGGAATTCCATGACCACCGGGGGCACCAGACCATACTTCAGAGTCGATTCGACCAGGCGATCCATCGGCACATTGGGCTCGACGAGGGCCGTGCGTGTCTTGGTGTTGACGCTCAGAACATTTGCGAGCTTACTGATATCGACCACGCGATCCCGGCGGAAAGGTCGCGTGCTGTTGGTCGAGCCATGGAAGATCCGGTAGGGCTCTTTGCGCTCGTAGAACTGGCGGACAGTAGCCGCGATCCGTGCGACGGCCTTTTTATGGAGGTCCATTATCCTTGAGAATGGCTAGAATGCTGGCAGAAAGAGAATGACGGTACAGGAGGGTGAGGAAGATGTATCGGAGGATTGATCTATGAGATCTAAGCCCGAAAGGGAAGCCGCCAGCAGTAGGTACCTAGGCAGGGAGTAGGTACTAACCTTGGCAGGTACCTCTCCTAGGCATTCTTAACAATTCCTGGGCCCGAAAAAAGGAATTAACGAGGTCAGATCCTAGGCAGACCGCGGCATGCCGGCTTTGTGGGTAAGCAATTACCGCGTTCCCGGCGCGCCGATCGCGGGCCGGATTGGGTTTAGGGTAGCGATCCGACAGCTGCACTTCTATAGGAAATAACTATAGGAAATAATAATGCTCTAGACAGTGAGATTATGGAGGCCAATAATTAGCTAGGAGGTAGCTCACCTAGCGTGGCATTAAGGTATTTGCTCTCATGATGACAAGCGCTCTGCTTCTTGACAAGTTCTGCTTCGATTCTAGTATTCTAGTCATGTGCGAACAGGTGATTCCTGGTAACTCTAATTACAACTCTCAGATTACTGCTCTGGACCACTTCTTGATTATATTCCAACAAGGCTTCTGTCACTGCCGAACGCACATGTTGTGATTGTGAAGTTCGCGTAAAGCTGCGACGACGAGGATCTGCGAACCATATTTTCAGTGTACTAACTAACCATCTCTCTTTTTTCAAAGGATTTGATTCTCTCAAACGTAGGAATTTTGATTGTTATAGTACTACTATAATTATCAAGACGAAGTCTCTCATGGCGTGCTGTGCCCAGAAACAAGACTAATCAGCTCTTATAAATCAATAGCAAGAAAGGCCTCCATTCGTCTAAGATAGAGAAATCCCCTTCTTTTAGATGTGTACTTCCAGAAGAAAGAGGGTTTCAAATCTTTTGAGGCTGTTACCTCACACATATTGGAAGCAGTTGCTTATAGATAGCAGCCCTGTACAGTTGATCCATCAGTACTTATCAAGTACCTTGTTAGAGTATATAACGATGTGTTGAGGATAGTTTCCTTTTGTTGGGTAATAATTGGCGATATACCGGCGTTTAACATGACCGCCCGGATGGTCTAGTGGTATGATTCTCGCTTTGGGCTATGCAAACTTCCCTCGTAACGGACGGTTTAGTGTCTCGAATGCGAGAGGTCCCGCGTTCGAATCGCGGTTCGGGCCGAATTTCTTTCATTTCTTTTCTTTTTGCTCCACGAAGAAACATCTGTCAAATGACCTTAGTTTTCTTAAATAATAGCATATTTTTCTTTAAATTCTGGCTTAAAGTAACAAGAGCGCAGGTTGGGGATGGTTCTTGATGGTTTCCTTTTTGTTAAATGAGGTCAAGAATAATCTACTAATGTTCTCATCCTCTAATAATGTTCTCATCCATGTGCTACCAGGTGAGATCAGATTAAAATTTTATGTGGGTTGAGTTCTTTGTCCCCGCTACCACCAAAGGCGAGCACAAATTTTCCCCGTGTAAGGCACAGCATACTTCACTAGGTTATTAATGATAGTAAAAACCCCATCAATTAGTACTATTGATCTGTCGGAACTGGGCAATCATTCAACCCCAAGATTGGAAACTTTTCTCGATTGATGGGGTAGAAACAGTTAAGAAATTCTACTCTTGTGGTGTTCCACAGAAATTTATATATTTATATATCATGCATGCTGTGCCGTGCTGAACGATCACGTTACATGATTACCATCTGAATCCTGAAAATTTATCCCAAAGGGATGTTTAAGATTTTATAGTACTTACACAACCCAGTATCTTACTGAGACTCCCATCCAAGAACAATTTTTGTGTAATCTCCAATATGCGCGAGATCGACAGTGCCATCTCGAAGAGAACTGCAACGGTGGATACGAGCGCAATCCCTCAACATCGACGAACATAGTCGTCACCACCGACATCTCTCTACAGCATTTGGAGGCGTTGACAGGTGTGTAGATATAATTGTTTACAACCCAGAACTGGAAAATAATAGAGAAGGGAAACAAAGCCCTGTCATCATTACCCAGCTGGTACAAACTCCTGGTCCGCCAATCACAACGCGCGGCCCGCCAAAGGGCCTTGCTGCTCCAACGGAGAAAAAACTGACGAGTGACAGACACACTGCCAGCAGCTCTCAGCACAGAGCTCGACGCCTGCAGCTGCTTCGATCGCCAAACCAGAATCAGTATCAAGGCCAGTCGTGTCTTGATATTTCTTGACTGCCCATCCCGTCATTCCAGAATCCGTCGCGTCACGTCAATGACAGGACCAACGGCTACCATCTCTCCTCTTCGTCGCGCCGACGGCTCCGCGTCTTACAGTTGCCCTGCCACGGGGTTCCGGATCCTAGGTTCTGTCAATGGGCCCGTCGAATTGCCTGGTCGTCGCGATGCGCAGAAACCGGAGGAGGCTACCCTCGAGGTCCTGGTCAAGCCGGGAACGGCGCCTGGCGCGGTCGGCGAGAGATACGTGGAGGGCATCTTGAAGGGGGTGTTAGGCCGGGTGATCCTGGGGAGGGAGAAAGGGTTCCCGAGACGGGGCATCGTGTTGACACTGGTGGTTTTGGGAGGTGGGAATGATGGGAAGATTCGCCGGGGGGAGTCGGTAAGTCTTTGCTGTCGTTGGCGATCAATGTCTTCGAACCATAGCAGCTGATTCTTGGCTTGTCTTTTGGCAGTATCTACCCATTTTACCGTCCCTGCTTCATACAGCTCTCCTGACGCTTCATTCTGCGGCAATTCCCATGTCCATGACCTTCGCGGCGACCGCATTGGCCGTCACCCCCTCCGGCGAAATCATTCGAGACCCGTCCGTCAGCGACGCCAAGGCGGCGGAATCTGTCCACGTCCTGGCCTTTTCGTCCAAGGGGCACCTGCTGTTGAATGAGAGCGAAGGCAGTTTCGATTTTGACATGTGGGACAGGGTGCATGAGCGCGCATATGCCATCTGTCGCGGAATGAAGACCGTGACGGGCGACGGGGATGTCCAGATGGCCGAGGGTGCTGACGGCCAGAGCGTGGAGAGCTTCTTGAGGGAGACCGTCGAAGATAAGATCTACAAGGATTATGCATGGACGATTGACGCCGCTTGATCTAGCGGTAGTTGGGGGATTTCTTGCGTCTCAACGGAGCTACGATATTCTACCATCGCCGCCTCACGTTCTTTATGGCATGGAGGCGGGTCATTTCTCGGCATTCTGTTCCAGTCAGGCTGCCTTTACTTTGTCGACTCCGGCGTTTCTGAGCCCTGAGCTCAGATAGGCACGATCACTATTGGCCCCTGAGCTGAATGTCTGTCCGCTCAAGTGCCATTGAAGATATGCTGCTGGGGCAAAACAAGCTTGGCTTCGACACTCGCAACGGGGCCAGGCATTGAACGCACGCAAAGAAGACAACATGAGGGCAAACTAGGGGTAGGGCGTGTTGACCGGTATCATCCGCGCGCTCTCGGAGAGATAGCCGGGACCGCACAGACGAGACATCTAGGCTGATGAGTTGTACGCCAGCTCACTCCGAGTTTCAAACCACGGATCGGGCCGCAGACAGCACATGATTAATCTGTATCGAATGAATCTATTAAGCGCTGATTGTTTCCGGATTTCCTTTTGTTCTTAGTTGTTGTCGATACTATTAGTCGCTGCGTCAATAGGTAGCCGTGCGACTAAACCATCGTCACGAGGGGTGTAATCTGCATAATCTTTCTTATTGCATCCATTAGTATGGCAGCTATAGCTATGCAGTCTCGAAGGAAGGTGAGACGAGATCAGTGCAGCGGACTGCCGCCAAGCACGGGGGAGCTGCTAGCCTGCCTCAGATGCCGGCTCTGACATTCCAGTCAGAAGGCTGAAACTGAGGTCCGTATCAGCGAGAGCAGAGAGAATGCTCCTAGATTTGCTAGCTGTCTGACATCTGATCTTGTCTGACAAATAAAATGGGGAAACAGCTCTCTCCAGAACACCAGTATTTCGCAGATTTTCTTCCATCTTGGATCATGATTATAACAATAACTTTCCTAATTCTTCTCTTTGATCCTTTCTGTCGGTGCAGGCCACCAGCTCCACTCGTTCTGTTTGCCTTTCGTCATTCTTCTTCAGAGTTACTTCGCCTTCTGGGGATTTCGAAGGCCTTCCCTCGTCCGGCACCATTGGTTCCTGGGCTGGATCTCTCTTCGGAAATATCCCCGCCAGATCCGTTTTCCCCAACGGTGTCATCGCCTGGAACTTTCTGACTGTTATTATTAAGCTCTGCAGCTGCGTCTGCTATCGGATCCGACGAAGCCCCGCCAGCCGGAAGTCTGCGCTGACATCTTAGACTCGCGCTGCGCTCCAATTATCTCCGGGCCCGGAGCTCTGGACTGCTCGTCATCATTATTTTGTCCGCCCCGTGCGAAGGAATCGACGCCCCTGCAGCGACGCTATCGCTGCGGGACGTGCAAGATCCCCCACATTAATCATCATCGCCGAGCTTTTTGTCAGCTGGTCTGGAGTTTAGGGGGGGGTTGGCATTGACGCTGGCCGACTGCTGACTCTGACGTGACTTAACTCCGGATCCGCCCTCCAACGCTGGTATAAGGACCGCGATGCCCCCCGCCGACGACGACATGCCATCGACCTTTACCCATCCCATCCTGTCGCCATCGCCTACCGCGGGTCCTCAGGACAGTCGCCCTGGATCTGCTCGTCGGCCTTCGCTGGGACTGCTCTCGGGCCAGAACGCAGGCGACAGAATCGGGTCGTTGCTGTCGTCGCGGGCCCCGTCCTCCGCTTCCGACGTCGGTGGCTCGCTGCTTCGAGATTATGCCCGCAACATCGATCCATCGCAGACGGAACACGAGATTCATGTGAGCGATCCGGCCGCAGAGGAGCAGCCGGCTGGCGACACGCATCCTCCGGCCGACGAGGAACGTCCCAGCGACGCGGTGGAATCCGCTCCCACGTCGCCTTTCTTGCAACTGCGCTCTCCCAAGTCGTTTCGCAAACACCGCCAGAACACGCTGTCGACCGATTCTGTTCCGCGCCAAACCATCATGAAGGCCCTTGCGTCGCGACCGCCCATGTCCAATGCCCCGTCCATGCCGCTGGCGGCTTCTTTGACGGGGCTGCTCAACAGTAACAACCAGTCTAATAATAATAACTCTGGTGATGAGATCGAGAAGGACGGCACATACAGCAATTCTTCCTCCCAGCGACTGTCTGCGGCCTTGTCCAACCTGCAGTTGTCGGGATACACGGACAAGACACCATCGACAGCTCGCTTTGCTCTGAAGTCCCCTTGTTTTTTCCACCAGCGCTTTGACGACGCGGTCAACATCCAAAAGGTCCTCGAAGAGATTGCAGACGACGAATGGCTGTCGCATTCCCGTCTCGTGCAGACCGCGACCGGGGTGAGAGAGGTTTCGAAGCAGCTCCAGCGCCGGCCCATCAAGCGCGCCGTGAAGAATGTCATGATCGTCACCAAGGCGCGGGACAACAACCTGGTCTACCTGACCCGCGAGCTGGCCGAATGGCTGCTCAGTACGCCCCGGTATGGCAGTGATCTCGGCGTGAACGTGTATGTGGACGCCAAGCTGCGCAACTCGAAGCGATTCGACGCGGCAGGTCTGCTGGCCAAAGAGCCTCGATTCGAGACCATGCTCAGGTACTGGACGCCCGACCTCTGTTGGACATCGCCCGAGATATTCGATCTGGTGATCACCTTGGGTGGGGACGGCACGGTCCTCTATACCTCCTGGCTCTTCCAACGCATCGTGCCGCCGATTCTGTCCTTTTCCCTCGGCAGTCTCGGCTTCCTGACCAACTTCGAGTTTGCAAAGTACAAGGAACATTTGAACAACGTGATGGGCGATGTGGGGATGCGCGTCAACCTGCGTATGCGATTCACCTGCACGGTGTACCGTGCTGATCGGAGCAAGGGCGCCGCGCCGGGTGATGTCGAAGAGTGCGAGCAGTTTGAGGTGCTGAACGAGCTGGTCATTGACCGCGGGCCTTCGCCGTATGTGTCGAATCTCGAGCTGTACGGAGATAATGAACTGTTGACTGTCGTCCAAGCGGACGGGTGCATCTTCTCCACCCCTACAGGTAATTGCCTTTCCTACCTTTCTTTTCTTTTCTTTTTTTCTTTTTTTTTCTTTTTTTCCCTTATTTTTATGAGGTTCTAACATTTCTTCAGGCTCAACTGCTTATTCCCTCTCCGCTGGTGGCTCTCTCATTCATCCTTCGATTCCCGGAATCCTTCTCACTCCGATCTGTCCTCACACCCTTTCCTTCCGTCCCATGGTCCTCTCCGACACGATGCTGCTTCGTATTGCGGTGCCCCTCTCATCTCGCTCGAGCGCCTATTGCTCGTTTGACGGCAAAGGGCGGGTGGAGCTCCGCCAAGGCGACTACGTCACCGTGGAGGCTAGTCAGTATCCTTTCCCAACCGTCGTCTCTGGCGGAGGGGAGTGGTTCGAGAGTGTCCGCCGGGCCCTGCGGTGGAACACGCGGGGTGCGACGCAAAAAAGTTGGAGTGGGAATGTCGAGGGCGCTCCTCCCGACGAAGAGGAGGAGACCGAGTTCGACATTGACTTTGACACTCCGGCCACGGGCACCGATAGCGGCTTTGGACCGAGTGAGGACGGCGATGCAGGCAGTCCGATGAGACGCCAAATGAGCCTGCTGAACATGTAGCATCGCACCATCGCACCTATGATATGTCTGCACATGTCTGCACCTATGTCTGCACCTTCTGCACCTTGACGGATGCACTGGCAGTCTGGCACACTTCTGGTCTATATTTGCATACGACTGGATCTGGAGACCATCATCAGGTTTCATGATGTTTACACACAGAGACTTTTTCTTTTACAATTCTTGTGATCTGGTTTTAATTCCTTCATGGCCTTCTTTGGTGGTCTATTTATTTATTTATCCTTCGGTCTTGAATCTTGATGCACCGTTCCGTTCCATGTCCTAGCCAAGACAGGACAAGGCGTTGTTTATTTATGTTCCAACATATTGTTGAATATTGGCGCAAGCTGATTTATTTGATTTTGTTTTTGAGGAGGTCATGTCATGTCATTGGGGACACGACACGTCATTACTGACCTACTACAGTCACCTACTACGATACCACTGCTTATACTTATACTTACTTTAGATATACAGATAGACACGAGATTATATACAGACAGAGGCTGTATCCAAGGCCTGGACTGGACTGAACAGAATTGATTGGATCTGAGAAGCTGGCTTGTCTTGTTTAGAGCCAGCATGCATGGTGCCATCTATCATTCTAGCATCTCTTCTTCCTGATATTTTTTTTGTCTTTGTACGGAGTAAACTTTAGTAGTGTATTGCGGAGATCTATGTACGTTGCATTGCAAAAGTACCTAGTACTGCGTAGGCATACGATCGATGTCCATGACAAAAATAGTTTTTGATCAGAGCTTCTATACAGTAAGTACATAGGTACCATCCTGCAGATCACGGATGGACCGTATTCCCGGATGTGAGCGAGGTCGCTGTCAATGGTCTTTGCGCATGTACCGTTACCACCGGATTTGAGACACTCTGCAGAGTACCTAGGTAGACCATTCAGGGCAAAAAAAAATAAAGACTTCACAAACATTCTGTTCTGTAGTGTACAGTATATACAAACATAGTTGCTGGTCATGATTATTGCCTTTTTTTTAACTGAGATAAAAAAAAACTTTACCCAGGCACGTAATTATTAATTATTTTTTGTTTCTTTTGATTGATTGATTGATCCCCGCCATCATTATTTATTCTTCGGCAGTTTATCGGCAATTAATAATGGTGACGGGTCACGGAGCCGAGCCGGCGCTATCAATTACTTACTAAGTACACAGGAGCACTGTGTTGTTGGCATTTTGCTAGACTTAGCAGGGGACTTTTCGTATAACTTCGTTGCAATTCCGACCAGAAATATTTATTTATTCATTTAGTTATTCGTCAAGTGGGTGTGTATAGTGATGACGATAACTATGATGGTGGTGCTGTCATCGCGCTATTAGCGGGAGTATTACCCATAGTCAAGTCCTCCGTAAAATTACGGAGCATGAGGTATTATTCGATACCTACCTACACCGATCAATCAATTAATTAATAGAGTTTACTTTACTCTTGAGAACCAGCTTCTCTCTTCGTCATTGTGCTTTTTTTTTCTTTTCTTCTCTCTAGGACTGTTATTTGTTTGTGCCAACATGGTGAGTTGCAATGCGTCAAGTTTTTATGAATCGTTTCAAAACTGATCATGCAGCCCCACGCCGATTCTTCCTTCTTCCCTGCGGGGTCGTCCAAAGAGCAGGTTTATCAGCTCCTGCTTGAGCAGGCGCGGGGGTTGCTGGAGGGACAGCGCAATTGGGTAGGTATTTCGTTTTCTACACGGCATTGTAAATGATTTTATGCTGATGGGGTGTGTTGACAGGTTAGGTAAGAAGTGCAGTCGTCCTCAACAGTATATTCTACTTCGCGACGACAACAGCAACTGACTGCCTGCAGTAACCTCGCCAACGTCGCCTCTCTCCTCTGGTACGCATTCCACGCGCTCCCCCAGCCCTCCTCGTCCGTCAACTGGGCCGGCTTCTACGTCCGCGACGACCGATTCCCCGTCCTGGCATCCCCAGCCCGCTCGACCTCCACGCAGGGCCTCACCACGACGACCATCGCAACGACCTACGCGTCCCCGGAAGACTACAAGCTGCTGCTGGGTCCGTTCCAGGGGAAACCAGCCTGCCAGGAGATCCGGTTCGGAAGGGGAGTCTGCGGCACGGCGGCGCTGAAGAAGGAGACGGTTGTCGTGCCGGACGTGTTAGAGTTTCCGGGGCATATTGCCTGCGACGCGGACAGTCGGAGTGAGATTGTGGTGCCGATTCTTTTTGGGGGAGAGGTGTGTGAAACAGCTTTCATTGGTTGAATGATTCTCACACCTGTACAGACCGTCGCCATCATCGACATCGACTGCACCGAGCCATCTGGTTTCGACGACGTTGATAAAAAGTATCTCGAGGAGCTGGCTGCTCTGCTAGCGGAGAGCTGCGATTGGTGAGCGGACGAACAAGACGCACAACATCTTTACAGCTGCACACTCAGCCCGGGCATGTGTAACGAGTTCCGGTTTGATGCATCTGATGACCTGACTTTTAAAATTTAACGATTGATGTTGTCAGTACATGCGTGTTGATGGATAAATTGTGTGGATAGAACGGATACCATTGAGCTGGGGTGCATTTGTGGAGGTTGGTGTATAAGTGGGATATATATATAGCGTGACGGAATCTGTTTATATGAAGATTGTCGCTGCAATAGCACTGCCTTTCTCTATGATTCTCCTGCACTCTTTCTCAGTGTTGCTCCACTAGTAGTTCTAATATTGGAATTGGCATGACATAAATGATAGTATAGTACTATCAAACACGTCTACTATTTACGTGACATCATGCCCGTTGTGATTGTTCCTATCCATAGAATTTGGGGCATGGCCTAGTGACAGCCAAGCTAGGTCGAGAAACTGCTCTCTGGTTGACTGGAAGGGTGGTCACTGGTGGAGATGTGTAAAACCCAGCCCACCAACGCAGAGAGTGAATATTCCGCTGAGAAGTTCTATTAAGTGCCCGATTTGATTTTGTTTGTCTTTCTGCTATTAGTGATGTTAGATCTGGTTCATGTGACTGACCCCGGGCGCTGCGTTCCGAGCCCTAGATAGATCATGGCCAGACGTCCACTGGTCGGATCGGAATACCACGTGGTCCATCCGAACGTGACTCGATCGAGATCAACCGTTTCGATCGGGCGATTACCTACCGGAGCATCTTGCCTGAAATCTGACTGTCACTGCGGAGACGGGCAGTAGTGACAGAAGGATCTGGAACTCGCCAGCACGGCAGGATCAGGTGGACGATGGGTCTCAGTCTGCACAGGTTGGCAAGGATCCCTCGCTGGTAGTCTCAGTCGGCAAGGCCAGTGGCGAGGGGAAGATGATACGACGCTTAGAGAGTACGTAGTCGCTGACACTAACGACCTCATCTCCAGGCCGAGATACAGACAGACCATTTCAGGCTGCGAGGTTGCATTCGCATTCGCATTCTGCTCTCTCCGCAACACTAGCTTCCCCGTATTCTACCCCAGAGGCAACACTCTGACTCGTAGGAGGCACCCCGCAGTTGTCGACGGCCAATTGATCCCACATGACCAGACAAGGTCAAGGCAGCGTCAGGGTCATCCTGGTCCATCCTGGCCGGAAAGTCGGCATGCCGCGAGATCTAGAGCGTGCGCAACAAGCTTTGACTGGCTGCCCGCCAACCGCGGCGAGCTCGCATTCCGACTGGCGGGCGTGATAGGCGAGAGCCTCTGCCGCTTCCCTGTAGATCCACCGCTGCGCCACCCAATCGCGAGTGCGGCAGCCCAACAACCGCACGCAGCGGCGGCGCTGATAAGCCGGCCGCCCGCAGCGTTGCAGCCGCCCCACACCCTCTTTGTCTAGGACGCTAGCCGCAGCGGGCAGGCTGAGGAATTCCTCCAGCAATCACAGTCCGTCGAAGCTTCGCCGGCTTCGGCCAGCGAGCCACTTGCGTCAGCCAGTGGGAGCCCGCCTTTCCAATCACGGCCGTTTGCCATGTGCAGCTGGAGCTCCTCTGCTGCTCCATCGACCGCGCTTTTATGCTAACGCGTCCGACTCAACGCCCATGGATGGGCCTGGATGCTTGCTGTTGGCCGCATCCATGCACGGGACCACATGGGTGTGGGCCGCCGGCGCTGCGTTCGCTGTTTGCAATTTGCCGTGTCCAGCGCGCTTCCTTTTTGCGGGGATTCTGGGGGGAAAAGGTACGCGAGTTGTCCCACGGGATTTTTTGTCCCATGGGGCCCGAATGCCCGATGCCTCCAATGCTTGCCATTATGCACTAATACGACGTCGCATGCGCCAGCACCAACTCAGAACGAGGTAGGATCGGCGACTTTATTCGGATTCTTCCTTATGTATTTAACCGCCCTCCTGTTCCTGTTCTTCCCCTCCGCTCTGTCTTTCCCTCCGACCGGTTGACCTCTGAGGAGTTTTTTTTTTCTCCCCCTCTCTTCAGTTTTTTCTTTTCTTATTCCCACCCCGTCCTCACCTTTCTCTGCCTCTCAGGCGGGATTCAAGTCACCATGGTCGTCGGGAATATCTACGTGATCGCGGCCACTGCCGTCGTCGGCGGTGCGCTCTTTGGCTTTGATATCTCGTCTGTGTCCGCCCAGCTGGGCGAGAATTCCTACAAATGCTACTTCAACCAGGGACCGCATGGTCCCCCGTTCGATGACGACCCCAACTGCAGTGGCCCCCGTGATCTGGTGCAGGGTGGTATTACCGCGTCCATGGCGGCTGGTTCATGGCTGGGCGCCTTGATTTCCGGTCCTTTGTCTGACCGCGTGGGTCGGAAGACCTCCATCATGATCGGCTGTATTGTCTGGTATGTCTCAGACTGGTTTTCCTGGAAATCGCATTATACTGATCGAAACAGGATGGTTGGGTCGACTCTGATCTGCGCCGCGCAGAACATCGGCATGCTTATCGTCGGTCGTATCATCAACGGTCTCGCTGTCGGTGTCGAATCCGCCCAGGTGCCCGTCTACATCTCGGAGATCTCCCCGCCGTCGAAGCGTGGTCGTTTCGTCGGCATCCAGCAGTGGGCGATTACCTGGGGTATTCTGATCATGTACTAGTATGTATCCCCCTTGACACTGAGAGTACTCTGAGAGTGATGCCAGGCTGACACTGGTCAGCATTTCCTACGGATGCTCGTTCATTGGAGGCCAGTACTCCAACGACTACAGCACCGCTGCCTGGCGTATCCCGTGGGGTCTGCAGATGATCCCAGCCGTCTTCCTGTTCATCGCCATGACGTTCCTGCCCGAGTCGCCGCGTTGGCTGGCCCGCAAGGACCGCTGGGAGGACTGCCACCGCGTGCTGGCCATCGTCCACGCCAAGGGTGACTTCAACCACCCCTTCGTCGCTGTCGAACTGGAGGACATCAAGGAGATGTGCGAGTTTGAGCGCCGTCACAAGAACGTCACCTACCTGGACCTGTTCAAGCCCAACATGCTCAACCGCACCCTCATTGGTTTGTTCACGCAGATCTGGTCCCAGCTGACCGGCATGAACGTGATGAGTATGTGATTTCTTTCCTTTTGCTGCAGTTCTTACTGACTCGTCTAGTGTACTACATCACGTACGTGTTCGGTATGGCCGGCTACTCGGGCAATGCCAACCTCCTTGCCTCCTCGATCCAGTACATTATCAACGTGTTCATGACCCTGCCAGCGCTGATCTGGATTGACCGTTGGGGTCGTCGCCCCACCATGCTGGTTGGTGCTGCGTTGATGATGACCTTCATGTACGCCAACGCCGGTATCATGGCGGCGCACGGCGTGGTCGTGCCGGGCGGAATCGACCACGTCAAGGAAGAGTCCATGTCGGTGAGCGGCGCCGCAGCCAAGGGCCTGATCGCCTGCACGTATCTGTTCGTGGCGTCGTATGCGCCAACCTGGGGTCCAGCGTCATGGATCTACCCGCCTGAGCTGTTCCCTCTGCGGCTGCGCGGCAAGGGTGTCGCGCTGGCGACGTCAGGCAACTGGGCCTTCAACACGGCGCTGGGCCTGTTCACGCCCGTGTCCTTCTCCAACATCCGGTGGAAGACGTACCTGATCTTCGGCGTCTTCAACACGGCCATGTTCGTCCACACCTTCTTCCTCTTCCCGGAGACGGCGGGCAAGACGCTGGAAGAGACGGAGGCCATGTTCGAGGACCCCAACGGCATCAAGTACATCGGCACGCCGGCGTGGAAGACGACCGTCTCGACGGAGAAGACCGTCCAGATGGAGCACGGCAACGTCGAGCCCAAGCGTGGGCTCTCCGCTCATGTGGAGCACACGGAGGAGGTCAAGGATGCCTCTACGAATGTGTAACATCCATGCTGCGCATGGATGCACATAAGTTGGTTATGTGACGAGTGAGATGTGCTATGTATGTGGATGTTGCATGAGCGGTTTTAATAATTTGTCAAGTCTGTACAGTACAGTACATATGAATGGATATATAGTTATGACAATGGACTTGACAGTCGAGAAAATTCAGCTGTACTCGTATGCACCACATGAACTAGATCTAGTCGTTATGGTCGATTCTACTCCGTATTTGACCTGTACCCACATGCCCTTATTTGGTGGCAGGCATTTAAAAATTCATATCCCAGCAACCCATAACGAAAGCAGCAATCGAACTAAACCTACCAACAAGAGACTACTATATAGACCAAATCTCGTGCGAGCAGCCGTGTGTTAATCACTCCAATGGATTGCTTTTTCGTTACCTAATGTAGACAGTACCTAGAACGGAGTAGACTATTCCAAATCCGTACCCCGACCTGTGTGCATGGATGGACTGCTCTGGATGGAGACCGATCGAGTCCAGTCCAGTCAGTCCAGTCCAGTCCAGTCCAGGACACTACCTACTTACTAAGAGCGTGGTTTCGGATTGGAATAATTGCATTTTTTTTACCCATTGGGAATTTTTTTGGGATCGCGGGATTTAGTTCCTATGGCTGTGTTATAGGGTGCAGTTTGTCTAGTCAATACCGTAACGCAGATGTTTATTACGAGATCTGCACCGCCAAAACACGGTAATACGGTATCTACTGCTCCCCTCGTAATCAAACTCAGCTAACTCACCCTATTTATTGAGCCAACCCAACGCCGCAAACTCAACTTCTCTCTCTCATCCAACGACGTCAGCTTCTCTTCTCCGCGCATATCGACCGCTTCGCAGCGCAGGACTCTGTCCTGCTCATCCGCCACTGGGGCTTTTCTAAGCGTCTTCCACTATTCAATCTTCCTGGTCAGCGGCTTCACCAGCTTCGTCTGCGCAGCCATGGCCTTCACTCTACTCTGCCGAGACAGCAGCAGCAGGCAGCTCCTCTCTGGAACAGCCGTTTAACTATAACGATCTTCTTCAATTCGCTCAGTTTGAGCAGGATTCTTCTTCGTCGTCGTCATCGTCCTACTGTCAACTAGCTGACGGTCTGCATCCGCCGTCGTCAACATGTGCAGATCGTCAAGTACATGTCCATGCACCCTGTTCTTGTCCTACACCATCGGAATCATCCTCGCAGTTGCTGTCTGCTGGCGCGTTTGATTTCCCAGATCTGTTCTGGAACGCCGCGTCGACCAACGACTTTTTCTCGCCGAATCTTTCGACCATTGCGCCTGTTGAAGAGAACCTGTCGTTCGACCAGGAGAACGTTTCTTCGTTCCCGGAGAATCCCTCTGCCGATTTGAATCCTGTCTTGCCATCGATGGCGGACAGCGTTGATGTCCTCGCTGAGAACATCATGCTTCAGCCACCGACTGCAGCAGGATTCAGCCAGTCAGCGTCTCCACTTGATGAGATGTCTCTGGTCGATATTAATATTGATCATGTTTCATCTTCATCGAATGTCCTCAACATGTCGACAAACACCCACGTTCAGCAATCTTCTCGGGATCGCCCAATCCTCCCAGCCAAGCAGACCCCATCTTCCGCATCCACATCCTCTTCTTCTGACTCGGTCACTGCTCCATCTTCAACAAAGCGCAATACCAAAAAGCGACCTGCGGCCATCGACTCCAGCCACAGCAACAGCAGCGCCCTAGACTCAGAAGAAGAGCGGATCCTGGAAAAGCGACGACGCAACACGCTGGCAGCGCGACGGTTCCGCCAGCGGAAGCAGGACCACGTCGCCGCTCTCGAGGCGCAGCTGGCGGCGGTGACCAAGGAGCGGGACGAGCTGCGACTGCAGATTGCCAAGTGGGAGGGTGAGGTGACGGCGTTGAGGAAGATGTTGGAGGGGAGGAAGGGATGATCGGAGTATAATGTTATGTTGTTGTTTTTAATATGCTTGCGTTAGTACAGTTATATTTATTTTGTTCAGCGAAATGAAGACAATAAATAAAAAAGAGAGAAAGGTCGCAGTCATTCGTAATCGAGATAATAATAAGAATAAATGACAATAAATAAACAACTAAGATATAGATAATATATTAAAGGCAACGCTTACAAGACTAGAACTAGGTATTAACACACACTTCTTTTATTTTCGCCTGATCTCCTGAAAAATGACGAAATGACAAAATGACGAATAATGAGCAATGATGAGTGATACTTATTTTCATCTATATATATGTATATATATCGTTGATTTGTCTCTTTCCTTTTTTTTAAACCATTGACTGAGACATTATTACGATATTAGCTATTAGCCTTGATTTTGTGTATGCTTGCAACGCATATTTATTTATTTATTCTTGTCTTGACAATAATAATAACACAATAATAATGTCGTAGCAGTAGCAGTAAGCATAATCACACTCTTACCAAACAGTACCTACAACTAATACGGAGTACTGCCAACCTAGGTAACTTACCTATGTACATAGGTACTCCGTACAGTACGTAGTAAGCGTATTACAACGTACCAGTACAATACATCTCAGCTGAAAAAAGCGGGCACCGTTTTAGGCTAACCAAACCGACTTACCAACGAGCAACCAACCAATCACAATTCTCCGTGATGAGTCATTATTGCTCATACTTAGTAGTACTCCGTACTCAGCCTCAGAATAGGTAATAATAGATCTCACTTTAAATAAAAGAAATGTTGTGCGTCTAACTACTCTGTAATTAAACCATGTTTGGTTAGGAACACTGTCCTTGACCTTGACGGATGCAGGATGAGCTCCTCCAGAATAGCATTGACCTCCTCTTTCTCGTTTCTAGCTGTACTGTACATACCCAGTGCCCTGTTGTGCTGACTTCTTTCACGATCACCAGGTCAGCAGCAACCTGCCGGATCTGCTCCGCAAAGCCAGGTATGCTTATCGCATTTTGTTGTTGTTGTTGTTGTTGTTGTTGTTGTTGTTGTTGTTGTTGTTGTTGTTGTTGTTGTTGTTGTTGTTGTTGCTTCTCTGTTAGCATGAGGATGGGCTGGTGGAGTTTTAGTCTTGGCTCGAGCTACTGCTGCTGCTCGTTCAGATTCCCCGCTATTAATATTAGCGCGCGGTACCAGTTCATTGCTCTGTCGTAGGAGCCAAGCATGATGCGGTTGTGTAGGGTTTTCCCTGTAAAGTCATTGACTTAGTCCAATTAACCCTTTAGGAACAAGGAGGAAGAGGGGATAATCACTTCATCATATGTAACCCGCTTCAGGACCTTTTCTATTTCCTCGAAGCCATGCCTCCAAGGCTCCTGTCCTGTTGGACAGAGGTATGTACAGTACTCTTTCCAGAGCTCCGGACTCCGGAGAACGGGGGTAGAAGAGCGAGTGGAAGGAGGCGATCTTTATCACTCAGCAGCGTAGCTACCATTTTTTTCCCTTGCAGGTAGCTAGCTAGCTTACATGTTCATCAACAACCTCTCCAGCCTCTGCCTTCACAAAAAAAAAACTGATATATCTAAAGTTCTTGAACCCCATTACCTATATTAATAAGCTATTAACAGCATCTAACGTGCGTCCCGGTGTGCCGAAAGTCCCGCTGTAACGAAAACCTGACCAGGTACTTCTAACTATAGCTTGCCATTCTCAGAGTACAGCGAGTTTCTTATCTCAAATTTCACCTCAAAATCTATTACCAAATATACGGGTTTCTACCTGATATTTACCTCTGGTCAATGCGAGAGCTCAATTGTCCAACTTTTAACACTATGTCATTAGCGTCGCTTTCAACGTCAGTTAAATACACAGAAATTGATATGGCACCATTTAAATGGCTTATTAATCCTTATCTAATGTCTTTGAGCCACTCCACAAAGTTCAGCCCTGTAGAGAAGAAAAATTCGTAAATCCAAAGGGTCTGAAAAGTACTTCTGCGGGCTAGGCAATACCGTCTCATACAAGCCCAGATTATATCAGAAGTGATGTTTTGTTTCATGAAACTTTTCTAACGATCTTTGGTCTAGTAGTAGAACGCGGTGGAATCATGGAAGTTTTATCACGTGATTGCAGGAAGCCCAAGGAATTGTTCTCATCCTCAAGAGCATGATCTGTTCTTCTATGTTAAGATAGATGCTAAGTGACAAGAGTAATGTCTCTTCTGCAGATCGCTAACCCAGCTACAGCTGCGCCGGCCGGAATAAGCGATGCTTCGACCAACAAATCGTATGCAGCTCTATCAGCCTCTAGTGGCGTCCCGCAATCCACCTTGTGGCACCGTGCCCACGCTCGGCGATCTCGGAAAGCCAAAGCAGCGAGTCAGCAGTACCTCACACCACAGGAGGAAAAGGCTCTTGTGGACTATCTACTGCGGGCGTGTAAGAATGGATATCCATTACCGATCAAATATGTCCGCCCTCTCGCACATGTGATTGCGCGTCAGCGATGCCAGCGTTCCTCAATCGGTCAGACCCTTGCAAATGGTGAAGATGTTCGACCTCCAGGCAAGAATTGGCCGCAGGCCTTCCATAAGCGTCACCCAGAGATCAAGGCAATAAGAAGCAAGGCGCTCGATTCAAATCGACATGACCATCATATCTATCATAAGGTGGAGGACTGGTTTAAGCTGATCGGAGAGCAGCTGAGGAACCCGGACATTCTTCCTGAGAATGTGTACAATATGGATGAGACAGGCGTCCTTTTGAGTGTTCTAAGCACACTGAAGGTTCTCGTAAGCAGCGACAAGCCCCAGCCGCACCGGAAAGCAGGGGTAAAGCGCACTCTAGTTACAGCGATCGAATGTATCTCTGCCGATGGTAGGTCTCTTCCCCCACTGATCATCCGGCCTGCTGCCACGCATCGAAGCACATGGACCACTTATCCCACTCCGGGATGGCACTTTGCCTGTTCTAAAACGGGATATACCGATACAAAAATCAGCCTATACTGGATCCAACACGTTTTTGATCCTCTGACCAGAGATCGAGCAAATCGCAAGCCACGGATTCTGATCAACGACGGGTTTGGCACCCATTAATCGCTGGAGTTGATGAGATTCTGTTTTGAGAACAATATCATTCTCTGCCGCTTACCCTCCCATACATCCGACAAGCTCCAACCATGATGTAGGAGTATTTGGGCCGTTAAAGGCTGCGTACCGCGAGCAAGTCGAGAAGTTGTACCGTGGTGGTGCCAACATAGTTGGGAAATGCCACTTCACCCAGCTCTATGCAGAGGCGCGAGGGAAGGTCATGAAGAAACAAATTATCGAGGCTGCCTGGTCGAGGAGTGGGCTATTCCCATTCGATCCAGATCGCGTCCTGAGAGAGATTCAGATGCCTCCAACGGAAAATCGCCCTCCAGCTATTTACATTGAAGGAAATAGCGCTCTATTAGTCAAGGAAATGATACGAACACCAACCACATCTCAAGAGCTAGCTCTTCTGCGGCAGAAATTGACCAGGCCCGAGACTCGTCTGGAGGTCCCGGCAAAATATATCTTGAGAAATTAGCTAATGCTGCTGAAAAGGCATTTGCTGCATCTGCCCTTCTCTTAGATCAGAATGAACAGTTGCATCAGCAGAACAACGAAAAGAAACGTCGACAATTAGCTCGATCTACCGTGGTTGGTGATGCAAAGATTCTCAGCGACGAGGCTATCCTTGAGGCAGAAAAGAAACGTGAGGAAAAAAAGGCCAAAGTGGCTGATCAAATTCCACACCGCTCGAATCGACAAATCCTGTCATCTCCAGCTACTTGAGCCAAAAGGCCACAGCGTACTGAACTGGAAGACGCTGAGGTTGAAATAAAATCTCTAGGTTTAGAGGATTACTGTTCTGTATTGCAATTTTAATGCCGTCCCGCATTTTTGGGTTGGAATAGTTAGACTTTGCTGCTTATACATATGGGTCTGTAGCAATTTTAACATTAGGCATGAAGAATTTGTTTGATTTCCTGCAACTATTTGATCTGTTTTGGATAGTTAGAGCATCAAATAAAGTTTAAACATCTCTCTTAATTTAATCCCCCCTATTCAATGGCCCTTTATTAACTGTCCATTCTGTACAATTTTACATTCATGATCCCATGGTTAGTCACGTGCTTGCTTCGAATCCGAGAATTGCTATGGTTAGATCATCCAGCCCATCAACCCCGCACTGTCCTGACAGGCAAGGCTACGTGAAGCATCAGGCTGCAGCTGAGGCTCAGCTCTCACCATCATGCCGACCTCAACTTCATCTCAGCCTCCTACAACGAGCGATCCACGGCATCAACATCATGGTGACAGTCATTTGATACGGTGAGGACTATTTCACAGTGGAGAGTCTTGAGGCTATCCCAGCTTTGAATCATCAGCTAATTTTGATCCTCTACTGAGCAGAACACAGAGGAAGATCACCCGAAAATGCGCCCCCAATCTCGCAACGAATTCGAAATAGCGATCATTTGTGCCTTGCCTCTGGAGTTCGATGCTGTTGAGGCTTTATTTGACGAGCACTATGATGAGTTTGACCATACGTATGGCAAACAACGAGGAGATGGGAACTGGTACAGGACGGGAAGAATCGGTCGACACAGTATAGTCCTTGCTTGCTTGCCAGGAATGGGAAAAGGAAGTGCTGCCAGTGCTGCCTCAAGCCTACGAGTCAGCTTTATCGGAATCAACCTTGCACTGGTGGTCGGAATCTGCGGGGGGGTACCGTTTCCATCGGAAAATATCGAGATAATTCTGGGGGATGTTATTATCAGTGACAGTGTCATTGAATATGATTTCGGCAGGCAATACCCAGATGGATTCCAGCGGAAGAGTGGCATCAAGGAGACTCTTGGCCGACCAAACCGAGATATCAGAACTTTTCTCTCTGGTCTGAAGACTCGCAGGATGCACAATCAACTTCAAGAAGAGCTTTTGAAATGCCTCCAGGATCTTCAGAAGCATCTGGATGGCAAATGGCGATATCCAGGCGCCACACAGGATCGATTGTTTGAAGCGTCTTATCGCCATAAGCACTACCATCAAGTTCCAGTTGCTGCATGCATTTGTGCTGACTGCCAGTCCAGTCGTGACCCTGTTTGTGATGAGGCATTGGAAAATGATTGCAGCAAGCTTAGATGCATGGGAGGGCTGATACAACGAAGCCGGTTGAGTGCAGATAGCCCAAACCCACTTGTCCACTTTGGCTCCATTGCATCAGCTGACACGGTGATGAAATCTGGCGAACACCGCGATGCACTGGCTAAAACGGAGAAGGTTATTGGATTTGAGATGGAAGGGGCTGGGGTTTGGGACAACTTGCCTTGCGTCATCATCAAAGGCGTGTGTGACTATGCGGACAGCCATAAGAATAAGATATGGCAGGACTATGCAGCTGCAACTGCTGCATCTTGTGCCAAAGCATTTCTAGAGTTTTGGCCAGCAACCACTCAGGACCGTAAGTGAGCTTTTTATTAAATCATGTTTTGTATGAAATAGCTGAGATGCAGCATCATTTTCATACTGACATTGGTCTAGTTAAGAATCCAGTGTACTGGTTGGTTCCATTTCAGCGCAATGAACACTTCGTCGGTCGCGAATCACAACTTGCTCAGCTAGAAGAGGGCCTATTTGTCGATGGGCGCTTTTCAAAGATGGCTCTCTTTGCACTTGGTGGAATGGGCAAAACTTCAATCGCACTTGAGCTTGCATATCGGGTCAGAGACAAGTATCCGACATGCTCTATCTTTTGGGTGACTTCTACTAGTCCAGAGAGCTTTGAGCGATCATACCAAAAGATTGGACAAAGGTTGGCACTGCCAGGTATGGAGGACAAAAACACAGATGTCAAGAAGTTGGTCATGGATCACCTAAATGATCAAAATGCTGGTCAATGGTTTATGATTTTCGATAATGCCGACAATATCGATGCCTGGTTTAAGAAATCAGAGACTGGTTGTTCTCATCGCCTGGCAGACTACGTACCAAGTAGCAGCCGCGGTTGTGCGCTTTTAACAACACGGAATCAACAGATTGCAAGGAAGTTCGCTCATCATTCAGTTATTGAGGTAGTCAAGATGGACATTGACACATCCATGCATTTGTTGCGGAAAACACTTGGTCAGGAAGAGATCCTTGGTGACAACAAGAGCACAGAGCAGCTTCTAGAGCAATTATGCTTTATCCCTCTTGCCATCGTACAAGCTGGCGCATACATGAACATGAACTACATTACCATAGTTGACTATCTGTCACTTTTGAACGATACCGAGGAAAGCCTTGTGGAGACACTTTCAGAAGACTTTGAAGACGACTGGAGATACCAAGATCAGAAGAATCCTGTTGTGACAACTTGGATAGTGTCATTTGAACAGATCCTAACGCAGAACCCTTTGGCCGCAGATTATCTCTCTCTTATATCGTGCACTGAACCAAAGGCTATTCCTCAAGCATTTCTCCCTCCTGCTCCGTCGACCAAACAGCGGCTTGAAGCTATTGCGTGTCTGATTTCTTACTCTTTTCTCTCCCGGCGAGAGGACAATAGCTTTGATATGCACCGACTGGTTCACATAGCAACGCGAAATTGGTTGAAAAAAACGCAGAACTTCAAGAGATACTACAAGAAAGTTATTTCCCGATTCGCAGAAATATTTCCAACCCCAGAATATGAAAATCGAGATATCTGGAGAACTTACTTCCCGCATGTCAAATTCACACTTTCACTCAATCGGGTGCAGATTGCAATTGATCATAGGCTTCTTACTAGATATGGCGGGTGTCTATTACGTGATGGAAGGTATTTTGAGGCAGAATTGCCCCTTACTGAGGCAGCAGAAGCTACCAAGCAAATGCTTGGAGTGGAGCATCCGGAGACATTGACCAGCATGGGGAATCTGGCATCCACATACCGGAATCAAGGGCGATGGAACGAGGCCGAAGAAC